AGGTGCAATGATCAAATGCCCCCGATTGCAATTTCAATTAGTTAAGCAAGTCCAAAGGGAGACAGGATGTGAGGACTTGGAATGTAAAGTAATTCACCATCGATTGCAAAGGAGACTTAAAGTAAGCTCGATACTTATAATGGCCATAATCAGCTCACCAGACAATCCATACGTGATGCTGCTGTGACAGCAAACCCCCACCTTCAAAGACGAGCAGCACTTTGGAGGCGGCAGCCGGGCGGGGAAAGAATCGCCCGAGGGTGCTGGGAAATGTCTCTGACTTTGTGGTGGCGCTGAAGCATTCAGCGCTGCGGGAGATCCTAAATGAACACCAATCAAAAGGCCCACGCAGCGAGCTTGAACCCCTCATCATCCCTCAGCATGGAGCCCCAGAGAGGTCGGTGGCTGTTGAGGAAAAGGCATCTGGTGTAACTTTAACGGCCCAGGAGTAAAATTGCGGCAATGCTCGGGTCATCACAGCTATTCCCGACGCAGTCTTGCCTTTGTTCAAGATTAGACGTTTGATTAAACGGGACCCCGCCGCAGAATGTGTCAGCACAACCCCCCCCCGGTACCTCCACGCCAGCTTCCACAGAGGTCAGTGAGCCACACAGAAGACAATGCGAAGCTCTGAACTCGCTCGAAATAGTCCGGAGCAGCGCTGCAAACAAACGACAGACTCAGCCAGTGGGATTCCGCCGGCATCTACGACGCCTCAGAGGGAATTAGACAAATGCCACAAACTTAGTAAAAGCAAAATGTCAGCAACAAAAACCATGACGGCCGCCATAAAAGAGTCTTTGAGAAAACATTTTCGATAGCAGGTGTTTCCTATCGTAAACTGGGGGCAACAAGGACAGCGATGGTATTTTTTAAATCAAACCCAGAGACAAGACAGATAGTTGCGTGTGACACGTATGCATACAAATATCAACAAGCAAAGTAGGAGAAGCTTTTTCCACAAGGAAAAACAAGCCAACGTGATGTTTTACACAACAGCACACACTGTGAAATACAGGGGGCCAGAAGTCCAAAGTGAAGGCAGCGTTTATCTTTTTTGCTTTTCTTTTGTCTGCAAGATGTTGCCAACATTCGTTCACACAGAAAACACACCGCCTTTGGAGCAGATTTGACTTGTTTATTCACATTGTGCTTGGGCTATGCTACATGCAAAACATAGCCGGATGTTTAAATATTGGCCTTGGTGAATGTGACCCGCTGCACACATGAGTCTTATGAGGACAATTATCATAAAACTAATAGCTTTGCACTCACATTGACACAGCTTGGACCGACTGCATGCACAGCATTCATGAGGAGCAGTTATTGGGTCTTATTTCGACACTTGCTGGCTCAGCTCTTAGTGGGCGGGGCCGAGGTGTTACTGGTCACGTGAGCGCCGGATCCGTTCCGCACAAGTGTGTCCCAGTAAGTCGCGACAGCGAGGCGGCATACGTAACACCAACACCCTGAGATGGAAGCCGCCAAATTAGGAACCCTAATTCTTACTTAATTATTTACACCCGTGCTCCTCCTGCTGTGACGTGTCAAAATGTCTTGCAGGAGTAACGGCACTGAACATCACACCGTTAAGAGATGTCACAAGGTCCTCATCTACTAATTAAATATGTTTGAATGGGCTCTACCTTTCGTCTGTAGAAGAAAGTCTGGAAATACTTAATAGTTGAGACAAATACTGAATGAAGTATCAAACAAATACTAGTAAGTTCAAAGTAATGATTAACAATTAAATAACTGAGCCATAATTAGGTTTTAAATCAGTTTTGAAATCAGAAAAAAACAATTTAAAAAGGCAAACTCAGATTTGAGTAAACGTCTGGTAGATATTTCATAATACCAACTTCTTTCTTTAAGGTCAGGAACAGCTTCAGGCAGCACTTAGAACACGTTGAGTATTGCATCCTGCAAAGACTCAACACCCTGGCACCGGAGCGAGCCCTTGACTTTAGAAGTCAAACCTGATTTTCATTTTTACTAAATTTGTGAGCTGTGATGCATTTGTCAGTGATCCTCTAAATGACATCAGCAATGTTAACATCATAGATGTAATAGAATACATCTATGACGGTCAGCTGCAAATCAGTTATAGATGTGATGTTTCCTATTTTTTGAATGATTGCAAATGCAATAAATTCAAGGACTGCTATGAGTGTTAATGTGCATTTTAGAGAATTACAGCACTTTGGTTGTTGTTCTTGTTACAGTGTTTTAATGCTTATGTTCCCTGTAGGACAAGTTCAAAGAACAGTTGTTTTATACTCCGGTGCCCCAAACAACACCCTGTTTGCTTCAAAATACATCTAATACATAAACTATTTACCGTATATCATGACTGATGGATGAATACTGTTTTTCTTCTCATAAAAAGTGTCATCATTATATCAAAATTATGGAAGGAAAAATTGTGTTTAACTTCAAAAACACAACCGACTTTGATAAAATCACATTGTTTTTTCTGCAATTGCACAGCTATATTAATACACACCGGCTGTCAAAGGCCAATTTCTTTGGTTGATATCCAAGGCATGACAGACATGATTTATTTCCGTGTGTGTTCTCCGGCTTCTAAGCAGAGTCCGAAGACCTGCAGGTAACAGTCGACTCCAGGAGCGAATGTGAGTGCGAATGATTGTGTGTCTCTCTGTGTGTGTCAGCCCGCTGACGGCCTGCCAACGTGGCCGCGCCGGGATCCTCTTCAGCTTCTCTGCGACTCTCAACAGGATCAGTGTTTACACATAATGAGAGAATGGACGGATGGAACTTTAAAATGACTCGACTCCCGTTAAGGGTGCTTCATGGTTTGCAATGGAGCCCTCAGACCATCGCCAGAGGGAAGGTATAGTGGAAGCGTGGCGAAAACACGGTCACTTCAAATGAAAGATAAAGGAGAAAAATACCTCTAGACAGACAGAAAGTAACAGGTTGCTCAGAAGAGTCAAGAGTTAAACTGCAGGGAGATACACAAGGCAGCTTATACCACAGGAAGCCTGAAGCAAGAACAGCAATCTCCGAGTACAGAGGGTGATTACAGTCTGAAAGGGTGGCAGGAGCTTTCTGTAAAGCTCGCCTGTCGAGCAGATCATTGATCACAGATCATCGCCTCTAACTCCCGTAATCTTCCCATTCCGGCTGACAATGCCTTTCATTGTGTTCCTCTGACTCCACGCGGAGATGCGGAAGATGTTGAGTCACGGGAAAGATTGTTAGGTATAGAATGAGCTTTAGGATCGTATTATCAGTGGAAAAAAGAGGTGGTTTGAGAACCAAACAAAGTCAAAGCCAAATATTTTGAGGAAGAATGAGGACGCACTGTCAGAGTAACTATGACAAATGTCCTTCCCAAAAATAGGACTGCAGCATTCAATTTACTGAAATGGAAAATACCTTTCATTTGCCATCATGGGTAAATTTTTCCACTCCCTCATTTCATAGCAAATAATAATGCTGACTAGTGCATCAAAAAAGACAATTGTCTTTATTAAATGATCTAAATGGACAGCAAGGAAAACTAAATACACGTTTAACGAAAGCCCACGAATAGTTTGCTCTGAATGAAGAAGAAAACAGGTCTGGCTCTGCACATTTCAATTTATATACATTCAGAGAATCAATGGCTCACGTGAACTAACGCCTCGCACACACAGACCCTCCCACCCAACACTGCCGCTCCTCAACGTGACCCCTGCTCATAATACCTTCGCAGTATTACACTTGGACGAGAAGTGCGAGGGAATAATGGCAGAATTTGACAAGAAATCATACCTCAAGACAGACGTTTTATCGCCTCCGCGAAGTTCCCACCGGACTGATTTCCTCTGGAAGTGTGGCCCGCAGCGCGGCGCTCTAATGAGCAAGGGGAGACAAGAGGTGAGATACATGCAGAAAGCCAGAACATTAACTCAAGATAGTCTAGTTAAGGCAACAGTTTGCCAAGATTAAGCCTTGTGAGAAACAGGGGCGGCGGATCTGAGGAAGCCATTGAAGAACAACATAGATCATGTTGGAGTCAGTAAAGCTTCCATGAACACTCTGAGGATTTGCTAATTCTTACAGACAGTTAATGACCCGTGAAATCAAGCTCTTTGCTAAAATAATCCCAGGGAGTTCCTTGTAATGCATGTTAAATTCAATTATATTGTGCAGTATATATGTAGCCCACTGCATGTTATCAAGTGTCTTCATATCAAACAATTGACATTATTTTTAAGACACCAATACAACCTAAGTTGACCAAAATGAATGAATCAAAGTATAGCTATGAGTCATTGTGGTGCTCTTTTATTCAGCTATATGTTTGAAAACTGAGATACAGAATATAAGATTCAGAAACTTAGAGGATCCCAGCTCTCCTCCTCCCCATCTGACTGCCACTACAAAGCAAAAGCAAACAAACAACGTGCAGCTGAGAGGGGAAAGAAAATATCTATACATATATAGCTCTGTAATTTAGAGGGAAAAGTTAAGCAAATACTTAAATAGATTAGGCTAGCTTTGAATGTCTAATCCAGCAGGGACAAAGCAGGAAGGAGTATTGAACATGTTTCTTCATGAATTATTAGAAAGAGTGCTGTTTGAAAATAAGAGTTTTGTCTTGAGATTTAGAACTAAAATCAAGGAAACCTTACCGTAAGGCATTCTAGCTTCGTATTTGCTGGACTGGAAGCAACACAAAAAGAAAAACACTCTGAAAGTGGTAGTTTGACAAGATAATGAGTTTGTTCTCTGGGAAAACATCTCCACCACCCCAATAAAAGTAAAATGCCTTACCCACTCTGCTGCAATCGCTATGTTGGAAGCTCGTGGTCTCGTTTAAAGGACGGACGGACGGGCGAGAGGCTCAACACATGTGAGCCTGCAACGTGACACCAGGGAAAAGAAGGACAATAAAACTAGCTGTAGAAAGTTGAACAAAAGCGACTTTTGAGCTCGGATCCGATGACAAATAAAGCAATGTGCAAAAATGAAAGCTGGAGTCGCAGTACAATTTGAGCAAATGTTTAATCATTTGTCTTGGCAGGATTCAGTGTGGGTAGGACTTATTATTCTTTGCAGCCGGCGTGACAGTCGATTGAGCGCAGCATAAAAGTGATGTCAAGTTCTCAAAGTAAACCAAAGCGGTTAAGTGAGGAGGTATTTACATTCTGAACTCAGTGCAAAGTAATGTAAGTGGCCACTTGGGTTGTACAGCACAGAAGAAATGTTGAAAAGATTGGAGCTGTGTCATGTTCTCTACATCTTAATAAAACTTAACTTTCTATTTCATCTGAGATAAGCAGTATAGGCCAACAGTTTGACATTTGGGATTTCCAAAGTGCACAATGCAATTTCTTTACATATTATAGATATTTTGTCTAGTTTAATTAAAATAACACAAAAAACACAGTACTTTATATTTCAGAGTAAAAAAAGAACATTTCACCACAAAATGACCGTTTGTAAGTCATTACTCATCCGGACATTTCATTTTGATTAGTTTGTTTTTCTGGGAGAGAAAAAAGTCTTAATGAACTGAAGCAAATGGGGGTTTAACAGTTTAACAACAGCCAAACTATATTAAAAGATATTACAAAGCCTCAATAACTCTTTCAGTATATCCAGGGAATTTATTCATCTAATTTATTATGACTTTAAAATCCTTGAGCATCTCAGTGAAAACCGCAACCTTCAAGAAATCAAATGACACACGATGGATGAATTATATACAAACAGGTTTAACAGTGAATTATTCTTTCAAAATTGTATATAAATGGTTAAAAAACAACCCGTGTGGGTGTTTAAAAGGCACATTGTGTGTAACTATTCCCTGAAACTCCAGCGCCCATCAAAAGGCTCTGCATTGATGTGCACACACGGATGCTGTCGTCTTCCCTGCAGACCCAAAGATGTTTAACAGCTGGTTGACGCTCACTCATCGCCCCACTGCTGTAACCTCAACGTCTTTAGCCTCAGATTAAACATCCACGGCTGATTGGAGGCTCAGTCAATTGGCCAAAGCCAGCACATCAGACGGGGTTGTTAGCGTTCAGTTATTTTCAAAGTCAATCATTAAAGTGCCTTTCAGTAATTCACAATATGAGGTAGGAACTAACTGTGGATCAATTTGTTTTAAGCCATATTATCACATTAGTCCCTTGTTGATATCTATTCATATATAAATATCAGCATAACTAACTATCTGGCTGGAAAACACCCACTTAAAAACATCAGTACAAGCTCCGCTCTTTCATACAGTTATACATTTTAAAATATGATCATCATAAACATAAAAAAAATCTAAAACAAATTTCAATTTAAAGTTCAACCCTGGGGAGTCGTAAATATTGTGCAAAGTATGGGGCTTTCAAAAGATCTTTTTTTTTCAACATTCCTCTCCACTAAGGTCGGCAATATACTTTTAACTACATCAAACTGGCCTTTACCTTTCTTTCCATTTTAAGGGTTAGGTTGTGTCATCACTGCAAGATGGAGACAACCTGGGCGAGTTTGCAGGAACTACAACCATATTCTATAAAGTCCATGGCGTTGCCTTTGCAGAGCCGGCATTCACTGAGAGAAGATGATCTCCAGGAGAATAAATATTTGGCGGAAATACAGAATTCCTGAGAGCAAGTATTTTGCAGAGCACATTCACATGAGTTGTGTTAAAGATGATTATGTTAGGGCCGTTACAGAAGACAACACAAACAATTACAGGACATGTCATTTTTGACCAACACATCCGTGCGCATGCTCGATCGACGGTGTGCAAACATCATTCCGCCTTTGGAAATGACAGGAAATTAAGCGCGTTTAAAGTACTGCCGGCCAACAGTAATTGTGATTAGTGTAATGGTTGTTAAACCTCCTGCGCTTCTTGGGAGGTCTTCAAAGACTCCATTGGCAGCTCATCTGAAGTGTCCACTGCGTTGACGTAGGCCTGAGAGTCATCTTCCCCGTGCTGGAGCCTCGCAAAGTTCACAAAGACCTGGAATGTAAATGCAGAGTAGAAGGCACTTAAAGGCAAATTCAAGCTAGAAAACGAATACACACAATGCTCAGAGCCCTGTGGACATTTCCCTACCCGCCCCATTTAGTCCCCCCCCCCCCCCCCCCCCCTTTGCCCCTGGAAAAACAAACCAGAAAGTAGCGACGCACAGACCACGGGAAGCAATGCGAATGAGGTGCCCAGACAAAGGCCTAGGAGAGCATCAAGTAAGCGCCTAGGCTCACACAGTGAATGTCAGTTTGACATCTTTGACCAGCTGGGAAGGAGAAATAAAACAATCATTCTTCTCGCTGTGATACCCATTTAATGTCAGAAGAAATCAATCCTACGGCATTCGTAAAAAGCCGTGTGCATTTCATCGCGCCTCAAACGACGCTGTCGTCCAGGCTTTTTATTCTCTTTGCATTAGCTGTCTGTTGTGATAAAACTACACACAGATTTTTACCCCACAGGAGAAGAGCAACAAAGAGGGCTTATAAAAAATGATAAGAGCATTGCTTTTTCTGACTGGGTAAATGTAGAATGTAGAAATGCAAATGAGTCAATTTTAAAGAATATCTCAAAGCAGGAAAAAATAAATTGTCGACTCATTAAAAAAACACTTTTTCACAAATATATATCACAGGTAAATGAAATGGGATGGAATGTAAATACCTGTGAGAGAAGAGAAATAAACAGATCTTAACAATAGTGTCTTTTCATGCTTTTGTTTTTGAGAGGCTAATTAAGATAGAGAAAGAAAGATTTGATGTATTGGTCCCTTCTGTGTAATATCTTGTGTTCGCCAGCAAAAATGTGGACAGAGGCATTTCTATTGCTCTCGTAAACTAGAATAATCTACTGTCATCGGCACCTTTAAAAAGCTGTCAGACACATTTGAAGAAATTTGTATTTGTTGACATGGGACTCACCTTGAGCTCTGACACTATTAACTTTGCATAGCGCTCACAATACCAAACAATAAAACTCATAGCCGTGTATTGAACAAACACATAAAAACTATACATAAGTTCATTTTACAGGTGCTTGTGTACAACACGGCATTATTGGGTGCTATTATTTAATGACCCTCACACATCAAGTCCTGCTGTTAGCCTTGCTGTATTATTACAGCTGATATGTTTAGGTTCAAGTAAGTTACTCCTATTTTGATTTTCTAGAGCACAGAGAGCGAGACAACCATTTACGCTCCCGTTCACACCTACTGGCAAATCTCAAGTACAATTAACCAAACCTTCAGTCTTCAGTCTTTGGACTGAAGGAGGCAGCGGGAGAAAACCCACGGGAGAACATGTCAATTCCACACATCGGAATCCGCAGCCGTTGCTGTGTGGCTGCTCTTTAACTCTGCCAACACACTTTATTACCAATGAGTGTTCAAAATGGGGATTTCATGGAATCCACTTCGGAGCTTCAATTCAGAATTTGCAAAGCACAGATTATGGCCCTTTGTTCACTCCGTTGTAAAACAGGCTTTGCCACTTCATGTACACGTACCTCAGAAACATTAGCTAAATGTTCTTAAATACATAGACAAATACAAGTACTGTGTTCCCTTTAACTGGAATTTTGTACGTACATATGTAAAACCTCTTGACCTCAAAGCTGGCGGAGCTGCTGGCTAGTTGGTTTTATTGAAAGTAAAACAGCAGATTACCTCATACCTGAGAGACAAGCTGTGTCTGCAGAACGCCCGAGGCTAAAGTATGCTTCTGTGCGTGAGTGTGATGTCGGACCGTCAGCACTACGTATCAAGGTCACAGTTGTCAAGGCATCTCATCAAGGGAGAATGAGTTAGAGGACAAGAAGGACAGCAGCAAACACAGCCTACGCCAGTCTCTCGCGACCTCTGACCTTGCCACTGGCTGTTATTGGCTTGATGTGCCCAGGCATGCAATGGCTATTACACGTTCGCGTCTAAATGTAATTTGGCCGATACAATTCCTAAATACAACTTTGATATGTTATCACCTTAAACATACATATGCCTCTTTATATGCAAATACAGGTAAAAACTATAATATATATATATATTGTGTTGTGTTATGGGAAATATATATATATATATATATATATATATATATATATATATATATATATATATAAAATTTTCACATTTACAGTTGTCGCAAATGCTTTTATAAATACTTAGTTACCATTCACATTGGGTTGAAAGCATCATTAAACCTGATCCTTTACGCATGATTATTATTTGTTTTTATTTATTTTATTTCATTCATTTCTAAAAATGTATCATTTCTGCATTTATATCAGGGCTGCTTCTATTCATTCTTGAATTAATAAGTAATTCATCATTTACATTGGTAGGAGAGAATGTCAGCTTACCACGAGGGGAAGGATTTCAAATGGCACTGTATAACTCCATGAATTTTAAAAAAGTAGTCAAAAGAAAGGGGTTATTTTACATCATATCTGAGGGTTATGAAGGGAAGATATGTTTTTTAAAAGATTAGGTTACTTTATTGCCATATCGTGTGTGATGAAACTTTTTTTTTCACTGAGGTTGAAAATGTGTTTTGCGTCAAAATATACTCACGCACATCACAAAGAAGAGTAATGATTAGGATCACTTATAAAATGCAACTAAAACGTCGTCTCATTCAGCGGACAGCACAAAGCGGCAGGGTTGAATGTCCCAAGGCATCGTCCACACATAAAGCAGCAAATGCTTCGCAGTCCGCACAACCTCCGCCAATAAGACGGCTTAGAAAGTCACATTCTCCTTTCACATGCTCCATCTGCACCGTCTTGGCCATCGGTGTTAATGCCCGAGCAGCAGCCTGTGTGAATCAATATTAATTGTAGTGCAAGTCTTGTGTTCTACTATAGGTCAAGGCCCCTCTCTATAAATCACCAGCTGAAAGGTGACCATCTGGGTCTCCACAGGTTCGCCAGTCCTCCCCTATGTTTTTAGATAATGTGACCTCCTGGTCGGAGTATGATTTATTTACTACGTCTTATGTGGTAAATATTGACCAGAGCAGAATGTGGGCCGAGTTAGATAAAAAGGAAAAAGGAAAAATGACGCGATGCTGGAGGTGGTGGTACGGCTGAAAACCAATGATCTGAGAAGCAAAAGCAGAGTTCTGTAAACAAACAGACAAAGAAACCCGCCTGACTCCAAACGTTAAAGCATTTAGCTTGACTAACAAATCCCTTCTTCCTTCCCAAGTGGTAGGCTAATGACCCCCTGAAGGCCACATTCGACTTGAACATTGCTACTAAAGAGGGTTTTATCTTGAATTTTGTGTCCTCTGGAGGGAGATGAAGTTGATTATGAAAACCTTAACGTTCCTGGATTTCTTTATACCGCATAGTAATTTGATTTATACAACGGTGGCACAGTGCAAATAATTGCATGGATGAATTTTGTTGTTCAATCCCCTCGACCAGCCTCCCCCAGCACTCTCCTCCCCATAGCGGCATAGACCGAGAACTGTGTGGACCCCTCAGAGGTCATCTCCCACCAGGTCTTCTGCTGCAGAGCTAATGGCAGCCTTGCAAGACCAGACACACTTGCCTCTAAGCAGCTGATTGCATAAGGTCCTCGAGGCCATTTGGAAAACACAAGGTGAAGCCAACGCGTAACCTGCCAGGGCTCAGTTTATCTCACAAATCAGGGGGTCCGGCTAGTGCTCTTGGAATAGAATTAAAACAACAGGAACTGGCTGGGGGAGGTTTTTTAAAATGAAGAAAAAAAAAAAAAAGAAGAAGAGAGACCTCAGTCCAGATTCTTGATCGATACCGGGACCTGGAGGCTAAACTATCTATATTGGCTACACAAAATCAGTGTCGTCCTCATTGGTCAGGCTGACACTCTAGAGAGGACAAAGCATAGGCAATAATAGATCTTAAATCTTATGCTGAACTGAACAGACTTGCGTTAGCTGAGAACCCCCTCCACAGAATTACCGCAGGATACTGAACATGTCCACGGAGACTTGACAGTCCAAAGATTTGCTCACATCAGAAGTCACGGGAAGTGGAAGGGTGAAATTGTACATCCCTTTGCTATTGTATCAGCTGAAATCAGCGAGAAAAAAAATGTTCTTCTATCAAGAATAATCCATAACAGTATATTTGGTGAAAAAGGAAAATGTGTCATCACCAAGTCTTTGCCGTGAACAACCCTTAGGAAATAGTCAAGTGCATTGCTTGTTTTTTGCTCCTTTTGTTATTGTTCAGAGCCTGCTAGGTCCCCGATGCACAGCCACAACTGTTCAACGCATGGCAAAAATGGTTCAGGCTCCGTGTGGATTAAGCTCATCAACATGTACCGCCAGAGTTTCTGATTGGAGAGATGAAGATGGCCGATGAATAAATGTATTGTCGGCTTTGTATGGTACTAACAATGGAATGAGATTATGGATTAGCGATGAAAGGGAAAATGTATCACCTCTAGATATTACACAGGTTCATCAGGTGCAGGGGGAATGGAGCCCTGGGACAAATTACCATCTTCATGCAATTTATCTATAATTAGCAGCAACATATCTTTTCTCAGCCTGAATATTTACATCCCACTGCTGTCTATCATCCTTTCACCCATGTCGGTCAGTTTAGGACAAATATATTAGTGTCGCAAATGGGTACACTCCACATATCGAACTTAAAAGTAAAATGTTTTAGGCCTTACCTGATCGAGCGTGGTCTGGGACACGGAGTAGTCCTCCACCCCCAGCCTCTGCTGGTGACTGGTGAACTGGCTAAAGATGTGGGCCAATGCCCCCTGTGTGTACGGGAGATGGTACTGCAGTGTGTTGTGATGCTTCTCCTTCAGGACGCTGCCCAGGAAGGACCGCCGGACAAAGTCCTCTACAGGCTTCAATTCAGGCGGAGAGCCACCAACCCTCACAATCACCGTGTAGCCATCACCAAACCTGGAACAAGAAGTCACAATTAACCCGTAGGGGCAATAGTCAATGGGGGCATTTGTTGTGGGTGTGTTAATGGGTATTGCACACAGCATTCATTGTGGCCGGGTGATTTGTTGTAATTTTAGGCTTTAAAATAATACAGTGTGGGAAGTACCTTCAGAAGCAGCCATTTTAAGGGTCAAAATGTGAAAAATAAATGAAAATGGGAAAATGAAATGTTTCGGAGGGTTAATGTTGGCTACAAGTGGAAAGTAATTTCCATATGCACCAACTTTAGAGTGGTTGAGGAACAATTTTGTGAGTTCTTTTTTTAATCTAACCCTGCACAAAAAACTGACATAACCCGGATTGTGAAATAAATAATTTGTAAAAATAAAATTGAGTATACAGAAATAATGAATAATCTTACATTTTTTTGGTCTTTAAAGAACCCGAGAGACATCGGGTTAATCTTTCTGTAACTGCAAACATACATGCAACGCTAGTGCCAAATTCCCCACATCTGGCCACCTTAATAATTCACTTCTCTTTTCTTCTGTGATCAGGGCATGGTGACAAATAACAAGGAGGCCCACTGGAAACAGGAGACAAGACGGAAAGCGCACAAGATGGCAAAATATAATTGGTCTCGTACTCGCTGGATGTGGTGAGCGGCAGGAGCTGGTGAGCCCAAACACCTTAAAGCAGAAGCCGCTTGACTTCATCGGTACATCAACGCTTCCGAGAAAGGATCAACTTTTGCAGGTAATAATAGGTTTCAACACATTCCTCCGCACTACATGTCAAAGAAATCCTCAATTTGAGCCGAGCAAAGCCAGCGACAGAAACAGAAATTGCTTTGAAAGGTGTACATAAGTGAAGAGGCCATTGCTTGATTGAAAGAACTAAAAGGACCAAAAAAAAGCTGATTAAAGGTTGGCTTGGCTTCATCTGTCAACCATTAAATGACTTGAGATCCCAACACAAGACATATCTCAAGCTGTAGAATACAGTTCCGCTAGCTAGGAAACTACATCCACAATACGAATTTGATCAGCTGTATCACAAAAGGGTGCATCTCAAATAAGATGATGAGGTTTTTTTGCCACCTGTCGTTAAGGAGAACATAGGGCTTACTGTCTAAATAACAATACATCACTGATGAGTAGGCTAAGGCAGAGAAGATAAAAGTGCTTGAACAGCCACAGTTTTGAAAATTTGTCGACATGACTAATATTGCTGAACACAAAATATTGTCACAAATGAAACTGTGCCCCAGCTAAGCTGTAAAGCTAATTAGCGTCATGCATCTTCCCAGTTGTATGCAACGTCTGCTGAGTTCCAACTAAGACTCGTGCCTTGTTATTCTGTCGTTAGCACTCTTATGACCCATTGTTTTCTGCCTAATTAATTCCCTAATGTTGGATTTACTCAGGGAAATGTCCATAGTGGGCTGGTACAGAGCAAGAAGCAACGAGAGTCACAGGCTCCCTTAGTGGCAATTAGAGATATGGTGACTAAACTGCAAGCCTACACAATCCCTAGGGGAGGGGGAGTGGAAGTGATGCTTTGTGCTGGTGCTGAGAAGCACAATGAATAGAGCCCATGAGTAGCAGAGTCCTTACAGCCACAGAGCAAGTGTAACTTTGCATAACTGTAATTCTTCGGGCATTATGATTGGACAAGCCAGACTACAACTTGTACCCACAAGGACAATCAACCCTCATACGCCATCACGCAGCCATACCTACTGCCGCACGGTGTACGTAAGATTTGGTGTCTGTTAGTATTGAGATCTGACACAACATAATATAAAAATAATGCATACATCTTGGTTGGGTCCAATGCTAGAGGCGAATGAAACACCAAAAGGCACACACAAATGTAGACCTCTTCAAGCTCGATCGCCATCAAGCCACCCTGCAGGTGTGTGTGGGGGGGCCGGGGGGTGCAGCACAAGTGATCAAAAGCATCCCCATAACCCTCAAAGACATATTACCCAGCGCACATCCTGTGGATAAAACTGCAGGTGCCCTGCATGTATCAGCGTCTTAGCACTTCATTAAGGAGTTGTCCTTTGGACAGCCCTTCACCGGTTCCAAATTATACTCCACACTGACCCGAGCCCTGCTCAACCTCGGCATGAAATACAGTCCTTTCACGAAGCGTTCATTGTGTACTTAGAGCTTCATCATCTCAAAGTGCAAATGCAAAAGAAGGATCGCCATCAGAGGCGCAGGGGTCTTAGAAACTACTATAATTACTATTAGAACGCATAACAGATGATTGTCCTTCTTTAAGATGCTCCCTCCAGTTGAAATTCACTCTTTGAGACGTTATTCAAATGTATGATTTATATTTGCAAATTAAATTAGGCATAACCGGAATAAAATAATTATGAGTAGGGTACAAAGCATTCCTTTGTAAAATTCCTGTGAGTGGAAAACGTTAAATCCGTATTTGTTTCTGCTGTCAAACAAAAAATATAAAAAATGTGTTATCATCATTGTTTGCAGAAATATCTTCATGCTAAATGAAGATGTAAGAAGCTTGAACCACTAGATATAGGCCAATAGAGCTGTGTCTGGCATCACAACATTCCATCAAAGCAATGAGTGAATGTGACACTGTTGTGGAAAAATGGACTAACAAACTACATTTTCAACAATGCACGGTTGCTCAAATATTATCCCTGTGGCTGGAATGTCACAAAAAGAAATGATATCACAACTTGGTTGTCGGCTGTGATTTGCACACCCGGCACCAATAATCCATAAGATGAGTGTTTATCCAGGACACAGCCACGTGATTTCTGATTTTCAAAAAGACTCCACAGTGTGTAATCAGGCACCAGCACCAACACGTCACAGCCATCCTCACACATCAGGCTTAATTCATCATCCAATCAGGAGTATGAATGTAATCCTGCTGTGTTTATTACAGCTGCCGTGCTTTATCAAAGGAACTGGAATGCTCAGCCGAGATGCCAAAACCATTTTTGCAGAAATCCAATAAGGCAAGAAGGCATTGTGGCTGAAAGGGTTTGTGATATGGTTTGCTGTGTACGTGAGTAATGCAATGCTGTTCCTCGGTAAAAGTAAAAGGGCTTATCAATTAGCTTTCGCTCATTCTTTCTTCATACGTACCTTTCATATCTTCACTGTCTGCACAGCTACACAAGGGGCTTCAGGCAGCACTTTGGAGAAAATATTCTTTCTTTTATATTCATCATTTCTACTCTGCCTCTGTATTCAAAACAAAACACGTTCTTTCATCTTCGCTACGCTGCCTGTCTTCTCTCTCCTGGAATAAACTCTGTCTGTGTAAGGAAAGTTAGGCGTAGACATCTTAAAATGATAGTGCAGCGAGCTTGAAACAATTACTACGCATTTAGCTGGTGAATGGTGATTCTAAAGCAAGAGGCAAGATAGTTGCTATTTGGGGTTGAATAGAGCAAAGAGGAAATAATGAAGGGATTATGTCATTGCTGCAACATATTGTCACAATTAATCCCTGCATATTGTTTCACATTAGAGGAATGATACAGCAGCCCAACCCAGCATGTTGGCGACACTGTAATAGCCGCGCTGCAGCTCTCGCCATCATTTCCATTATTCTGCCTCAATCCTCTCCTCCACCCTGCTCCTCCGGAGAGTCGTTCTTCCATGTAATTTAAAACAAACAACAAGCAGACACAGATAAGGCCTAGACAGGCAGAAAAGAATCCTGCAGCCTTTCTTCATCTAACGGAGTGTAGAAAGGTCACCCTCGCCACAGCCAAACCCTTGTATTTGTGTCTGCGGGGGGGAGAGCGGACGAGGGCCAACGGGTCACAGCGTGGCTCGGTTGTTCTGATGCTTTGATCAGGCGGGAAGTCATACAAAAAACATCCTTAGTTCTTGGAGGGAGAGCTAACCGAGCTCGAGGCACGGGCGCCACAGGAAGCACGAGGAGAGTTTGGCGGATGAATAGAGAGGGGGATCGGCGTGTAGCTTAGCTTTGTGCACTCGGAAAACTGTTATTATAGCTTAGATTTATCTCAGATGAACGTGTCCAAAAATAATGACGGCCATGCGCTTGCTAACCGCGAGCCTCTAGCAACTGTGGTTGAACTGGGAGGTATATGCTTTGAATTAGAGCCTTCAAGCAATCGCAAGGTTTCAATGTGAGCTTGTAAGAGGGCTTCAATGACGAGAAGAAGAAGTAGTAGATGTAGTAGTCGTTGCGCTTGACAGTGCAATCGAGAGCTAAGGATGAAGGGTGGATTGGACCTTGACTGAAGATTATTGTGTTCGAATAAAACAGTTAAATCTGTCCTTACGGACCGCTCTTCATTTATGCATGTCAACATTGTGTTTTAAAAGAAATCTGACACGGAGGCTATTAATTCCTACATTTTGAAACATGCATAGTTCACCCAATAAAACAGCCTCTAGCCATGTAGCAATTCTGCATGACCTTGAATGAACACATATAGATGCAAGATTGTAAGGACAACATAATGAAACTGATGCCACTAACACAAATGTTGTGACCAGATGGCAATGACAATACAGATATATCTATATACTGTATATGTAGATATAAACACCTCTCAGGTATGTACCGTACATATTTAGTGACCCATCTATGTCTGTCAATGTTCGAGCAGTCTTAATTACAACTACTTTGCTGATGCGTCATAAACCGTGAAGAGAATTATTTTGTCATCCATCTCTGCTGGTGACACACACTTAAAAGCCATAAACTATTAAGTTAATGGCCCACCTGCAGAGCTGATGTACAGTGAGTGGGAAGGAGTTTATTGGACTTCTCAACGTCAACTTCATCGGGATTGATCCAAACTTTTAGACACCACTTGTAAAAACTCTCCAGTGCCCACACCGCATTACCTTAATGCACTTAAGGCACTTTTACCCTCCACTTTTATATCATGACGTGCTTTGAGGTAGGAGCAAAGACTCCGAGCTGGTCTGTGCGCTTACTGCAGGTACTTTATGAAGAGGGGATATGAATGATATCAATCAGTGGAAAATCCGGCGTCGGCTAGCGGGTGTCCTTTCTAACTGACAAGATTATAGGGGATCTTTGAAGCTGCTTTTATTGGTTCCTCCACTTCATTTGGGTTTAACACCTGGGAGCTTTTATACCAGCACACCGTACTAAAGCACTATTTATAGCCCCGTGCACATTTCCTTTTACTTATTTATTTCCTCCCTTCTCTGTCAGGCTCACATGAATTCCAGGAAGTGTGATTGAGTTGAAGGATGGAGGAGGATTTTTTTAACAGCCGTGGAGAACAATAATGAAGGGGCTTCTTAAAATGGTCAGAATTCCCCGTCCGAACCCCGTTCTTCAGCCCCACTCACGTCTTCTCCGCCTGTTTAAATGGACTACTTTGGCTCGTTTGGGGCTCGGTTGATACGCGGAGGAGGGGTTGTTAAAGTAGCAGAAGAGCATCTCCGTGATAAAAGACAGGGTCACCGCTGAACTAAAGGGGGCAGCAGCAACAAGCACTCGCACGGCCGCGCTGGAAGCCTCGCCGCCTGAGAGGAGCAGAGGGAGGAATAAATAAGGCTAATCTAGTGAGAGGTTTTTGAAGGAGATGAGGCGGTCGGGGGGGAAGCGAGGGCCGCGAATGCGAACGAGTGAGCTATAGGGGGTCAAAATGTGAGCGCGCCCCCCCCTCCCCTCCCCTGCAGTGAGATTCTGCACTCCTTTCAGGGGCCCGGTGATGAAAAAGGGGATGGAGACGAAGCAGAAGAAGCGCCACCCCACCCCTCCCTCTCCTTCTCTGCCCCCCCCCCCGCCTCGCGGGTCAACCGCTCACGCCGTGCGAGGATGGCGTGCACCACACGCCACCGTCGACCGCTACCCCTGCTGCGTGATGGAACTCTTCCAATGTGCGTTGGCTCAGATGTTTTACCCTGCTGGATTGATGAGGCTCACAACGAGTTGAAGGGTGGTGAATCACATGCTACAGTGGTTGCGCGTCTGTGTGTGTGTGTGTGTGTGATGGAAGGGCAACATGGTATAGCGAAAACACGTGGCGGGACAGTGACGGAGAAAAGAAAACAAACGGAAGACGGCCCTTAATTGCCTTTTCAGTCATTAACAGGGTCCCACACCTCATGAAACATTAATTACACCAAGCGCTGAGGAGATAGGGACGCTTAATTAGAAATTATTCACTGCGTGGCGAGAGCTGAGCGATTTCAGCAGCATGTAAATCGTCCGTGTGAGATCTAAAATAAGCACAGCAAAAATCTGTGTCGGCGTCATGCTTTTCTGGCTCCCCCCCCACCCCACTGTGTCTCATGAATTCCCTTTTAACCGATAGCACGTGAGTGAAGTGGGACATGTGTTAACCCTCCGTTCTCCTCCCGTGTTCGTTTGCTTCCTCCCTTTCCCCTGTCGCTCCATTGGCTCCTACCTACCCGATACCCTCCTGCATGCTTCATACATTATTTACAGCACCCGGCTCTTCCCCCTACAGACAGGATGTAATAGACACAGCGGATCTGTCAATTACCCTAACATCTGGGATGGACTGATTGCTACATCGTTCTCCCACTTTAGCCCCTCGCCTCTCAAATGTCGCTCGCATCTCTCTCGTTTTTTTTTTTTTTAGCACAATCGACAATAAACCTCTCGTCTCTCCCCAGTGGGACAGCGGCCAGTGATATGACATCGCTGCTCTTGACAACGTTGCCCCCTCTCCTTGTTGTCCTAGGCGTCCCCCCCTAATCCTCGGCACAACTTTAAAAAATTGCCCCGCGCCTCCCTCATCCCAGGTGTATTGATCTTTCTCCTCAACCCAACGACTGCCACCACATCTTCCTGTTGTGTGTGTAGCTCTTCTCCTGTGTGTGTGTGAGGAGTGTCCTTCCTCTTGCAAGATCGCACAATGGAGTGGTAATAATGTCACCAGACTGTACCTAAGGTAATGGATCGGGCTCACTGCTACATGCAGGGCTCAGGATATAAGTGCTGGCCTTGGGAAATGTCAGATGAATATCAGAGGAGGCTCGGCTGCTAGGAGTTAGGGGCAGATCATATCTGCTATGGAGACGTAACAAAACCCATTAAGAGTCATGCACATGGCCCATAAAGGATGTGCGTAATGACGGGTCTGCTGGGAGACACATGTGGGATTGGGGATAATGGTGAAAAACCCGGGACACTGGCCTGGGGCCCACAGACCTGACCGTCTGCTCATTTATGAATCTTTTCACGTAAAATCCATACAGCCATGTCGATGACTCGCTGCACAAAAGTGCACCCGCACGTATGGGGCATACAGGTGGGTTCATTTGAGTTTCAGCAAAAAAAATGAATACCCTGTCATTACATATCCAGTAAACCTTTAATTCCCATATAAAAGCTGGAGTTGTTTTATATTTACATTTTACAAGTTAGTTTTCTTCCAAGGCAAGTTGGCAAATGTGTATGTGTCTAAATGTATTTTTATAACAATGTAAACAGGATGTTTATGCTATGTTTATACTTTTTGATATTAGTTATTCTTTGTGTGTCTCCTTCTCAAATCAAGGAATAAATGCTAAAATAAAAAAAAAAAGATAAATTTTATTGTCATCACTAATATAAATGATCTTATATGTAAATAAACAGCAAAAAACCTCAGTTGGACAAAACTCCAAAATTCATGGATTCAAGATTTTATTTGTATTCTGCTCTCAATTGCAAAGGAAGGAGACTCACCTGCTCTTTAGATGCTGGATGCTTCCGAGGCACTTGAAGTGACCATTGACCATGATGGCCATGCGCGTGCAAAGGGCTTCACACTCCTCCATACTAGGAGGAAAGAAAAGGGTGATGTTGCATTAATCACAAGCAGCATTTCACATTTTTGAGTCTCCTGCTTAACAGAATAAAGACATTAAAACTTGTCTTTTTAGTATAAAGAGTATTTTAGAGATTTTTGTAATATCTGTCCTCATTAATGATCTAACACGCTATGTATTTAAGGCAAGAGCATTCATCGCAGTGGGATTTTATAGAGTATAGCATTTTTATAGATGGTAGAACTCAATCAATTTTAGACAATTTCATGATGGAAAATATCTAATGATTTACTGAGAACCTTTCTATTAATTTACATCTGAGGTTTGGATTAGAGCATTTTTACAGGTCCACTTTAACACCTTAAATGGACAACAAATTCGGTAATTAGAGGGATAGGAGGGGACCATCTGTAGTTCTTATGATCTCATTTTTTCTCTTTCGGCCTTGTGCTGGAGCAGGAGTCATTTGTAGTTGAGGCAAAACCTGTGAAGCCTTTCTGAGGAATGGTCCAATTAGGATTATGACTTTGTAAAACCTGGTGAATCTGCCACTTAACAAAACACAACCACCTGGTCATGCCATGGACCATTGGATGCAGCTCAGCCGCGTTGCCTTGGAGGACGACAAATGCTTTCATTTCTCCATCAAGGGAAAACATGAAATAAAATAAATAACAACAGACCATTCACATGCACTGCTAGGGGTGCAAATGATTAAAAAGAACCCAAGCAATCTAGAAAAAAAGTCAAATAAATAGGCATGTTAATGGTTAAATTGTCCATATCAACTTGGTATTAGTCACTTCATCTCGTCCTCCTCACTCTAAACTGTGCCGGAAACTGGCCAACACCGCACAAGAAAATATTTAGACCAACTTTGCTCCAGGAAGTCTTGGATAATGAAAAGACCTGCAAGGATATTGACCGTTTCTCTTTTCATGGAGAGGAAAAAAAAGCTCCATTCAGTCAATAAGCCCCCATGCGTCATGAAATCATCTGAGCAGCCAGTGTGTTTCTGCCGACCAACATTAAGTGTCACACGGAAACAATACCTGCAAACTGAAGACTCAAAATGCAATCAATTTCTAATTACAATACTTGTGGCTGACGTTCTTTTTGTGGTTTGGTTGCTCTGCTACCGCTGGTGAAGAATATGAATAGTTTGATCTTATCTTTGCGGCTGAAGTGTGAATCCATCAGAGGAAATCTATAGATTAGGAGTGACGTTGCACCTGTGCGATGTGAGAATGACTGATCGGCCCTCTTTGATGATGCTTAGGATGCAGTCCCAGAGGAAGCGCCGGGCTTTGGGGTCCATCCCAGTTGTTGGTTCATCCTGTAATAAATGTAAACTGTTTACTTTACATGGCCGTTTAAAAACGGAAAAGGCATTTTTGAACAGACATGAAGACGGCAAGGGAAACACCTGGACAGATGTGTAGAGAAACATATTGGGCACTAATGAGTAGCATTCCGCAGGTATCACATTCAAACCCAGCTGATGAATAAAGGATTTTAAGAGTGAGGTTTGGCAGCTCATTCTGACCCAACACATTAATAAGACACTGTTTGCATACATACAGTCTGGAAGAATTCGGGGTCGACCCATACACACATAATGGAGACACATCCTTCGGCCCTCTCCAACATAGCACAGGACCAACAAACACAGACAGAAGGAGTCTCAGTGACTGTTTCTTTTTCCTCGGGGCTAGTCTGCCCATGCATGATTAGAGAGTGACAGTACTCAGTCCATGAGCTGGTTTCATTCCTGGTTCCTCTCTCGCTAGCAGAATCATACAAATCCCCCCCGGGGGTTTTCCACCACCGTGCCAAACGTGTCCCTGTGCACGCCCTACGTGGCACAGCCTCAAGGCCGCCTCGAATCCCTGGGCTTGCACACAATATTGAAACTGACGCAGACGACACTTTATCCCACCGCCTCAAAGGAAAGGCCTGGCGCTGGCCGCCAGTAACGTAGGCTTGGACTGGAGCAGCCCGACCGGCTACCCCTGAGCCAAAGAGGGGAAGACATGCCTGGAAAGATTATTCTGTAAAAGTAATTCATTATGGATTACTCATTACCTGACTAAAATTATTAGCAGCATAATTTGAGAGGTTACTCTGATTCATGCGAAGTAAAGCAGTTTACGAGGCAATAAGATATATATATATATATATCTATATATATATATATAGATATATATATACGTTTTTTAGGGCGTATGATGTGGTGGGTTGGACCTGGGAAAACAAGTATAAATTGCAAATTCCTCAATAACAATGTGTACTTCTATTTAAGCGAACCCCCTGTGAGATTTAAGGTCAGTAGGTTTCATAACTACATGGACATAACTTCCTCATGCACATTACAGCTGATTAATCAAAGGCATGTGATGCAGTGGATTCTGAGTCACGCCTTCATTAATCCTCCACCAGAGAGCAGATTCTTTTCCCTGCTCTATAAGTCCTGATGAAAAGGAATTTAATGTGTGCAAATACTCCTCTGTGTGCAAATTCTGTGTGCTCTGAGTTTTTGGAATTGGTTGGTTGTGATATATATATTAAAAGATGACCGTTGAGTGACCCCTGAAGAATACACGCTTTCCATCAGCATTAATGTATTTGTAATCCTTTGGGATATTCAGAAAGGACTTACCGGACTGATTTAACACTTTTTTGCCACTCATTTCCGAAAGCATTTACTATCTCAAAGTCTTTGTGTGCTAGATGAGAAAAAGCCCCCCGAGTGGCTTGAATCCAAACATCTTCACAGCATCAATACTGATAAAAGTATTACACTCTTAAGTCTGAATTTTAAAAAAAAGAAGATTATCACATTTTAATCACTGAAGATGTATCTCACCAGGAAAATGACTCCAGGACAACCGATCAGGGCTATCGCTGTGGAAAGCTTGCGTTTGTTGCCTCCACTGTAGGTCCCTGCCGACTTGCTGGAATATTTGATCAGCCCCAATTTCTGGATCCCCCACTCGGCCACCTTTTGGAGAGAGAAATCAGTGACCAAAGCTACCATGGTGTAGCTAAAAGAGTGTTTACGTGAACCCCACAAACAGACTTTCTTTGGATGGATGATGATTCGACTTGAATCTCCAATGTATTTAAGCTCTGTGATTTTCAAAGACAATGCATGGAAGCTGGCATCACTTTAAGACCGTAATCACAGGTTGTTATGAAACTGTTGTTGCTTCAATAACATCACGGCAAACATCTGCAATAAGCAACATCAACACAAGAAAATGTTGAGGCGTCACAATACAACGGCATTGGACGATTCTCAATTAATAATGTGGACAATCTGTTTACCGATTACACCGTTGTGACTGCACAAGGGCTCCGTTTGGATCGAGAATTGGCACCATGAAACGCATATCTCAATGGGCCAAAGTCAAATTCAAGAGTTATGCTCGCAGCGCAGGATTGGGTCTCTTTTCATCGCAGCTACGACATCAAAGCCCTGGCATCGGGTCTGAGGCCTATGGTCGCCGCCGGCCTATTCCCCTTTTGATCTTCTTGTGGTAGAAGGAGTGCAGGGAGGCCGCGTCGGGCCGGCCACACCACTGGGCACGGTGAATAATGTAGAGCCATGACCCGCAGCGGCTGCTTTTACACCACTGGCCATTTTTCATTATGTATGGGTTCTTCCAGAAAAGTGTTCAATCACGTCCATGTATTCCTTCTCAGCCTGCATGTATTCTGAAGCAATATGTAACAACAATAATTCTGGAAACAAATAAACATGTCTAAAAAGTAGCACAACTTCTGTCTTTTGTTTTGTTGTTTTCTAAGATTGCATTATTGCCAGTTATTTTAACCACCCTAGCCATCTGTAGAACCATGCCTTCCTCAGTTTTAACAGCACAAGGGCTCGAGGTAGGAAAGGATTGTGATGGTTACCATGGCGACCTCTTTTTCTGGGACCCCCCGTAGCCTGGCGTAAAACTCAAGATGCTCCCGTCCAGTCAGCAGTTCATCGATAGCATCGAACTGGGGACAGTAGCCCATGTTCTGGTGCACGTTCCTCATTTCTGTTCGTATGCTGGGGATGAGAATTTAATTAGGGTTTGACAAAGCATGTCATTAATGTTTCAGACGGAGAGTATAATATCGTAAAAATAATGAGAACAGTTAGAAAGACAAAAAGTATACATGTCGGAAATGTTGCCACTTTTCATTCAAACAAAACGCATTTACTCAGAAAGATATGTCCAAATCTGTCTTTCTCTACAAACCTTTTCTATACTAATACAAAGCACATATTTGTCGTTTTACATTATGCTATCTATCGATCGACGTGTAGTCTCAAGTCAGCATCCCAAAACAAAAGGAAGCCAACTGACAGAAAAACCCTAATGTTGATACAACCTTTAGCTGGTCCAAGATGGTCATATCATATAACAGTCAAGTGCTTTTTTGTTGTTGTTGTTGTTGTTGTTAGCATCAGCTATTCAGATTCTGACAATGAACATCCAACTATGAATAAGCCTTTAATAGTGCCAATGAATATGAAAGGACGTTTATTGCAATTAAACTTTTGTTTAACATATTCCTTTATAGCCCTACAACCGGCCCTAAACTGTGATGATATTGTATCTATTGAGTTGAACATTAATACAGAAATGATTCTTTATTAAATACAGGAAGGCGGTAAAAGGCAAGCCTGGATCGGTCCAAAGGTTAGCAGCACCTCTTGATACAAACTACAGTGGTAAATTTGAGGCCACTACACGAACACAACACTAACTTAATACATATTAACATTTGAAAAAGTCTTAATATGTATTAAACATAACCAAAACCGAGGTAGTCTACTGCTGCCATAAGTCTGTTCTTCAGTTGGTTTCCCATCACAGGAGACTGCCGATGTTATACCGGCAAGAATTTGTCTTTTGCATCCCAGAGACAGGAGGACGCCAGGTGGCGAGGAGATGCCAGATCCAGGTATGAATAAGCTGTCAGGGGAGCAAGGACTTCCACTAAAAAGATGCTGCTTCTTTTTTCCTTTTGCCAATCATTTTTATAACCGACGCACAGCAAGCTGAAAGCAGAAGAGTGGGCGTACTCACATCTGTTTTGTACTTTTCAATTTTTGTTTTCCTTAAAGGTCTCTGGATTTTTCTTTTAATCTCTCTCAGCCACATACACCAACATTAACACCGTTGTCTCAGGCCTTGCTTTACTCAGCTCTACTTCTTGTTTCTATTGAACTCAAAGTAAATTAACCGATGTATACATAAATGAACGACTGAATAGCGACCGCAGTGATGCAAAACCAACCGGCAGCCTGTCTGACAACCGTGCTCTGATGTGCAGCCTTAGAGCTCCATGCTAGGGGGGAAAATAACTGTTGTTTCTTCCTAAAAATAAGGAAGCGCAAGTGCTTGAGTCTCATACTGCTGGTGTCAAGGTGTTTTTTTCTTTTGGCGTGTACAAAGATTTCTTATGACTGATTCTGTGAGGCAGAGACGAAAAACACAGCGATGTGCAGGGGCGAGGATGTAAAAAGGAATGAAACGTGTGAAAGAGTCAGACAGAAAGCGAGAGCAGAGTTTTCAGCATTTCTGAGAATATCGCGGGGATATGACATGAGAGGCGCAAAGTTGAAAAGGCAGCGATGGCAAAATGTATAAGAGACATCAAAACTACCGAAAAACAACAACAAAGAAGGTGAATGAGAGAGAGGGGAGAAATAGAAAGCAGAGTTACGCGGTACAAGTGAGGCTAAAAAAAGGGTGCGAGCTGTAGAAAAACTTCTCTCCGCCCGAGCAGCCATCTTGGGTGGCTAATTATGACGAGTGACTTGGTGCGCTGGTGGGAGTTAGCTCCTCACCTGTATCCATTTAGGAAGGCCTCTCCACTGGAGACTGGGATATCTCCTGTCAGCATCTTGAACGTGGTGGTTTTCCCGGCCCCGTTGATTCCCAGCAAGCCGAAACACTGACAGAGACAAAAAGGGGGGATACAAACCTTATTGGAAAGCGGACAGCAGACCCTAACCCTCTCTGCATAAAGCAAATATTTGTTCACAACATACAGAATAATTGAACTGCTGTACGTAATATGCATAATTGGTTCGGTGTTTAGCAAGAATAACAAATGTATGTTTTAATTTCCTGTCTATTTTCACCAAATACACATGGAAGGCACAAAGTTGATACTGTAAAAAGAAAATAATGCGGCAGGAAGTTGTCGCTACGCAGCCCCTCGAGTCCCGCCTTAGGTGGTCCGGCATAAATGTTTGATTTCTGTCATTCATTGATCCCTGCTTGTTTGTGACCTGTGCCTGGGAATGTATAGTTGAGGACTAAATGCGATGTAAATAATGCATGGAAATGCACTGTGTGATCAGCAGAGCCCCGTGAATCACAATATTCCGCTGGCATTTACATTGGGCTTTGAGTAAACAGCGGCCGGGAGGAATGATACCACCGGGAAGCTCCTGGAGCACGGCCGCCTGTCAGCATTTGAGATTATGTTTAAAAGAAGCTTCCAGCACACAACGGGTGTGTGTCTGTGGATATGTGTAATGTGCAACATGACATGATGACTTTGGATGCTTTAGATTACAGTACATTGATCAAAAGTCAAAACTGTGTAAAGTTTACCTCGTCGCACTTTGTGTCGATTCCCACCGCTAATTTGGCAGTGTTCTAAACCAAACATCACTGGGTCCTCGTTCCTTTGCTTCATAGACTTTGTTGCTCTGGCAATGCTGTTCTACTAGCCTGCCTGTGCGTTTTTAGCACACAAATGCTTGGCAGTAATACAATGGCAGAAAACAAGCCCAATAAGGAGATTAGTGTTTCTCCTCACGCCTTCTCTGAGCAGCATTTGGGAGAGATTTAGATTTGACTTAGTAAAATCTGAGAAGAGGCAAAAACATTTCTAATCTTCAAGAAATAACTGGAAAACTGTAAATCAAAGCTCAGACAGAGTGTATCCGCTCACTGCTCCTGGTTCTTATACGTATAATTTTGTCAAAAAATGTTGTATTGGTATTTTCGAAAAAGGTCTCTCGCAGACCTTGAAGAGCTGCTCGTGTGATGCAGCGGCATTTGGCTCACCTCTGCGGCAGGTACTCCCACACATAGCCTGTCCACAGCAGGGGGGCTCCTCCGAGAGTACACCTGCAGGGAGCAGACAATAAAATGAATCAAGCAGCCAGCCAGAGAAAGGGAAGGCAGGGGGGGAGCAGACAGTCAGCAGGCAAACAGAGAAGATCGCATGACGAAATATGGTGCGATCGCCCAGAGCAGCAGGGAAGAGCAGGGACGGAAGGAGCAGGTGGGGGAAGCAGAAGGGAGAGAGACGGAGAAAGTGGAGGAAAAGAAATGATCAAGAAGGAATCATTTGCAACATTTAGAGCCTTCCAGATGGTAAAAGGCGGTAAAAAAGAAAGTGAGACGCTTCCACAAGGGGGGAACAAGAGGAGGGCGTGAACATTAGTATTTGTGACCGTATGACAGTATTCATGAGGAAATCTGTCTCGCATTTGAGTACCACTTCAGTACCCTCAATAACCTTTAGCGCATTCGCCAGTCAAACCGCTGTTCGATGCATGGAAACCAGCTTCGCTGCGGCAGCATTCAGTGATTCAATACACAGAGATGACTTTGGTGAAGAAGCGTGTTGTCCTTAATCTGAAAAAGTACTCCTGAAGGAAACCTATTACGCATGCTATAAGCCTGTAGCCAAACCAGGGACAGGGTAAGGTTGTGATGTAAAACTTAAACAGCTGGAAAGGCCACCTGATAAGAGCGCAAAACCCAAAGGAAAAAAGAGAACAAATTCGTAGGCAGTAAAGCCAAAACAATGAGATTAATGAAGCATATTGCACCCACCTATGGAAATGTTTGAAATTTACATTTAACATGTCCTCGTTAAGCTTGTAATATAAAAGATAATATGAGCGTATTTGCATGAATTGCCGATGGGACTTTTAGCTTTAGAGATGTCCTGTTTCAGACTGAAGATGTTTCGTCACATTTTGACCTGCTGGCGTTGCACCAGTACTTGAAAAGCTAGTGAATCGCATCATTGATTAAGACACAGGACACATTAGTGAGCGGACATGTACACCACACCGCATGGTAATCCTATTGATATTAACCAAACTGAAGGAGGGCTAGACTATTAAAACTGTGATGCAGAAACTCATCTCTCAGGGGAAAAAGAACAATTCGGTTTGTAAGTCACCGCTATAGACGATTGATGTCGTACCACATCCCACATGAAAACTTTCCGTCCTGCATCCACATCCTCCCCCGCTGACCAGCCGTATCCCTGCACATTTGGTAGAGAACTCTCAATGTAAGGGAACATGATGTTTTTTACAGTTTTTTTTTGTTTTTTACAATCACAAGAAAGATTCAGCAGTCGAATATTTAATACATTTGGGTATTTAGTGTGTGAGGTATTTTTCAAAATCCAAGACTGAGAATGTCAGGGTTTGATGTATTTTCAAAGTGGTTTGAAAGCAGCGTTGTCTCACTCTAGCAAGAAAAGACAAGCCAGGACAAGACAAGGCCTTTGTTGTTGTTGCTGACTGTGACAGTCAAGGCATTTCAAATTCTAAATCAAGGACAGCACCGGGCCCCTTTGGGTTACGAAAGAGTGACTATGCGTGTTTACAAGCCCGTGTGTGAGTGTTACAGACTTAAACTATAAATGTTAAAACAAAAACAAAAAAAAGTGACAACATACATTTCCACGGATACATTTATCGCATCGAATCTGCGGACCAAATATTACTCACCATTGAAGACACTCAGCCGTTGCGGACAAAATGCCTACAAGGTAAATTTAGAATGGCCACATCGAATAATGACATTGCATTCACTAAATAGTTGGCACATCGAAATCCTTTCAGTGCCACCTGGCAGCTGCACTTATCAACCTGTATTACACATGCTACTTTTTAGTGACAGTTTGCAGTGCTAAAGCCACATCAAAGCGCCACATACATGTATGGAGGGAGGCAATTAAAAGATAATTCCCCCTCAGACTTAGAAAGCACAGCGGCTGATGATAAGCAGGCTGACGTCTAATTAGATGAGACAGCTGAGAGGAGGTGACAGCGGCGGTACTGGGGAAACCCTAAAATGTAGATTTAGGTCAGCACATCACTAGATGTAGACGTTGCATGCTGCAGCTCAGGGAGTGAGACATCACACTGACACTGCTTTTTACAAAAAGGACTCTCCAAGGACTATTCGTTTCAGCAGCATGCGGTGTGTGTGCTACTTTTGGCTGATGTTCCCTCACTGCCGTACCAGATTAGCTCAAGATTGCTTCACCCACATCACCTGTCATGTTCCATTTACCTTGTTAGTGAGTTTAAACTGGATGCCATTTAACACATTTAATTGCATAACAGTTGATATTTTCATGTTTTTTTTATACAACACAAAGTGATACTCGAAACAGCTATTTTTTTTCTGTTAATTAATTGCAATGACTTGGTCAAGTTTCCGCTAGTTGCATGAGGTTGTTATTTGAACCATTAATTCATTGAAAGCACTATTCGTGTTAATATTGTTTCTCTCTTTCTCGCTGCATTGCATCATTTCTTTTCTTTGAAGATAATATTTTGATGATGTAATGAAATCAAATAATGTACGGGAATGGACATCTTTGGAGTCATTCGAGAGAAGGTAAACATCACAAACAAAATACAATATAATATATATGATATATTAAAATACATACTACTATAGTATGTGTAGTATCATACATATACATGTTTTGCCCCACTGAGGCAGCACAAGTCTTACTCAAACCGCTTACATGCACAGAATAAATATAATCACAAGAGCATCCTTGAAGTACTCCAAGGTTCAACTCATCACTCTTCAGTCTCCTGAATTCAAACAGCTGTCACAAGGTCCGGTAAAACTTCCACTGTCAACTTAGTGAGTGCCTAGAAGGTTGAAGCGACAGCACCGGGTCGGGGAAACTGCTCACAGATGGACACACTTCCATTACAGTCTGCACTGACGCTAATGCAGCGGCTAAGTGGAGGCTACCAGGTGGGGCTCAAAAGGAAGGGGAGGAGCACGAATCTGACACATGATGGATGGGCTGTCAATCGCTTCAGAGGCATGCTTGGATTTATGACAGGGCTCAGCCTGTGGCACATGGCCACCGAAGCCATGAGCTCATTGATCAATTTGTTATCTGCATCCCAAAAGGACGGGGCACAGCTGTGGTGGGAGTCAACGCGGGCACTGCAGGAAGAATCCTGATGCCTTCTGCCACTGTACTGCTGTTTTCGTGTGATGGGCGGTGCCACAGAGTCTCGTCTTAGTGAAATATTGTCAAGAGATCAAGGTGGAGAGCAACGGTTGCGTGTAAACAGGAGAGAATCACAATTACATCTAGTTTTTGTTTCATTATGGCACAGTTTAAGGCTGCAGATCTGTCTTTTCCCAAGTTCGCTGAACATTAAAAAGTTCATTTGACAATTTTTTTGGCTGCGAAAGAAACATTCCACTCCACCCGGTTTCACCTTGCCAGATGATTTGTAAGACATTACCCATCCGACTGATTTACCCAGCGCTTGCGCGGTAATTACCCGAGGGAGTGTGGAGCAGCCCTGTGTCCGTGAGCAATGAGTGAAAGATGAAGTATAGACTGCGGAGGCCGCGGCAGTCAAGGAGCGAAGCAGGGTGGTAAGAACGAAAGGCTGTTAGACGGTCCAGCTGTCGGCACTAGAGGTGCGAAGCAGTCTGCTGGGGTGTCACTTCCTGCTGCCGTGCCGCCCGCGGAGGAAACATCTGCCGATGGATGTGGCGTTAATCTAGCCTGTGTCGCGGCGCACACAACTTGCGGGTGCAGCGTGGGAAAGGCCAGGGCCGTATGCGAGTGCGGACCTCTACGAGGCTAAAATGCAGCCATGTTTCGTTCTCATGGCCAATTGTGATGCATGTGAATCTTCAATCTGTCTTCTCATTTTCCTTGCAAAACTGAACTGTGCATCTGCGAGGAGAAACAGCAACACCCTAAACTTCTTTCACTCCCACATACCCACGTGTAAAGATGAGGTGGATTAGTACTGTATTATGAAAGAACATAACAAAATAAGGAGCAAACAGATAATTACACAAGTTGTCGATTGTAAAATATTTGAAAAGTAAAAATACAGCGGACACAGTGGAATACTGCGCCAGCCAGTATTTGTTATAAAGAATAAGAATTAGAACAAGAGTAAAGATGAAAATGAAAAATAAATATAAAAGAGGCAGGTGAGCTGTTGAATTTCCTGGCTTGTAAAAAATGTAAAATTTACATATACCACTAGACTTTGAAGTACAGAAGACCTTACCATCATGATGGCATGAAGGAATACGCTTTAAGTCTAGGACTTTAAATAATAAATTAATACATTTTTACATTTCAAGAAGGAACAAGTAATCTGAACCTGCAGTTATTCCATGTTTTGGTCAAAAACATATGACTGAATAGAAAAGTGGGAACTACTCACTACAATCAGTACAACACTTTACTTTAGGACTTAATTATGTGCAGCACAATACCTTAGTGAGGTCACAGATCCTCAGAAGGTCTTTCTGGGCCTTGCCTTCATACAAGCGCTTGCGTTCCTGAGCAACATCGATATCCTCCTCCTCCGAAGATAATGACTTTCCTGAAATAAGTCTGGCAGAGAGAAGTGAACCACAGTTGGATGAACACCATTCATTAAAATTTACATGACCTTGCACAACAAATGAACTTGGTCAAAGTTAAAGCTCCATAACAAAATCTCTCTCTCTCTGCTTTTGGAGGAAGTAAATAAAAAAAGGAAACAAATCTGGATAGTTGGTAAACACATTTCCAGTGCAACAAATATTATGGGAAATTAATATGAAGTGTGTTACTCATCCAAATTGCAAAGAATAGGGGTATGTTTTTTTATGACTAAAACAAATACTGCATGGAAATTGACTGAAAACATGAAACTATATTGGTATGAAACGTGAGTGTAGTGAAAGCAAATTTCTTTGGCCAGTTTCAAACCACATTTATCTATACAAATGGCCGCTGATTTTACCTGGGCTTGCAGAAAAATTTATACTGGATGAGGATGGTGATGGTAAACATGACGACTCCCTGGATGGACATGGCACAAATGTTCTTTCCCACCATTTTCCAGCTGAGTGGGTCCTTGAAACGGTCTTCCCCTAAAAGAGGGAAGACTATGGTGTTAAACAAGGTCAATACACAAGAAAAATCATAAGCTCAGAGTATGATTTAGCAGAAATGACTTCAAAAAAGGAACAAGGGGATGTGCGTTTTCTTTCATGCACAGAAAAATAGGTCTTCGTCAAAAAGAGCAGGAGTTTTTTAGCTCTTTGAAGTGTTTTTGAAACATTCATTGCTGAAAGCCGGCTGTTTAAAAGCCACTGTGCCTTAAAAAATAAAATGTAAAAAAAGTGCTGTCACGTAGTCATGTGCGGAAATCAATGTTATCCGGCGCTTTTCACGTTGAGCCCTTTTCGGCTAATGAACACTCAAGTAGACCGGTGACAGCCCCCCACTCATCATCATTTTCATTTCTGCTCTCTGTCTTTCCGGCGTCTCTCAGATTCCACAACCCTCGAGCCCGAGGGGGCAGAGTAAGTAGACAAGTAAAACGAAGGTGCTTGCAGACTCATTCTCTGGTAAATAGCAGTTCTCCACACCAGCCCCCTTTAGGTTGTGATTGCTTTCCCCTTCCTGCTCTCTGCCACCGTCGCAAAATGATTCCTCAAGCCACCATTTCCTGCTCCATGTCTCTAAAGGTAACAGTCCTCTTCGTGTTTCACGTGTCTCTTTTCTTCTCTTGATGGCCTCCTCTAAACTGCCTCCGCAAACCCGGTCCCACCCTCGACCACCCGCCTGGGGGCCGAATGAAGCTCCGCAGGGGGGGGGGTTGTGGCACTGTGTTCCCGCTCAAATATCGCCATGCTACAAACACGCTTATGACGTACACCAGTTATTCTACAGTGGTGGGGGCCCCTTACCAAAACCGCTGAAGAGGGTGGCCATTGCCTGGTTCTGAGCCATGTCGATGAGTCCTCGGCCCAGACAGAAATGGGGGAATATCAGCAGCACGTTTTTCACAATGTCATTGATGCGGGAGACATTCTGTTGAGGAAATTGCACACGATCAAAGATGATTATTAGTGGCATGTTAAAAGCTTTGAATATTTAAGGCACGGCTGAGAATGAGCACAGGCCTACTCGTTGACTCGCCGCTTTGAATCAGCGGGGGTCAGCGGTGCACGGGGTTTGGGAGACAGTGCGTAGTGCCCCGACGCAAGCGTGGATAATTAAAAAACATCCCGCATTACATTTGCATGCTGCGAGCTGCTGTGCTGTGCGAGGCTCTAAATGGTCCCGCTGAGGAAGCGCAGAGCATCTCGGTTCATCTACCTTCTTGATGTTGGAATTCTGCAAACATTAGGGAACACACTGTGTGATCTGTGAGGTAGCACACACACACAATGTGTAAACACAAATTAATGAGGTGGTGCTCAGGTAAGCAGATGTGCGTCCTTAAAATCCTAACTAAGGGTAGAAGGAGCACCCTGAGACCAAGAAGACACAGCTGGCAAAACACCAAAAACTGTGAAAACAGAAATTCTGTGTGTGCCTCTGTTCTTTCTTCTGATACTGTATAGAAGAACAATGAGATCAATGTGCACCAAGACAAAGCATATTGTTTCACTGTTTCACGAGGGATACAAAAAAACTAGTCTCATCTTGGCAGGGCATTTCCCAGCTCCGACTTGTCTTTCTTCCCAAAATTGCTCAGTCCCATTATCACTTCCCTCCTTCCCGAGGCAACAAATCAATGGGGTCCAAGTATATCACGAAATGAATAATGAATTTAATGAACACACAATGGACTGGGCTATAACAATCTGGCTCAAATAAGGAAGGACGTACTGTAAGTCAGGGAGGAAGGAAGGTACGGGAGAGAGAGGACTAAAAATGACTGCGCTTGGCATGTTTTGAAAGGCAAGTCCATGCATTATGCACAGGCTACTGGTTCACGGCACCATGGTCTTCAAAGCTCTTACCTACGTGGAGGAAGAACATAAATTCATCATTTCTGTATTTTGGGCAAGACCAAGCAAAGAGTAGGTGGGGCGTGGGTAGCAGTGCATTTTGTCAAAGCTGTGTGCAAGATTTCCAGATGTTGGCAATTGTTGTTGCAATATATATTCATGGGTATGTGTACCTGCTTTGTGATTTATGACTTCCACTGAGTAAGCTTTCGCAAGGAAGGTGAATGCATGGAGCCAGTCTGCCTTAAAAAAAACAGGCAAATGCTTAAAAAATATTATTATGAATAGCAACTACTGGATTTTTGTTTTGTTTTTAGATGAATATTTAAATATTTCTTTCATAGAGTTCAGATATTAGAATAATAACACTACTACTATGTCTGGTGAATGAGTAGTCAGCTGCTCAGCTTGGCCTTGCAAAGGGACTGCAAACAGATGAGAAGAACTTGCCCGGCTGAGTCCCAAGGTAATCAACTCGCATATCTAAAGTTCAGCTATAGTCTATTTTGTGTTAGTAACTTCCTCGAATTTTCACAGGTTGCCTGGCAACTGGTCCCTGCCAAGAAACAGTCAGGCCGTGAAATCGCTAATTGTCATTTTGGTGAATCGCTTGTGGGTGGATATTGTCACCCTTGGACGGAGCCAGGTGAGGTGTTTCCACAGTAGGTGCTACTTCATGTCCACAGTTTTATATTTAGCAGACAGACATGAAAGGGGCCTTGATCTTCTCATCTCAAACTGAAAAGGAATATTTCCAAAAATGTGGAACTATTCCTTTCCTCACTTTTTTTTCTCGTTATTAACTTTCCTTTTCTCTTGGTGTCATTGCATCTTCCTCTTCTTCTTCCACATGATAATGGAAGCAAAGGTATGTCCACATCTGATCAAATGCAACCTTCAGATGTATGTCTAATTATTATAATAGCTCATACCAAGAGGAGCCGAGGTGCATTCAGGCACATTGTCTTACATTAGCAATATCAATAAACAGATTATAAATTTGTATTTTCATCTAGTTTGGTATGTTGACTTTTATCCTGTTGATGATGGATTTGTTCTTTCATTAAAGTAAGTTGTCGAGACTTTTAAATAATCGTTGCATCTGAGGTTCAATATCGCAAAGGAATGTTTACCTTAAAATGCATCATTCTTCACACATTGCAAACATTTAATGTCAAACATTTTCTGTACATCGTTCTGTATGTTAATGTTCGAATGCACACTGAAGTCCCCCCTGTTCTGAACATTCAGTTACGCAGAAATCGAGAAAGCCAAATAAACAAACGGCTATGAACTTGACGGAATCTGGCTGGCAGAGGAATGCGAAGAAAGCAAGACCTAATTTGAGATCAATACATGAAGTAAAGCATGTCTTCTTCACTGTGTGTTCATCAAGGAGATCTTAGAGGCTCTTGGTTGGGAGATGATGAAATGCTAGACAATTGTCCTCTAAACGCCGGGCTATGTACCTATAAATCATTTTCAAATGGTTCAGAATGTGTTGTAGTGCCTGAGACGCACATCTGACCCACCTCGCTACACATGCTTATTCCCACAGCACGGCTTCATTGAGAATGCTAGGATTTACTTTGCTTGTGAAACTATACTTGTTGTTTTTTTGCCCTGTCATGCTACACCAAAGGACTGATTCGAATGCCCATCTCAAACAACCCGCCGCTGACGGATGGCGGATAATCACACAGCTACACTACATGAGGTGGTTGGTACCTGCCCGCGCCTTTCAGGTTTATCCTGGAAAATCTGCCTGTGCCTGTGGTTATCTCAGAGTGGCACGTGGTGGAGGTATTGATTCAGACATCGCTTCAAGCGCATAAGGCAGGCTGGGATGGATGCAATCCACAGGGGGCCGGCCAGTCCTGAGGGGGGAGACCATCTCCCATTGCTCTGGAGACAAAACTGGGGCACAGAGTCTGTAACACTGCAGCTCTGCGTTCATCTCTTTGAAAAAATATTGCTATGCCCAAAGGGATCTAGATTCACCCAGCGTTTGAAAACAGGGAACACATTGAGGCCTGTGGCTTTACTTTTGAGTGACGTTGTTTAACTAATGCCACCGCCGAGGAGCCTAAAAATGATGAGACAAAGCTTTGAGGCGCGAGAAGTCGCAAGAGGGGAAGACTCGGCTGAGCTGTCAGATGTAGGATCAACCCTTTCTGCCTAGCTGTTGCGCACTTTTGTGCTCTCTCATCGCAGCGAGTTATTTTGTGGAGAGTCTGTTCTCAAAGGATATCCGCCAAACCGGACAGGAGACACATGGCAAACTTGGAGAGTTGATTGATGTTGACCCATCTGGCTCCCATATCGGCAGTGAAATCAAGTCAGATTAGCAGAATTACCACGGACCTCTGTCCCCGTCAAGTCGCAGAGACGCACTATCTCTTTCCCGAGCGCCCGGGACAAGAGAAGAGCCCAATAAATCTATCGCTTTACACTGCCGGCGGGCAACATGCTGTCCATTAAATTATTACCAATGGCACCCTGTATGAGTAATACGCTCCTCTGACGCCGTATCAATAAATAAAGTGGATGCACAGGACAACAAAACAATGACAGACAATGACGGACAAGAACTTGCCGGATGAACAATACAAATTGATAATGAATCTTGGCAATGATTACATCACTATGCAAATGAGGCTGCCTCGTTAGGAGACAGGAAACCTGCGTGCCACAGAAGAGCGGCGCCAGAGGAAGCGTCGACTCAGACTCAGCGTGTCGGAGAGGATGGAGTGTGTGCGGAGGCAAAGTCTTCCAGGCAGCATTGCGCTCGGTCTGAAGTGTGGGCTCAGAGCGGTTTGAAGCATCAGATTGGGAAGCAGCCTGTCAGGAACGAAGCGGCCATTGTGTCTGTTGACGCGCAACGACTGATCGGGCTAAATATATATATTTTTTTTAAAAAGAAAAAGAAGTCGCTGTCGTGTGCTAATCACACAAAAAACAATTAAGTCTCAGAATAAAATTGCTCATGTTTAATTCAGTGACCAAAAGAAAAAAGACACAGAGAAAATAGAGTCATTTTCTTAATCATCACCTGTATGGAGCGGAGGTCCCATTGAGAGCGATCTCAGAATATTTTTCTCACCTTTCTAAATTTGTTTTATTTTCATGAAATGTCATTTAAATTCTAATCAAAAGCAGAATGACTGACAGCCACATCCCCTCTTTCTCTTCCTGCGCTCTCCATTACTGATGCAGGTCTTTTTTGGTGTCTTTGTATTTTAATTCCCCACAGACCAAAGCAGGTTGCAGTTAAAATGAACACTTGCTGAAAGATGGATGAGGACGGTTCTCTGAAGACCCGTTTCTCACCAAACGATTAAACAATAAAGAGGATAGGGAAAATAACTCCTTTGAAAAATCCTTGAGAGGATAAAGGAAATAAATTAAAAGTTTGAGCAGGTGGGTAGACACTTCACCCACATGGAAGCCTTTGCTTCAGAAAAAAAAAACGTCTTTCCACAATTGAATTCAATTAGCAAATCCACCGCTTTAGCCCCCAAATATATTTTTTATGCCTCTATGGGAAAATGGATGTCTGTGCCTCCTACTTCACAGGAAGTCTGTCTTCCACCACTCGCCTGCATATATGCGAGTCTCTTGTCTACTACAGTATAAGTTAGTGCATGTGTGTTTGTGCGTGTGACAGCTACTTACGTCGTCATCAAAGAGCTCCAGCACAAAGGTCGCGATGCTGCCGTTTATACCGATGAAGAGGTTGATGCAGGTCAGCACCACGTAGGCCGTGCTGGGCACGCTGAAGATGAAGGAGGCTGGGTACATCATGGGGGTGATGGCCCACCTGCATAAAGGTGAAAACAAGGCACTGTCACCGGCGCTGCACTAGTTCAAGTTTAGTATTAGAGGTATCAGAACAGCTTAATGTTTCAAATGATATTGTATGAATGAGTTGACTGTATGCTTCATGATATAGCTGGTCACGTTGAGGGCTGTGCACCTCTTTAACATTTTTGATTTGAACCGGTTTTAAACTTTTAAAGACAGAAAATTATGCATCAACCGCTACGTTGGCTCTGATTACCACCGTGACACGCTACCAACTAACAGCTTTAATAAATGTGTTGCACAATTCACTTGCAGGTCTATATAGCATCAGTTACCCCGCTATTGTATGAGATGATGTATGAACATTTCAATTTGTCAACCAAATTTCTTCCTATATGCGTTTGAATATTAAATACATCGAGGAAAAGTGAGGTGGCGTTCTGCTTAAATTAGCAGATGCAGAAGACACTACAGTATCTGATATTATTGAACAATGTGGCAAAATGCAATCTAATAAAGAACCACCCATAGTCCAAACGTCATAAAAAAGGGATAACATTACTTGAGACAAGGAATCGCAACCGGCTATCACTCATAAACAGCTTGAGAATGAGGTGAAATTAAAGTTGATATTGGAAGTTTGAGTATTTTAATTTACTTACCCATAAAAAAAGAGCAGCAGAATCAAAGCAGGCAGATTAGGAGGTGAGACATAGGCTTTTTGTTGGAAGCAGAGGAAGATGAAAATCACAATGAGGCATGGGACGAAGTAGTTACACTGCCGGGACAAACAAGCACACGGAAGAAATAAGCACCTACTCCAATCAAAAGTTGAGGACAGTGCATGATTAGGAAATATGTTTCCCTTTGCTTTCATTAGTGAGGACATACAACTAACTAACATTATCCACCAATATTTGTCAGTCATAAAGGACATTATTAAGACATATAATTAGCACTGAAATACACCCACCATCAATTTTCTAATGACTACCCTAAACAACACTGATTTAATATCCAATAAGACGGTTGAAAACAAGAGCTTTCACTTGTAGATCTAATATTCCCAGTAGCTGCTGAGCAAACCTACAGTTTCCAACCAACGATGCAGTAATTGATGTATAGATAAAATAAACAGTGATACTTGCTTATTTACAATCAAAAGGAAAAGTTGAAACTGAAATAATAAGGCATTCTTCAACCTGGATTGCCCCATCCTTTGATAGGGAGTGTTTTATCATGCAGATAGCTTCAGGCTAAACTTCTACTCAGTCAGAATTGAACAAGCATAATGATAATGGTCCAGGTGCCATTCATTTACTAAAAAGGTACCTGATAAAATGTTTACTCGCATGATGCCTCGGGGAAACTGTCAGTAAGGCGGTTGTGTGTAACCAGCGGGGGCGGCCAGCATCAATAATTACGCCTCAGCCAGTAAGTGTTGCTCTTAGGAAGCTCTTTTCCAGAAGGCTGCGGTGTCAAAGCTATATTAACGATTACAGTGAATGGGTGTTTTTTGTTACGTTCAGCCTTCCTGTATACCACGGTACAAAGTATAAAAAAAGGGTAAATTGAGGGCAACTAAACCTGTTCCAGAGTTGTTTCAGCTGCATTATCAAGGATATTTTTTTAACATTTGATGAAGCACGTAAATGAACGGCAAAGCTAAATGTAAAATCTAAATACAAGCAGCCTGACGGAGCTGATACTTACCATGTCCCAGGCAAAATTGGCCAACCAGTAGACAGCCGGGTTCACTCCACTGACAAATTGCAGATGTTTGGCTTTGTTCACCCTCTCTTGGATGAGGAAGAGGACAAAGCTGGCCGGGATGAAGGACATGGCAAAGATAACGCAGATGGACACCACTACATCAGTGGAGGACGTGGCCCTGTGATTGAATGGAGGAAAGCAAATAGGGAAGTTGAGTGGAAAGCTATTATTGTGCACCAGTCCAGGACACTGACAATGACACCAACACCAAAATAAGGATGCGGTGTGTCCATTTACACACTCAACAAAAAGGTTTCCATGATGCACAGAAAATATATTGTTGGAGGTGAACAAAGAAAGTAAATGAAGACAGGAGATATTTTCATCACAACACAGGATTTTCAAGACTGAATGAGAGCAGAGGGGTTTTGGGCTGAGCTGAAGGGAGGAGAGGGATTTATTTTGTTGATGGCAGAGAGCACAGAGTTGCAGGAGACAAATCTACAAATTATGAGGCTGTGGATCACGGTTTCTGTGACTCTTAGCCGGCACTTCTTCAGGGCATACTGGTTCAATTTATTTTCAATTTGAGTTGGCCACTAATTCATTGAATCCCAAAGCAGTCACATTTACCTCCTTTGGGAAAAGGACCAAAGACAATGGTCTCGGTGAGAAAAATAGGAAATGTTGCTGTACTGTGCAAAGGAAAAAGTCTATGCGAGATTTTAGGGGAGATAAAAGCCATCTGTTGCCTCTATTCTTTCTAGGAAAGAAGTCAGATGACATTTAAACCACTTTGAAGTGGCATTTGGCTCATTTCCAGTAATGTAAAATACACAATGTTACTTTGCAATGGTAAGGATGCGTTTAAACACATGTTATTACACCTACAGAATTAACATGTGTAACTAATGTTTCAGGCTTGTGTCAGTAGTAATTATGTCATTAGACATTAGCACTACACACATTAATAGAAAGCAACAGTGCAGTTTGTGTATAATAAGGGCCTTTAATGCTCATTAGCATTCTGACACAATGATTGGTTCCACTTTCAGTTGTATCTCCATGTAAAGATATTTTTTAAGTCTTCCCCAGTACGCAACAGTCTCCTCCTTTCGTGTTTGAAACAAATGGCTCTTTTCTCCTCCGAGACGTTGACCTTCATTTCACTGTCGTGTCTTCATTTATCCATCCTAGCTTTGAGAGTGTCCTCCTTGGTGCGAGCTATATTGGTATTGATTAACACGGTGGGGGTTTCTTTAAAATCCCACGGTCATCCTCACCTTCACCCCCCCCACCGCCGCATAAGATCTGACACAATTTCCTGCTGCGGGATTAGCATATTAAATGAATCACCCTGTGTGGCAACATGCAGATGTGTTGATGATTGGCAACCGTGCACAATTAAAACACATAAATATAGAATAGTCCACCGCAGTGGGTACCGGCCCACATTTCAACAGGTTTCAGGGGTTATGTGCTCTGGTTGTGTGGTAACGAAGGGGGCAATGCTCTGAATGATCTAAGCCCGAATGCTTGAAGCTGCTTAATTGCTGTGTGGAAGGAGACAAGCTATCTGCTAATTAACTAGTAATGGAAGAGCTAAAAAGACGAGCAGCGGGAAAAGCTCTACAGGATCTATTGCTTTTAGGGCTTTTTTTAATGACAAGGGCTGCAGGGTGCAGTCTTAAGTGCAGCGGGAGCTAAAAGCACGAGCTAATTATCAAACCTGAAGCTCCTGGCACAACATCCGGGTTGTCATTTGTATTATACAGCGTTATGTAGATAACATAGAAAACCATTTCAATTTTGATGGGAGCATATTACAATTAATTTGGTAGCTCAACCGTGTAAGGTTTTTAAATGGGATATTTTTTGCGAAAAGCATGCAAGAATCAGAAACAATATTAATTTGCCGAGCGGAACCAAATTACACATCAAATTCAACCGGGGCGCAAGAGCGTAACTTTTTTGTCAGTTTCTAAATTGATACTCCTGAGCAATTAAGAAGTGATACATCCTGTGTATTTCCGTAATGAAATGGTGTCAAAGTCTGACATTTCTGAAAATGATAGAGAATATCTATTTCTGCACGAATGCAGATGACTCGGAGACCTTGTGCGAATGAAGTGGTAATTGCGATAGGTGCGTGCTCCCCCTTTCTTTCTTTCTGCATACGGTTACAGTCTCAATGGATCATAAAACCAGTCGCATTGAGGGCCCACTAAAGGGGATGGTCACTTCATTTTAGATGGTGCAGTGTAATTCTTGTGTTCAAATCTTTATTACACATTGGACAGTTTAAGCTATAAACATTAGTTCATGTTTAAAAAGCCTTCCCTCAAAGTTGCTACAAAGAAATGTCATTTTGCATTCATTCTACCTGCGTTTGTAGGTCAGAGGCATCTGTATTGAAACATAACCAGTTAAACGTTCCTCATAGTTATTCAATGTTCACTCCTCCTGTAGCCTAGCTTTATTCTTAATGAACTCGATTTTTTTACAAACAAAGCAGCTGAAAATGAGATTGTTAAGAATATAATTTGTCTGTTAAAAATCGGACTCTAAAAACAACAGTTCTTAATGGTTTCACACAACACATTTTCATTTTATCCACCGCTTGAAAGTACTTCGAAAGTAAATTGAAGTGGACCGTAAAATGTTTTTAATTCCGTAGCTCTCGAGTCCTCTGCTCCAAAAGACTTGGCCCTTCTCCCCCCACTCTCGTCCGCAGCCTCATTTAACAGTGAAGAACTGTCCAAGCCTATCTGGAAATCATAGTTGATAAATTGTAGCCGTCACACTCTGTGGTCTCTGAAGTGGAGAGGAATAGAGGTGCATCCTGAATCTGTGGTCGGCGTCATCGTAATCATCTCCTAACTATGCCGCAGCCTCCCTCCCTGACTCAGTGCCGTCGCCGGCATCTGATCACTACATAAATACCTGTGGATCGGCCCGCAGCGACGGTGGTGTGCGGAAATAAAACTGCTATGGTGTGTGCTGATTTGTTAGCAGCCACCGGATCGCCTTCTTAAGGTCAGGAGTCGTGGCTGTGGCACCGTACGGCGAAATTTGCTGCGCTTGGATGCATTCCAATTTCCCTTACTTTAAAGAAGGATTGATCAGAATCCCTAAACAAACTAAACGCATGACATCAGCCACTGATTATGTCGAGGAGCAGACACTGGCTCAAGAGTCGCACAGTACGCAGGGAGCAGTTGGATCCCTATGTTGCGATTTAGCGCGCCATTAATCTCGGACTGTCATGGGGAGCCTCTCCTCTGCTAGCCCTGGGATGAAGCAGAGAAAAAAGGGGCGATGTCCTCATAAAGGGCTCTGCGGATGCCTCATCTATCTATCTGTCTCGCGCTTTCTATTGTGTTGTCTCTTACTCATCTGCTCTCCCTTTGTCCGTGCTGTCGCAGCTTTTCTTCCTCCCGCTCCTCCGCTCTGTCCCCCTCTCAGTTCCCCGGTCCCCCTCCTCTGCGTCCCCTGATGCAGTTTTAGAAAATCTATATCTGCGTCTTCCAGCAGTCTTCCAGAGTCATTGTTACGTAAAAGGGCTAAATATTTATTTCAAAAGGAGGAGAAAAAATTGCAGCAACCGGAAATAAATTATAGACACCATAAAGAATTTTCTAACACTATTAGGTCCTGAGCACGTGTTAGACATACAGATTACACATGTTGGCTCGCCCATGTCATATTTTAGTCGCCTTGTTCCTTCCTGCCCTTTGACCCGGACCACTACGAGGCACACGCGATGCATTAATGACCAACACCATGGGATTTTCAACATGTACCTAGCGTGGGATTGTACCTTCGCTCCACGACGCTAAAGCCCCTGGCGGCATCTAACCCGATTTTGTTCTACTCACAAGGCCGCAGAGGAGAGCTGATCCTTGGTGAGGTTGAGGGGGTGATTGTACACGGAGATGCCATACTGGCTGGGATCCTGTCCCGCTGGCAGATTTCCCCTCAGGATGGCGTTGTTCGCCACACCGAGGAAGGACGCCATGCCATGCCAGGCGTTGTTGTTGAACCACACCTGCAGGCAGAGGAAGAGAAAAGCATCAACACTGAGCACAGCATGCACCAGCATGGAAAAAGCATTTCATAAATTAAGAAAAAAAATAATAATAATATATATATATATATATATAAAAAAATATGGACATTTGGACTTGGTGGTCACATTCTTGTGCAGCAGTGAAAAGTACGGACAAGTACGGTTTCTTTTCCATTCAACGGAACATAAAAGGCCAGGACAGTGAACGCCAAATCCCAAAGCGGCATAGCATGCTAGCTGCAGCTTGCACACTTTATTTTAAATGTAAGTGATTCTCTGACTCTGCTGGCGTGCAGAAGAAAAAGAATGGATGATAGAGAGTGGGAGTGAGAGGACTCCCCGCTGGTAGTGCAGCGCTAATTAATAAGAGTGGATGGTGGTTGAATGCCAGCCTAACATAACACTGCATCACAGAGGAGGATATGGAGTAAGCACACACACACACACACACACACACACACACACACACACACACACACACACATCCTTGCCTCTTGTTCTCCCTGTTTCCACTGCATCTCAGATCAAGCGCACATCAACCGCAATTGATATTATTTCATATCATATTTTCGTCAGAATGCGGTTTCTGAAAGGTCTACAGCTAAAATATCATTTGATGTGTTTGAGAGAGTTAAGAGAACAAGCTTGTCTACTAAAGGCATGAGGGGGTTGAGGGAGTGAACATTTTAAGATACATTGCATTTCTGCTTTTGAAACTTTAAACATCAACTTATTTAGGAGAGGAGCAGCATATTAACTTCCACTTGAACAATGTGACGTGTGACGGCCCCGTGCTCACGTGCAGCACTTTTCAAAGGCTGTGTAGATTTATCAACACATCAGTCCTCAATAAAGGTATCAAAACAAACGGCACTACGACATTGGTAGTCTGCTGATGTGTGACTATGGAAAGCAGTATGGACTGAACTAAGACAAGTTTAACCTGGATCCATCCAACCAACTACAGCAGTAAACTGTTGCTTACACAACACCTCCATTGGTGCACGATATGCCGAGGTGTCATCATTGACCCTTCCCTTCTTAATTTCAGGCGAATAACGATGTAGGCAGTATACGTTATTATGAAGTGAATTGCGCGTAGAAAGATGTGAAGACAAGTTTTAAGTGGGTTGCGCCATGACTGTCTGCATATATCTATTTTTCTATATTTTCTTTCTATATCAACTTAATCTCAAAATGTAGCCAAATTAGGCTCACTAATTAATAGATTACCTTTAAGTTGTCCTTGGTTCCCAGCTTCCTCAGCAGCGTCTCAGCCTTCTGGAAGATCTGGTCAGTCAAATTATCCTAGTGGGGACGAAGAAAGCAAGACAACAGAAACACTGAGTTGGGGACTTAATTGGATACACTTGGAAAAACACCAACCGTCTTTGAAATGCAAAGCATGAGGCAGAGGGAGACAAGAATTAAGACTTCCCGGGAGCAGTTGGGTGTGTTGAGACACTTATTTTCCTCAGACTTGGGAGAAATGCACTCTACTGGTGTTGCATGTGAAATGAGCCGTGGGATGAGGGACTTGAGATGACAGGCGATTTCCAAAGTGTCATGTCGAGACCATGCTGTTCAGCCCAACCATAAGAGCACAGAGCACGTTACACATGTGATATAAATGCAAATGGACCTCCTGTTGGAACCTTTGCCTCCGTGAGGGGCGGTGGGGAAGGAATGTGACGTGGAGTGACGAGAAGTTGGTGGATGAAAAGTGCCGTTGACATTTGAGGGCGAGGTGGGGGGGGGTGTAGACGAAATGAGAGGAGAAATATCAAGACAGACACCCCAAGAATGCAAGAGTGTGCTCAGGTGCAAGTGCTTGTCTGCTCTGAGTGAAAGTGGAAAGAAATAGACACTAACGGCATCGCAGTCCCCTAAACTGATACCAAGGGACGAGGACCAAGGAGATCACGCCACCTGTGTCCTCGCTTTTCGGGACAACACGATCCTTCACTCAGCCAAAATTGCACCATATCATGACATTTTTAGAATTGTTGAAACATTTCAAGACTGTTTTCCCTGCCAGTTTTCATTAACGCAGCATGAATCCACTTTCCATGACACCACAACAACAACAACATTCAAAGGTAGTCTTGTGTTTGATCAGGCGTTCAACTCCGCTTCCTCAAACCATGAAAAATATCTTACTTTTGTCTGTAATTCTACCGTTGCCAAGAGAATCATTTTCAGCATTTTTTTTCCCTTTTTTTTTTAACTCCACTCTGGTCTGCGTTGTGCCGAGCGGCGGCGGGCAGCGCCATTAGGCGCCCTCACGGAGGATTAGCGGTGGCTGAAACGAGATGAGAAGTGGGCCAGCGGTCTAATCCCTGACAAACTCCTCCCGGCTCAAGGACAATGACAAGGCTGGTTTGGCCGGCGGACCGGCCCGTGCCACGGATAACGTCACAGCAATAAAGCCACTCGAGTGGGCGGTGACTTCCTTGGCTCGGATTCCAAAGTGGCCTGCACAGGTCAGCGGTCAAGCGTCCCGTGTGACTCACTGGTCATAAGGTCCGAGGGACGGTGTGTTGATACATGTCTGCACGTGTGTGTGTGTGTGTGTGTGTGTGTGTGTTAAATCCTATGGTTGAATAATATAAATTATTACAAAATACCGTTTGAAAAGGTTACCACAGAAACAGCGAGCGGTAGTGACATTAATACCACCTGTATAACACACAAGTATTGGGCATAGTTGTACAACTTTCAGTACACAAGCTTTCGCATCGTCTCCGTCACCTCCTGCACCACCAAAACCGATTCCTACCTGCTGGAGCCAATAAATGCAATTAAACTGAAGTCTCAGAGTCCACTTCCCATCCTGCACATGTGGTCGAGGGTGCAGAAAATACGCCACTTCCCGTCACCGTCTCACACTACACCGCCGGCCGAGTACAAGGGAGACACATTTCCCAAGGACAGTAAAGTACTTTAATAACAAGGAAGCGCTGCGACGGCTAATGCCCGGCCATTAGGGTTACATCATCGCTGCGGCACGAATTAAAGTCACGTTAGTGCCGAGATCCAGGTGACAGAAAACGGGGTCTGTGGAAGGAAGAGACCGGAGACACCTCAGGGCAAAGCAATGTGGAAAACTCAAAGTAGTTTGAGATATATGTGAAAGGTTACCGAGATATTGTGCGTGTGAAAGAGATAGGAGGGGAAAAGTGCGCTGGCATTTAGTTCAAGGAACATGGTACCAAAGTAAAAGTGTTTAAATATGTATATACATGAATTGAATTGAATTATAAACAAATAGTAGATGAAAAAGGTTGGCGGGATTGTGTGTTTTTGTGCAGAAAGAACCCAGATACCTTGATTTATTCAAGGTGCTGCACATACAATCAGAGCCTGTTGCCATGGACACTCAGCTGAATGGATTTTAAGAATCTAGCCCTCCTCTCCTCTTTCATTTTACTCTTTTTTTTGTCAATCATTCAAGAATACAGCGGGGTCCAAAAGTCCCCAACAAATAGCATCACCTGTACCCAAGATACAAAGCAAGCTGAACAGAGAACGCCATGGTCCAATTAGGAGCGGCTCTCTCAAGGTGCAACTGGCAAACTGCACAATTGACGGGATATAAACTATTTCTGAACCAATTCTTCAGGCCCAAAAGTAGTTGGAACCCGTACTGTTGGAGAAAGACTTACAATGCAACAGAACGCACCAGCCGTCATTGCCAGATTCCTCCGACACGGCAGAGAAACCTTAATCGAAATGGGAAAAGCTTTTGTTTTATCTTCATTTGAAATATAATGTGTGTTTGTTTTTGAAAAGGTAAGAGCATTTTTTTATGCTTTCAAACAAACCAGGACCACATGGACCCTAAAAAAGAACACACATAATTATTGACCAGCACTCGGGAGGTTGTTTTAACGCTGCACTCAAATAATGCTTTGGTATCAACACATTTGACATGCAAATTCCAACATATATTCCATATAAATAAATAACATACCCGAGAGGAATTGAATAGGCCTTTTAAATCCCTGAATGAAGCTCTGATTGCTGCCTCGCTCAGACGGACTTGGGAGTTGACGCCTCCGACAGAGATGCCTCCGTACCTGGGGAGGTGGTCAAAAACACAAAGAGAGAGGTTCAGGTAGGAAGTAAACAGAAGTATGTGAGTAATGGCAAAAATGTACACGCACATTGTTTATTTGTTTTTTTACACTTGCTAGGCACACACACACACAAACATGAAATACAGGCCTCAAGGAAAAGCAGATGGATATTACCATTAGGACCATGCAGTAATTTGTCTGTCTTTATGACAAAAATAAATCACCCACCCACTTTAAATGCTGCAGCTTCTTCAGACTACAATTACCACCTAAGGCCTGCATGTTGCGGTTCACTTCCATGTTGCTCCGTTATATTTAAGTAATAAGGTGAGGCTGTACTTTATCGTCAATAATGTTACAGTTCAAGGGTGTTGTTAGGCCCGACGCGCAGCAGAGGAGAGAAAATAGTCCCCGTACGTGGAGCTGTTGCTATGCAACTTCCAAGCAGCAATATTATGTTTGTTGGCCTAGCATCAAAGGTTTGTTGATGATTGGCCAGGAGACTAACATTAATTCCCAGGTTTCCCAGGCTTGCACCATTCAATCATTTATTTCACATTGGCCCCATTCCCCCCTTCCCGAATTGTCCTCTCTGCCTAAAAAGTGCCCTAGATTGGTTGCAAAAGCTAGCATTGGCCAAAACTGGTCAATTGCCATCGAGCTAAAAAATAAGGGAAGGGAAGAGACAACCAGAAAACCAAATAAAAACTTGATAAACTAGATAAAAGTCAACGCTCACACGTTACCTTGTTTTCCCAGAGCGTTTAAATGTCTTCACCAAGAAGTCCGTAACGTTTCGTCTAGTTAGATCCAACAATGTTTCTGTTGTGTTCTGGATCCTCTGTTTGAAAAAGAAACAAAGAAACAAAAGTGTTGAAATGCTGGAACTCAACGCTATTGGTTTGCGATTGGTTATCTTTGTAATAGTGACCTGCAGGACTTGTTCGCTTCCAGGTCTCTGAAGCGAGCTAAAAAGATCGCGGCCGACCCCTCCCACCCCGGACAAAAACTGTTTGTGCCCCTTCCATCTGGCAGGAGGCTGAGGTCCATCAGGACTACGACCTCCCGCCACACGAACAGTTTCTTCCCATCGGCAGTCGGGCTCATCAACAGAGCCGGTCCCCCACTGCCTGACTATAACACTCCACCGGTCACTCCCCCTCATACCGCACATGCCACTTTAACTGCAATTCATCACTTTGTCACTTGTCACTTTGTCTCTTGTCTGTTACTTGTTTGTTAGTGCACTTTATGCTTAATATTTTTCTTTTTTACTTTTTAATATTTAAATTTTGTAAACTTTATTCTCTTGTTTTATACTAACCCATAGCCTTAGCCTTATTCTACTAACCCATTGCATTAGCATTTCATTCCACTTTATTTTATTACTTGTGCACTGTTGTCTTGTCTGTCTACTGTCGCGCACTAATCGCCAAGACAAATTCCTTGTATGTTTGACATATTTTGGCCAATAAATGTTTCCTGATTCCTGATCCTGAAGGGTAAACCTGAATAATGTATTTTTGGGGCACTTTGCAGCACAACAATCTGTAAACACACAACGGACAAATTATCAGGTTATTAAGTTGATATATCACCTTATGTACACATTGTGCAGGTACAGTGCATCATTCTGATTCAGTCAACTTTCTGTCATCTAATATTCACCCTACATTTGTCCCTCTTTTGGTTTCTGTCAACTACTGAGGATCTGGCTGCAAAGCGCTACATGCTACACTAACTCATGGTGCTGGGTACAGTGGATTTGAGCTTTTTTGCACATTACACATAGTCACATCATGCAATATTATTTTAAAATATTGCTTAGAGCAGCCTCCAGTTGCACAAATTTGCTTCAAAACCTTTTCAGAAAATCTTGATGCGCAAAGCTAGTCCGCAGAAAATAACTGGGGATATTAGACTTTCTTGCCAAAGGCTGCAGCTTTTTTTTAACTTTACTTATGTAAAGTAAATAGAACTTTTCCATGTACTGTGGCACGTAACTACAGCAGTGATGTAGAACCAAGTGCAGCAGGGCTAACCACAGGAGGACTCAGCCGCCCAGGAAACTCACCCTGTAGATGTAAAAATGACTTCTGCAGGTGAGATCTGTTTGCAGTTATATGGAACAAAAGATTTCTCCTCATCATAATGGTCAATTATGCCTTGCTTTTAGGAGGCCTGCCTGAAATGTAGACCCCCGGCCAATGCTCTGTCTAATGTTGAGGGAACCCTAATTAGATGCCCTTCTGCGGATAAATGGGTACATTCAAACATCCAATTAAGGGAGGGTGCGACACGCGACCCTGAATGCACTCCGCGGTGCGTGCACTGATACTTTTGAGTGCACACGCGCTGCTGCCAACACCAAGCTGCTTTAGTCTTGCTTATTTACAGAGTCAACGCAATGCTAATTAGCCGAGTGATCCTTGATAAAGGAATCAAGACCCCCGACTGCAAGGCAACCAGCGTACCTCCTAGTTATGCCACTTATCTATGCCTGTGTAAAAACAGCTTGGTTTGCAAGCTTTGGGTGCACATCTGTGTTGTTGTTTTCTTTACCTGTGCTCGTAGACCAATTATTAATCACAAATAACATCCAGTACATAGCACATGGCATGGCGGAGCCAGGGGAAATAGAAGCCGCATTAACGGAGAAAGAGGATACGAGAATATGCTGGAGTGAAACCAGGAGGAGACGAATAAAGAAAGTTTAGAAACAAGATTAAAAACAAATAGGATAAATAAGAAAAAGCAGAGCGAGAGCCGATCTGGAGAGAAATGGAAGATAAAATTGGGCGGATGAGCATCAGAGGATCGAAAAGAAAAGCACGAGGAGAACGGGAATCACTAGGAAAAGAACAAACAGAAGGAGAAAGCGGAGCGAGAAGAGGACGCATCTGGCTTATGAATCAGAGATAAGGAGGACGCGCGGCGCATCCACCTTGGCTTATCTCTGAACAAACATGCTCTTCCTTCAAAAAGCCACAGAAAACAAACAAAACCGAAAATAAGAGCTTTTACATTCCGATGTGTGTACATTGAGTTATACAGGAGCATAGAGTCGGTGTGGGTCTAATTATTTTGGCCGCAGTCCACATCCCCCATCACCAAAAGACTGAAATGGCAACACGTCATTGTGCGATACGTGGGACTGCATCTCTTGTTCATTACCTGGAAACAGCTTCAGAGTGCTTGGCATTCCGCACATGAGTGTAGTGCATCAGTTCCCCACAACACAATCGTAGCTTGATAGCATGGGAAAGCAAACAGGGGTGAGGGAAATGTAAACTAGGGAGTAATCAAATCTGTTGAGCGAGCTGGCATACCGGAGCACTGGAGAGATAAGAGACTCTGTCGTGTTCACATTAATCTCGGCGCTGTTTACATCGCGCTGAACCTCTGAGGTAAAACTCAAATTTGATCTAGTGAGCATATAAAATAAATAAATAAAATGAGTCCGGAAAAGCAGATTAAACTATAATTAACATGTTGTGCTAAATTGCCAGCTGACTTCTGAGTAGGACTTTGCCCAGCGATGATCAGGTTAATTGTTTTTTGTTATGTTTTGTTTTTTCACACAAAGCAATACATTTATGCAAGTGTGAGCTTGTTATTCCTATTGAACTCATTACACCATGATGTGTTTTTTTCAGAGAAAGTGACAGGTGGCCCGGTGTGAAGCTGTGTGTACTGTGTACAGGAGCCGCCGTTTCATTGCGTTGGGATTACGTCCGCTGTGATCACCATCAAAAAACGCCCGCCGTTAGATAATGGTGAGAGTAGCGTGGGAAGCCGATCGCCGGGCTACGACGCGCACTTAGCAACCGCGGGGAGGGGGGACCTGCTCTGCCTCCGTCCCACAAGATTGAATTGCTCACAATCATACCCGGTGACAGATTTTCATCTGTGCCCTTTCTCCTACGATTAGTCGCAACAAAGGCAAAGCACCACCTCGACCCCCCCAACCTCCCCCACCTCCCAGTCTTTTTCGACTACCTCACAATTAAATGACCTTTTCTGCTTTTGTTTGAGCGTCTCCCGTCTTCTGAGACGGTGGCTCCGGACAGGTAGTTTTACACTGAGACGGACCCGCGGATGTTGGGAGTGGAAGTGACACATCGACAGTGGCCGTCCTGTTGTGTTCTCCAGGTCGCGTGTTGGCTGCCGGGGTTCGGTAAGATGGATTTGATTGTTGGGAGAAAAAAAACTTGTTATGGTTATTTAGGATAATAGTATAATAATGCTGCATTATATAATTACCCATTTATTAAGAGTACAACAAATAGTCCTGCTGAAAAGACTGGTTTACTGTTAAGGGAGCTTTTCTCCCCCCTTAAACTGACAAACTAAGGTAGATAATGGTGTTTTCATTTCCAATATACAAGTTCACACAACACAAATGATCATCCGATGCTCAACTTCAATACACTGATTGATGAGACCATGGGAGAGTAATTTGCAAGCAAGCTCTAGTCAGGCAGGTCTCCATATGATAAATACATCAATCGTAATTCTGTGAACGTGGCGGCTTTATCAATTCCTCTGCCCACATGAGGGCCGATTCATCTACGAAGGTTAAATATCACCAGCGAACGAGAGTCAATACCTCAGAATTGATAATGGGCTCACTGCCATTTCCATGGAAACAATGATTGCACTCTCCCTCCTGCGGAGATGCGTCCATGTTTTATCCCTATCTCGTTGTTTCGCTAGTTTCTCAAGGGCATGTTCGAAAGGATGGAATGGATGAAAGAAAAAGAAAAAATAGTCAAGTGTGAAGCTGGCACACTTTATGAGTTATTCAGCAGGAGAAGCTTTCAGGTCAAAGGGAATACATCCTCACAATGTGCACAGCTTCCGCGGGTGGTCTCTGCCTTGGATTTCTATTTAAGGCGAGGTCCCCATGCTGTGGACCAGTCTACAGGTAGGCAAAGCAGCAATGGTGGTAATTGCTTATGTTCCCACACACAAGAGATGAACTTATAGTGCATATTTACATCAAGCGGCCCTTTACAATCATATATTAATGTCCGTCACAATATTTATCCTACCTCGCAGGCAACGGTTCTCTGCAGAAATGATATTCTCTTTAGAGTTCATACTGTATATCTGAGCATGACAGGCACACTAAAGTTTCTATCCCACGACCTTACACTTCATTACTAACAGTAAACTGTGGGTTATGGCCCGCCGGGGGATTGCGGTTAACAGCAGGGAGGCAAAGTTGGAGAAGTGTTGGAGGGTTAAGGGTGTAAAGTTACACACTGAACTAGACTAATGTGCTGATGTTGAAAAAAAAAAAAAGATGACCACGAGAAACCATTTCCCGTCATTATCACTCTGCATGATTTTACCATATAAACTCAAACACTACCCCGGTGGTGTAAATCTGTCAAGATTTTAGTTGAAGAAATAAAAGGAAATAAAAGACTGCTGCCTCTGTGCGTTACAGAGACTCCTGCCACATAAATAAAGAGGTTTCAATATGCAGAAGTAGGCGGATAGACAGAGAAACACAACTTTTCAAAGCACATGGGTTGCATACAAATGTCTCCTCTCTTGTCTTCTGCTAAATTCTAGTGTCTTGTAGAAGTTTCCTATTACAAATCTACACTTCCTTTAGCACAGTGGGAGATGGCTGGCAATAATCTTGTTGCATCATTATGAGTCATAATGTCCTCAAGGTTATTTCCTTGCAAAAATGAGTCCATTTAACATCCTTTTACAGGATCTGGATAGGATGCTGTAAATAAAAGAGATATGATGCAAGCGAATGTAACAAGATGGAGACAAGAACTGGCCTTTGTAAATGGTCGTTTTTATTGAGGCTAAGTGTACTAAAAGTGCCAGCCACATACAAAATGACACTATAAAGCACAAATTCAGCAAAGTAGTGACAGCCCATAGAATAACAGAAATTGATTGAGGCTGAGAAACGCTTAAATGAGAGAATGAGTGAGGCCGTTTAAAATGGGAGCAGCAGGTGGAGAGGAGGGAGGAAGCAGAATAAAATAGAGAGGGTTAGAAAAAGAGACCTTGATGGCTTAGCACGATACAGAATGACACAAAGATACAAATAGCAGCCCAACAAATGAGGGTTTCCCTGACAGTGCTGTCATAAGCTGGGAACAAACCGTCAGGGAATAGAGAAAAAGGTTACACAAAGGGCACGTCTCTTGTTTGGCTGTCTCAACAATCATCCTATAACACGATACCTAGACAATTGCTCCTTTAAAGTGGCCCTGGACGGCCTCGTCGCAGGGAGGAGCACACAGAAAGACTCATACGAGTTCAACGAGCCATTTCAGATCCGTGGAGGGTGTGAAATGGCACATTACACAGTGCGGGATATTGCGTAGAGGAGGTATAGGAGAATAAAGGACTGAGATGAGCGCAGTGGTTTCAAACTGTGTCCTTCCATGTCCTGCTTCTCTCTGTGTCGTCTTTATTTTATTACTATTAGAAAAAGGCATTTTGGATACACCATTGTGGGTTTTTTCTTAACTGGGCCAGAATCGTTCTTTACACTCCCTCTCTTCCCTCAATAACAGACATAAAGGTACTTTGCTTCATAACAACATTGCTTTGCAGATTACAATAGTTTTTCTGATTTTACTGAATAATGTAGCTCAAGTAGCTGAAAGCCAAACAATGACAAAAAAGACGATACACACTAGAGCTTCTGTACGTACAGGTGTGAAAAGCAAATTAAACTGTGTTCAAGTGTGAAGCATTGAAAGGTTTCTCTGCCCTTGATCTGCAATCGAGAGACCCATTTTTAACTTAGTGAATATACTCTATATACTGTAAGCTGCGGAGACCCACATCAGCCCATCCGATCAAACTGAACTGAGGCTTTCCATCAGCCCATTCTTTTCAACGTATTTACTGTCACATGCACAACAATTACGTAGAGGCCGTCTAAGGCCAGTCTTGATTGAAAGCTCTGGAAATGACCGTGTGTTATGAACTGTTTCAAAATAGCAGTTTGTCTGGCATTCTGCTGCCTGTGAACAAAAAGCTTTCAGCGTGCATATTGTCTAAGGACGGCTTAAGATCACACAAAGACCGCTAGTTCTTATGAAAATGAAGTTGGGAGTACAAAATTGAGAATTAGTTATTGTGTAAATATAAGGGTGTTTCTCAGCCAAATCTAAAAGTATCACACAAAAATCCGGCCACTGCTGCAGTCTATCTCAGTTGTTAAAGTTGTAATGTGATTGTCGACATTATACCTACCAATATGCACCTGCTCTTGCCAAATACATAGCAAAGGTCCAAAAAACTGTTATATGCTTCATTCAAATTACGGGTCGGGCCCAATAGGTGTGGCAGAGAATCAAAACCCGTGATCAGATAGCAGAACTGCCCCGTCACTTTCCTCTCTTCATCGGGGTACGACGACAGCAAACCAATGCTCAACTGTCTCCATGACGAAGAAAATACTGGCAGACAGAGGTAGGGTTAGGACGGAGACGTTGGAATTCAAATCTCTTATAATGCAGGCACACGCCACAAAGCCTGAGTGTGCAGACAGATAGCCGTCTCTAATGAAATGACTTTGGGTGGAGGTGGTACATTTTCCTTATTGTCTATCTCAGGCTTAGATTTCTCATTAGCATTGTGGGACAACAGTGCAAAGCATTTTGTTTCAAATCACCTACTTTCTCCTTGTCTCTCTGTAACCCGATTGGTTGAGTCAGCAGGTGGCTGCATTTTGCCAAGTATATATTGTTCAAGTAATGGCCTATAAAAGATTGGTATTGATTTCTGGAGTTTGAGACACACAAGATGCCCCCCCCCCCCCCCCCCCAAAAAAAAGAATTCAGAATTTGAGCAGAAAAGGTCAAGTCCATACTGTCTATACTGGCATTACATGCAGTACAATGTCTTAAAAGGCGCTACAAGGAGAGATGTGGGCATATACCTGAATAGGAAAAACTACGGATCTTGTTCAACTGAATTTTTTTGCCTGTTTGGGGAACCGGGTGAATCCCTGGAAATGTCCAATTCACTGTGTTTGCCCTGGAATCTATTTTGGCCCTGCTTTCATACATGCACGCTAGCTCAGAAAAGGAAGGCAGCACAAAAGACTGATTTACATTTTGCAATGCAATGCAAAATCCTTGTTAGTACCTTTACATTTTTAAATCAAGGATGCTGACTGGGACTTTTAGACAGCAAGCCAAAAGCTTCCATGATAAGCATTTTTTATTGTACTGTTGTGTCATTGATTTATTTTTTTACACTATCCCACTCTCTTGCTGCAGTATATCCCACTGTGACACACACTCACACACACACACACACACACACACACACACACACACACACACAGGGCGCACACAGTCACGAGCAGTGGCCCTGGTTCAGGTCTTCCTCAAGGAACCTCAGAAGGAGACTTACACACTGACTGCTGCAGGACAACATCTATGACCCTAAAATGATATGCAATGGCTGCATTTACCACCCTGTCGCCGTGCGATCTCCAGACTTACCCGAGGTGGAGGGAGCCCTCCTGCAGCAGGTGGACAGTCGGGTAACATGATGGTCCGTTTAGGCGTGCTGCACTGACACGGGGGGGAGGGGTTAGACATGCTCCAGTTCCCGTTGATGAAGACGTCAGTGACGGACTGGTCAACGGAGGGAGTGAACCAATCAGAGCCACTCGAAGTACACGGCAAGTTCCTAAAAGCAAAACAAGGAAAGGGGGCGAGCGTGCCTAAATGGAAATAATGCTTAACACATCTGCTGATACACAATATGCTTTCTTATCTTAATCACAATTGTAATGGTTGTGTGGGACGAAAAAAAAGGAATCATAATTAGCGTATTATATTCTCTCGTTTGCCATTAGATTGGCGGCATACTTGTACATGAGTAACAAGAAATATATTAAAATATGTGTGATTTATGTTTGAAGAACTTCATTTGAGTAGGCTGCACAGGCTCCTGTGAACTGTGTGGGCTAGTTAGTACTGCATTCCATGGTTTTTTTTAGGTTTAAAAAGATATTATTCAGCTTATTCTGATCCGGATGAACTGGACAGTGTGAGAAAAGCTAATGATTTATTAATCGAGTGAATTCTTAGAAGAGTCTGTAAAATTATCATGCATAGTATTACATGAGTATTCCTCTGAGTTACTTGGCTTTTTTACAGCTTGTTCCATTTCTGCACCGTTTCCTGATGGAGGCCGAAGACATTTGGCATGACTGCATACACATACACCGACACTATTGTTGGCTTCTTGATTATACTTACGCTATTGGGTTTCCAATCATGCAGCGAGTCCCAAAGCCAGGCTTGTTCACCAAAGTTTCCACCACATTAGACACCTCAACGATATCTGGCCCATCATTGCTGTAAATATATTGAGGGAGATAATCAATAAAAATGCAAATTCAAACATTTCTGTGTGCAGAAAGGCATTCAGTATCATCTCTGATGGCAGGTGCATGACACTTTTTGTCAATTGTCACACTGTCAATAAAACAAATTCAAAAGTTTCAATTGGGTCTCATGCTCCGATCAAAGCACAAATTTGGTTGAGCCGTGGCTTTTTGGAAACTGGTATTGAAAAAAATGAATTTACAGGCTAAAATGTGAAGTGACACTAGGTGGATCTTGTTAAACGTGCTGCAGAATTGATTGCTTCAAGGAGAGCTTGAGGAGGACAACCTCTAGCCTGATTTGAAGTGGAATTACCCATATAATCCATTCATATTGGTCTTGGACGTCATGGTCAGTGATCCGGTCATTGAACCATCTTCCTGGTTCTGTGCTGACGAGCGTCAATAGTCAATAAGAGCAGAGTTCCCAGAAAAGCCAGGCATTCAGACTCTGCGGGTTTAGCTTCTTTCATAGTTGACAACAAGCATTAGTTCAGTTAAGTGGGCAGTATTTCTATAATCATGTATGAGAGAAACTGCGTTGTCATTATATTGTCATGTCATTATACTATTGGCTAGGGTTATTCAAGGGGTAATGTCTTCAATCACACTTGGTTAGGATTTTAAGACGTGTGGTTCACAATCGATTAGCATTTTACAACTCATCTAATACGTCTTCCACATTGGCAGAGCACAGGAGTTTGAATGATCATTAATCTTAAACGTATCTTGACATTGGAGAAGGCAAGGAAGGAAATGGCGTGCAACAGGGAATCCGGTGTGGTGCAAGTAAAAACTGTCTCAATCAAAACCGTGAGTTTGCCATCTCTTTTCTTTTGGCCAAAGCAACTCCCAAAACACCATCGGCGGTGCAGCGATTCGCACTCTTCCCTGCATGGTTTGTGTCCTCATGAGTGTGCAAGCATGTTGCGACGTGAACGTCCTCGGCATTCATGCGTTCAAGTAAAGTAACGGGCTCCTCACACACAGTCTTTCATTATTATCTCAGTGTCGTGTGCATATCGACGCGCTGCGTCTCAGTTAAACAATCTTCCCCTTTCCGATTTCATTCTCATTACTAACGACACAGATTCTGCCCTTTATCTTAAAGGTACCGTGGGAGTTAAAGCACAGCGTCTCCATAAAGACCCCCTGTGATGGCCTTCTTCCAGAAGTGGCCACAGGCCAGCCGGCCATTTGGATTAATGCAACGCTCACTGTCTCATTTAGAGGCGTCTCCATGAAGGTCATGCGGTCACGTCCGTTGCCACCAATGAGCGCAATTGAAGGGGCCTGATTGTAAAAATGGATTATGTGCAGCCATCTGTTTTACAATTAACAATGGCTGGGTTACCACGTTATTTGAGATAATAAAACTACTGGACAGTGCCAAAATGCAGACATTTGCATATACACCGAAACAGTGGAACTAATGAATAGGTAGTTCATGTAGTCAAACGTCGCAGAAGAAAGAACTGAGGAAACATTAAAAGAAAGTCAAATGAACATTATGTTAGGAAGGATAACTCCTTTGGAAAATAAACCAGAGGATTATCCATTGTAGATATTACGTTACGTATTCTGATCTCATTCAAATTTTTAAGCAATAATTTCACCAACCAAAAACTAGAGCTTATTGACATTACTGCCTCAGTTGTACATTATACAACAGTTGTATAGTTGTGTTAGCTTCAACCTCTAAATTAGGTCAATCAGCATCTTCAGCATTTGTATGCATGACGTCTATAATGCTCCTCTGAATTAACTGCTGGAATAAAACCGCACACCACTTTTTATCATGCTGTCATCATCAGGCAGGATGTTTTAAAGTCCCTGAAGAGAAAAGAACATGTCTACCAGTTGGTAGGAGGGAACGTCAGAAAGAACACTCCAGTTTTAGAATGTATCAAAGAAGAACCATCCCAAGGAATTCCCAAGTTTGCTGAAGGAGTAGTTCCAGTCCAGTCACAAGAGGCTATGTGTCTAAGTAGGCAACTCAGGTACTCCGAAACCGGTGCTTGTGAGCCAGGATTTCATTCCCACTCGTCCCTTGGTGCATTGTGTTAACATTAAGAAGATAGTGTGCTCTAAAATGGATTATCACAGTATTATGTAAAGGTCTTGGCAATCTTTCGACAACACATTGTGCGAGTAACATTGTGCCACTACAATGATATCATGGTTTAGCACCATTGGACAGTGATTCATCCTCAGCAAAGGTAAAAGACGGTGAAATAAGAAAAGCACAACATTGCACATTTTGCCAAATATATCTTCTTTTTTTTAACAGTGTAGTTGTTTGCCCCAAGTTCCTAACCTCAACTTCAAAGGAGAAAAAAAAGAGGGCTTTTTAGAATATTTTACAGAACAGATCCATACCAATGATAACAGCGACAGTGTCATATTTACATGTTCCACAACAAATGCCAGAAGACTGGTCCAGCAAAAGAAGTAGCATGAAAATAAATAGACCAACAAATAGATATGCTCAAAAGTGTTGTCATTTGTATCATGTCCAACAACAAAACAATGGTAATGAAAAATTAAGAAAAGCATTCAAACGATTCACCGTTATGTGAGACACAAATACTTCAACAAAAACAAAAAAGCGTTGTGATAGTATCACAAATAATCAATTTCACTTAACAGTTCATTGTGTCTTGTCATCTTCAAATGGAAATTCCTACAAAGCGCTGTCAGGGGAAAGGAAACACCTGCAGGGCGGGCGAGCAACGACAGCTTCACGTCAAAAGAACACATTATGAATGGGGTGTCAAGATTAGTGTGATGGTTTGGACCAATGCTGTGGTGATGTCAGAATCAAACTTTTTTTCACCACTTTAGAAGGCAGAACCACGTTGCAGCAACTGTGAGCCGACTAATGTGAATATCGAGAGACTTTCTATATATAAAATATATATATATATATATATATATTTTTTTTTTAGGTGGACATTATATGCGTTACACTTCATGACGGGAGAAGCCATGGGTGCTCTGTTGTTTTTATGTCCTCATCCTCTGCAGGAACTCAACTTTGCATTCAGCTGGTGTTGAAGTGCACCAAGGCCGGGCCTTGTCACCAAGTGCGTGTCTTCTCAATGACAGAGTAGCAAGTTGCCGTCATGGAGGGGACAGGGTCCAGATTGATGACCTCAGCAGTGCAAAAACCCCTTGGTGATCAAACAGCACGAGCAGCACAGCGACATCTTTTTCCTTTGATTCCTTGTCTTTGAAACTACATTTTCTTACAGCGTATTTGCACATCAACTTGTGCTACAATAACTAGGACGCTCTCATTATAAGTTCTATATGTTCTCTGCCTCTGTTAATAGTATACATTCTTTTCTATTAGAATTTCCCTGGGTAGTTATATCATTTGGTGTATTACAGCATCCTTCAATTCAAAACTTAAAAAGAAGGTACTTTTTGATTATATTTCGCAACTAAATCAAACCCATTGCTGGATTGGGTCAGAGTGACATGGACAAAAAAACCTGTCAATTCTTGCCATTGCACAAAGTCGTTACCTGTAAAAGTTGGTTTGAGGCGTATACATCCATTGTTGCAGCTCCAGACTCGGATATTCGGTGAATGGTGGGACGATGAGCGAGAAGATCAGAGACAGGCACACAAAAACCGCGGGCAGAACCACCTAGGACGAAGGCACCAATGTCAATGCTACGTCTTTCATACAACTATGAACAAAGGAACATAAAATACTACAATCACAGTAATGTGCTGTCATTTTCAATGCGGGAGCAGTTATTTTCAACTTCAAGCCCTGTGTAATTACAACAGCGACATCATACTGAGAGAAACTATTTAAGGTGGACTCCTTAATAAAGAAAAAAGGATGATGCCTGCATGGATGAGATAGATATTTGTCTGTACAGGAACAACAGCCCAAGATTCAATGCAAGATCAATTTCGTCGCTCCCTAGCCGAGGCCCCTCACTGTCATTACGTGCTCCGGAATGACTGATGCGATCCACAATATCACGGGCCGCTGTGATAATGGGTGCACATTAATATGCTCGACACCCCCTTGTTTGGGCTCTCCTGCACGCTTTATGAGTTTGATTAAACACTTCCAACACTGCCACCATCATCTGGCCACTCGAATATAATTAGTTTCTCAGCATTCTCTAGGGCGTTTTTTTCTTCTTCTTTTTTTCTTAACCAGAAGCTGCCACGCTTATACACCGCCCCCCACCCCATCCAATCCTCTTTTCTTCGTCATGCAATTCTCTTTTTATTTCATTGTTGGAGCTGACAAAAAGGTCAGTGGGAAAAATGCAAGCTATCTCTAATGTTTAATCACTTGTAGGTTGGAGCGCGCTGGGCGGCGGGGGGAGCTTTGCGTACACTTGATTAATTGCAGGGCATGCAATTTGCCAGGCCAATTCAAGATGCTAGAATTGAAAACCCTAAATTTACTTCAGCCATGGAAATGTGCTTAGAAGAGAGATAAAGAACAGCGACGAGAGTGAAAAGTGTAACGGCAGACCAGAGAAATAACTATTCCTTTTCGGTTTCTCTCCCTTTCCCTTGGAGGTAATTGCAGGTGACAGCTGGCGTTCTGCAAAAAGCTTATTATGCTCAGAAAGCCAAAGAACTCTATCGAACAACGTATGCGTTTAGCGCATTCTCAAAGTCATTGGGGATTTAAAAGTGAGGACAGGATTTACCTGCAAACCGGGCATAAACACCAAAACACAATAAGATGTGTTTTATTTCCCGCAGTCCAATGGATCATTAGATTGAGTTGGTTTTCTCAACAAAGATTCACGCCGTTCCTATTTCTCTTGTTGAATTCAATGCTCTTCATGACAGCATGGGATGTTTTCACTGACGTATCAATGTGGTCTTTACCTTTCTCGGCGCTCAGACAAAAGATAATAAATAGTTAAGTTATTATAAGTAAGTTATAAGTTATTATATTATTGTTATATAGTTAGTAAAGTTATTGTTAAGCATGAACACAAACTTCTATGCTATTACAAAAAAAAAAGATAACATTAGTTGTGAATTACAAAACGTGAATCCTAAGCAGCCTGACAGCTCGGTTCCTGCATCTGGAAAAGGTTGCTACAGTCAGTTTGAGCTCCAAAAACCAGAACCCATCCTCTCCCTGATTTTGACTTTGCCAGCGCTCCAATGTCCCCAACTTTCATCCCCATAAATCACTGCTTTTGTGTTGCATGCCATAATCTCCTTTATATCCCCCTAACCACTTGTATTTGAGGAGATTACCTCGCCACACAATCATATCTGCTGACAATGGGAGCTGTTGACATGATAGGGGGGGACTCGCCAAATGAATAAAGAGGGGAGAGGTAAGAGGTGCGGCCCTGCAGACAATGGGCACCTTTGTACGCTCACACACTTATGCCGCCATCCGGGCTCTGCGTCCCCACTAAAGAGGGACGTCCGAGATTGACAGTGACTAATGGGGATCGGTACTGCTGCAAATTACAAGCGGAGCCCATACACCTCAGAAAGGTGGAACGCTGTTCTCTCCGTTGCTCTATTTGTCTCTCTCTCTCACACACACACGCACACGCACACGAGTAAACTGCGTGAGCTTTTTTGGTTATGATAATTTCAGCATCATGGCAGCTGTCATAACTGATGGCGTTACAAGATATTCACAAACAAAATAGGAATCCAGAGGGGCGGCGTGTCAATGCAACTCAAGTCAGAATACACTTTTTAAAACTTGGGGACAAAAATTGATTAAGTCCTTTGGAAATTGCTACATAGCAAAATTGACTTTGACTTATTTTAAATTAAACCCGTTGATTGGTTTTGACTTTTGAAATTATGTTTATGAGGAGCAAACCGATGTAGACATACACTTAATAGGCTAATAGCAGTCTGTCATCACTGTAATTGTTATGCGATCACATTCAATACATAGCTAACGGAAACACATGATTAGCACACAGTGAAATGAAGGGAAAACAAATCATGTGTGTCACTTCGGCTTTCTGGGGACAATCGCGTGAAGCTACTCGGACCAAAAAGGGTACAAAAAAAACAGACGCTGTGGTGAAACACCTTTCAACAACTCACTTGTGGCTTGGACCTGCTTTGGATTAAACAAGTATGATCCCAGCTATCGACATTTTTCTGCTCACAGAGAATGATTTATGAAAACCAAAGAGTGAAATCAGCAATGAGCACGTTGTTCAGCCTCTGTAGTCATTCAAGTTTTCCTTTGGGAGAAACGATGATTATTGAACATGCAGTTCACTGGTGATTTTGCATCACTCTTGTTGTTGCTCTTCAGATTTGTCAAACCTTTTCCTTTACTATAAATACTCTGTTGAAGTGCATTAACACACAACTCCATGACTTATCCCTAAAGATTTTAAATGAGCTTACTTGATCAGATTTGTCATTAACTGATTTCGAAAGGCAACATGTATTTCATGCAATACTACCTTGATCCTCCCATGCAACCCTCCCTGCATAACCCTTCAATTCATCAATATGACAGACTGAGGCCATTACCTGGGCAATGAGTCCCTTGCGGCTCCTTCGGGCGTGGTGGAAGCGCTTGATAAAAAGCGCCATGAACTGCCTCCGGATGAGCTCCCACCCGGTGATGACCGTGGATCCCTTCCCACTGACCACGGCGTTCCTCTTTAAGTCTGGAGTGGACGTTAACCCCACCAAGTTATTTATCATCAATGCATATGTAAAATACAGGGAAAGCACACTAATGGGCGGATGGAGTATAAATTCAGTATTAAACCTGCCAGCCCAGTGGGGCAGTTATTTTTTATGTATCATGGTTTTGGAGATGGTTATTGGGCATTACTAAGGAGGGAACAGGTGATAAACAAGGGCTTTATTGAAGGTTTTATGTCTCACATTCTTCAAGAACATCTTTACTAAAAAGGAGAACTATCTTGCCACAGTAGTGATGAAGGGAACAAAGCATATTCTGATTGAAAACTATTTTCATGGCGAAGACATTGTATGAAAGTGAATTTCTTTCATTAGGGCCAAATGGAAAACTGAAGTTAGATCATGCTGCATGGATCGGAAGGAAATAATGTTTGTGTAGACAGAGCCCCTTTTTATTTCCTCTTTTTAAAACGGCCACTGAGGTAAAAAGGTCAAATTGAAGTGAAACTAAGTTAATGTTGTTAACTGAGGAATGAAAGGCGGATGGAAAGCAGACATTTTCTAAAGTTGTCTGTAGAAAGGACAAAGTACAGAACCTACCTTCCACTTTACTTGTGAATGGCTCCTTTATTTCTGCATGAAATACGGAAAGAAATGAGCCACAAGCAGCAATTACAGTTCATTTTATAGCACCCAGAATATTAGCATTCGTCAACATTTTGCTTTCGATTAAATTTTCAAACATTTTCCTTCATTAAAAACCGTAACCGCAGGATAAGCTTGAAGAGACTTGCCTCTCCGTCCGGAGGCTTGCTCGGTTTTCACGTGGACGCTGGCGATGCTGTTCCGCTTGGATGTACCGGAGCCTCTTTTGCAGTCTCTCACCAACACCTCCTTTGTTGCTGGGGGAATACAAATAAGATATGTTGTTTTGGCCTGACCCAATTTAGGGTTATAAATAACAATAAGAAAAGCTACCTGCCCCGTATTGCCTTATCGCTCACTTCTATAAGCAAAAAAGTTTTAGGAACGTGAGGAAATGGGGTTTCAGATTAAATTGAAATGGGAGGTTGCTTGCAAGTGGAAGGAAGATTTATTTCACTGGGATGGATCGATGAGAAACAAGAAGTGATTGGTAAACTCAATATTATTTGGACTTAAGCATGAATACAATTTGATTCCACTGGGGTAAGACAAGCATCTCTATTATCTGCAAAAAAGGCTGCCAGTCACCTGCTTTTTATTTCCACAATAATATCACTTTCACTGTGAATGCAGTCAGTGGAGACGGTTGCTTTTACTATATGAACTGCTATTTTTCTTGGGGCGGTGCAACTGCACTGTGGACTGAAGTTTAACTGTTGATTGAGAATCATCAAGAAAATGTCAAAGGCTTAAGGTAGAATCAGCTTTCAAGCTGTGGTGGTTGTGTGACACCGGCATGAATGTATTTTCACACACAAAAACAATGTTTTAAACGGTTATAAATTTGAACAGGGCTTGTTTTTGAGCCACATCGGTTTTACATTATACTGCTCCTCGCACCAACATGTGATGGCATGCAAACACATTGTAACCTTACTTGGCATTTCTGCATCCACTCCGCTATCTTCAGCCACTTTAAGGAATATCTGTGAAATGAAGAAATGACCAACATACTTTCTCTTAGACAAAATGTATTGAACAAGCAAACAAAGATTTAACAAGGATGACAGTTACAAGTTTCCGCTGAGAATAAGATCTGGGTAAGTCCCTAACCTTTGCTTGAGCACTTGCTGATAGGCTTCTCACAGAGAAGTGCCCTCTTTGACATTATTTATTAATTCAGGCTATATGTCAAAGATAGATATATCTCCATATTTGAGATAAATGTCCAATTGACCTTCGGTTATTTTCTGCTGTGAGCGTTTCAGCGTCTGCCCTCTAAAAAGTCTCTGAACAAACCTGGCAAAGCCTACAACATTTGTACTGAATTTTATGTGGTGCATCACATCATTCAAAAACATAAAATCTAACTACTGACATCATAAAACGGTCAGAGTCCTTTAAGAGGTTATTTATAACAATAAGCAGGGTAAATTGTATTATATGACCAACGTTAACGAAACACCCCATTTATCAGCCCTTGTTTATTAGTGCCTTCATTGAAACTCACTGGATATTTCAATTGAATGCAAATATTTCAATTGAGTGTTGTTGGACTTAAAATAATAAAAATAAAATAACCTTGTTATGTCTAGATTTTTGAAATGCAAAAGGATTTTTCGGCGATTCCCTGCAGGCCATGAGTGTCTGATTCATGTCTGAGTTACACAAAAGCCAAGTTGGCCAAATACAGAGTCTTACAAATACAGAGAATCAGCAGTTCTGACCGAAAGCTGCTGGTTCCTTAGTTGCCTGTTCTTCTGCGTGACGGCATTTGAAAACTGCCCGTCAACAGTTTGGTGGCAAAGGAGGAGGCGAGGCGACAGGAAGTCAATAATAAATTAAAAAGACACGGCCGGGATGTCAGCGTATGAGCTTCCCTGCTGCTGTGCGATTGTGCATGCCATCTACGCACGCTAGGCTCTGTAGCGAGGTTGTCAATCTCACGCTTAGCGTACCTCCTCCAGCGTCGTGTCAGAGATGCCGTAGCTCGTCAGGCCAAGGTCAGCCAAGGCCAGGTCGAGCACTTGGAACAGCAGGGCAAAGGTCCCATCTGTGGCTCCGCCATAGGGCAGTATGTAGGTGATCTCCTGACCGACGCTCTCTAAGAAGAGCGCCTCGGGGACGTGGCGGCGCACGATTTGGTCTAGAGCCGTCAAGTCGGCTGGAGAAAGAGCTGTGATATTACACACTGAGCAAAACACCAAAAGCGTGTCATAATTGCACACACACACACAAGCAACAGATATTTCTCTGCCTCTTTTAATCCCTCTCTTCCTTCCCTGTGAAGTTGTTGATCAGACTTATGGAACGGAGAGAAAATCGAGTTAAAATAATATTTAAAAGAGCACCCAAAAATATTGTGTATGGAGCACGTTATTGTATGCAGATCAGGACCCACCTGATGCTGTGACCTTTAAAACGCACTGAAACAGATTAGTGGACATAATTCTCCTGTCTCATCCATTTCCAAGCGGGGTCTTAGTGAGAATCAATCAGGACAGTGTTGCAGAACACATCGCATCCATTATCGATCCAGAACCTCTCATACATAATTACTGCAGCTTAACATCCAACAGCTTGATGCTTTATGAAGAGGTAAATGGATCGGCCGTCAGACTGAATCATTTTGAGTGGAATGTGTGTTTGCGTCTGTTTACCGGTGTGTGCTGTCATGAGAAGAAATGTGCTGTCATTTGTGGAAATATAATTATTTTAATGGCATTCACAACAGTTATGTGTATAATCACGTTGAAGTTGAGAGCATTCATTTTCCATCCAAAATAAAATAGTTCCTGCCTAAAATTTTTATCTGATCATGTTTTGTGCTCGTTTACTCATCATGAAAATGATAAACTACCAGCAACGACTTCAGCTATTTGTCTAACTTATTTGAAATGATTTGCAAAATCATTTTTCCTGTTTTTCAATTGATTTTACTATAAAACACAAGAAAAAATCCTAGACTTTAAACCTGCGATTATAATTTTTTCTAGGCCACAGGGCAGTGCAAAAAGGTTTTAACACAACTTTAATATATCATCTCTTTTTTTCTAAATTGGCCAACTTGTTAAAAAAGATAGTTGCTTATCTTTGTAGCAAATATTTGTCATACTTTCTCAACAGACTGGTTAATGTCCATCATCTTCCAGGTTGTCTCATTGGTTTTCGGCACCCACAAAACTCCCAACTCCTTCTCCATCACTTAAAGCTCTTTCCTTCCCATTTGTACCGACCGTTTTACTGGGACATATAAGTGCCGTCGACCAGCGGTTTGAACAACATCTAGAGGCAGCAGCTACTTTACTACTCCTGTGTTGGCTGGTTGGATAATGAAAGGAGAAATAGAAATCAATGAGCTAACGGCTCCTCGCATCACACTGACTACAGGTTTCATGGTTATTGTTTCCCTGTTTCAAAACTTCAAAAGAGCTTCAGTGTGTTAGGTTCACTTACACATTGTACTGGAGGTTCGATATGGAAATACAGTAAAAAATTACAGAATTATTCATTTTTTATGACATTTTTGAACAAATGACTCCACAGTTTGTTATTCAACTTTGTGTGTTGAGCCAACTGTATAGCATAGATGTACAGGCAGATGTAGGTGCTAATTCTAAACAGTGAGCGGCCGTGATAGCGACGGGGTTTCTACCTGAGGGCTCCGTGTTGTTCCAGCTCTGGCTGCCGATGCCATCGTCCGGGCTGCTGCTCCTCGGAGAAAAGTCTTTCTCCTGTCAGTGAGAATTGGATTACAAGAGATTTGTCATCCGCTACCACTGAGAATGATGAACAGTGCTTCTCTGACAACTCTTTTTTTTTTACGTTAATGTTTTAATGGAAGCCGTTCGTGAGTTGCTATTTAATTGCCCCCCAAAAACTAAAAGCGTCAGACATTGCGGTCAATCGGTAACGCAACAATCTTTTCAGTCCAAGACAATGAACCCAAAGGAGAATTAGATTTTAATTCCAACAACTGCGAGAACTTCATGACAATCATTAAATGGAGTTTAATCACGCTAAATGAGGGCAGGACAATGGCGCTTTGTCCAGCTCTTTTTCAGAGTCGCATTGGCTGTGTAATTACAAATGATTCCATGGAATTACAAAGCTTTCCTTAAGAAAAAAAGAGAAAGAGGGCGGGGGTTTCTTCTCCACCTTCGCCCCACAAGGGGTGTGGCATGTTTTATTTATTTATTTGAAAACAAAAGACTTCTGCCCCCTCAAAGGAGCCTGCAGACTAATGGTAAATGCCTCTACCCCGCCGGGCATCAGGCCATTTTGTTCATGTGCTCCTATGGATAAAACCTAGGTGGCGGAGCCCCCATGGGCAGAAAAAGGCGAGACCCCCCCTTTCCCCCTGCGACATTTGTTATCTCCCAGCAGGAAGGGTTTTCCCAATTCTCTTGCGGGGGGGGCCTAACCCCAGTTCTTTCCAGGGGGGGGGGGGGGGGGGGGGGGGCAGCAAGGGAGAAGGAGAGCACAGAGAAGAAGCCATGTTCAATAACAGACCAGAGAAAGGCGACTGACTGTTTCAGCGGGGCTTGCAGCTGAAGTTCATTTCTTCGTACGCAAATCTAAAATGATGATTTTGTGTAGTTAATTCAGGGGGCATAGGATAATAAAAAAAAAAAAAAAGAATAAGCGCAGTTGGGTGGTCAGTCAATGGCCCTAATCTTCAAATTTGTGGTTAACTGGAAATAATGAGATCAAACACACCCATGTGTGGGTCGACAGCGGAAGTACCCGTGATAAAGATGATGCGCCCCATCCGCGCATGTAAAAGCAGTCAGCCCGCATGCTTTCTGTGCGTACCTCTTTGGCCTCGTGGTGTATGATACCGTCACGCTGAGCTGTCATCTTCTCGGTGCCATCCCGGACCAGAGTGAGGTAGTAGCCGCTGCCGAAACGTTTCTTGAGGAAGAGCGAGGAGCCGAAGCAGCGCATCTTTCCGTGGGAGATGATGGCGATGCGATCGCCTAAGATGTCTGCCTCATCCATGTGGTGTGTGGACAAAATGATGGTGCGACCTGCAGAGAGACAGACAGAGACGAGCGCTCGGGGCCTTAAGTGGTGTCTTTGTTTGTGGTGGGAGTAATAGTCATGAAGGACAAAAACATTTACATACGGCAAAGGAAAATAAATAGCACTTCTGAATCATTTACTGTTTCATGACAACCTGACACGAGGAGATGCCGCAGATCAAAAGTGTTCAAAATCACGCCAATATCACAATCTGTCTCAGCATGGCAGTCACTTATCTCGTTATTGCCGATGTCACAGTGTTTTTTACTCAACAAAGAAACCTAAGAGGAATGCGTGGGCCTGATTCTGGGACTACATTCAAACTACGATAGAGGCCACAACTCTACGCCTACGTTCCGGAACACATTTCATTTCAGCTCCCTCCCTTGTGCTGCGAGTCCTTTGATTCGACAGGCATCAAAATGAGCTCAATTGCAATGACAACTGCAGGAGACATTGGAAGGTTATTCACAGGTGTCCTCCTCCGTTAACACAAAGCTGCTTCACATAACACGCATTAATTATCGCATACCCCAGAAATCAGATAAAGAGGATCAGATCTGTAATTAAGTCCCAGCGTGGTCTCGTCTCCCCGGTCGGCGTGACGGCGCCATCACAGAGCACTCTGGAACTCTTGATCCAGTCCATTTCAAAGCAGGAAAAAGTTAACCTGATGCCTTTACCCTTAAGTGATGAAGACAAGATCCTGTTCAGTAACTGTGAAAAGTTACTTTTTTTTTTTCAAACGATTCAACAAATGCTAATTACAGAGGATTTATTTTTAGCCATGCTGTCGGCGTGACTTTGTGGATGCCGAGATCGGCTGACGGGTTTCGCCACTTTGTCTAAAGGCCTCATTTTGTAATAAATGTATTTTCCAAAGATCATAAGAAGCTAAAAGGAGGCTTTAATCATGTCCATTGCGCTAACATTTAGCTCAAAGCACTGATGTTCCCAACTGTAGAGTGTCCATAGCAAGATTGCAGACTCCTTTTAAGTTTTGGGAAGCAAGGTCCAGATCGCATTAACTCCTTTTAGAGATTAGAGGTGTGTCACATCAAGCCCACTGACTTCAAAACAGAAAGATGTACTCTCAGTAGGTAGATGATTGGGTGGCATTCTGTATTCTTTGAATTTGGTGTTTTTTTGCATAAGGTCAGGTGCACTGCTGAGCTTTTTAGTGGTCACACGTGTCTAAATCTGTATCGTCGCAGATCACATTACTCCAGGGACAAGGACACACTCGGGGGTGATTAGCTGCAGCACAATGCGGCCATTTTTCTTGGCCAAGTATTTCGGAATCCGTCTCCCCTCCTCTCATCTCCCCCCCTCCCACCCTTTTAATGCCCCGCGACCAGCTGAGCTGCTAAATCCATCTTCTCTCAGTTAAGTTTTGCTGCCTCATGCTATGCCAAGCAAGTCGGGATCCTTCTAAATACGAACTCCAACAATAGACCGAATGCCACAACTCAGTCACTTTAACATATGTGGGGCGAAAGCAATGCTTGAGAAGGGAGGGCGAGTGAGGGGGAAGTGGTTAAGGAAATTGCTTGATGCTTAGTTTGACTGCGCCAGCTCATTTAGTATGGGATGCTCAAACCCACAAATGATTTTTCCCGAGGATGTGTTTTGCTTTACAAAAGGGGAGAAAAAAACCAAATTGCACTGCATCATCTGCGAGTTGGGAGTAGAATGAATGTGTTTGGACTGCAGATGGCCAACAAAGGTATGTTGATTTATAGTGTGTTGTGGTGCATTACGGCACAGAGTGATATATCAAATGGAGTTCCTTGCTCAGGTAAGGAACTCCAACCAATTGTTGGTTCTCGCAATACGTACAACAAGTGAGGCTGGGGATCTTGTTTCTGTTATTTAGCTTCCTTCCCTCTAAATCAAGTTGATAGAAATGGATTTCACAGTGGGTGAGTAGGCCTGGACTAATATGATGTACATCGGCAGTAAGATAAATTACAGGACAAAACTGGATTAACGGCTGTTTGCGGCAATCATCCATCAATCCCTCCATTAGCTGGACCTGCTAATCCCAGGAAGGGAAGCAGGGGCGGGACGCGATCCCACCCAGAGATGTGAGGTGCATCCTGTCCACGGACATCCAGCTGCTCAAGCTCACATTGGCGCCCATGGGCCAGTTAAAGCTGCCTGTTAGCTGAACCTTCACTGTGGGAGGAAAACAGAGCAAAACCCACACAGGTGTGGGGAAGGCCACATAGCCAGGAGGTTCGAATCCTGCAATCAATTTAGGTCAATAAAGTGTTGGTCATATGATGCATACAGCCCGCTGTAGTCTTCCTCTCCACCCTCTTCAACATGTTTTATTTAAAAAAGCATACCAATCAATTTCAGAAATGTTTTTTTCTGTCATTAAAACAACTCGAGTAAGATCACGTCAAAGTAAAAAATGGCCTGGATGCAGGCTATTATTTTCACTGGAATATTGGCTTCAACCCTACATTAATTTGTACATTGGAAATGCATTATTTATGGGATTACAACTTTTCTACAAATCACAGAGAAACTCCAAAATGTCGAGAGTAAATATAACTGCTTTTTAACTTTTTAAAGTTTGAACTCTGTAGGAATATCGACCATTTTACACATTTTCTTTCTACACTTTGTTCCTCACAAACGGAATGTCCTTCCTACAGGGGTCAGGTCTACTTTCAGGCTGAATAAAGCATCCATGTTGTCAGTATTCACCACTGGATTTAATACAATTAATATTGTAATACAATATGGAATTTTGGAGGAGCTGTTTTGTCTTAATTACATACATTAATACATTAATGTACATAAGCACATTGTAAACCCTAACAATTTGATTTTAGGGGCATTGATAGTTTTACTTCAAGTTATTAATTGTCCGAATACAAGTTGTTAAAATGAGACATTCTGTATGTTCAGTACCCATCAAAGGCTTGGACACAATTTCTCATTCAATTAAATGAGAGAGTGTGTGTTGTTACTGGTGCTGGGATACTTGGATAAGACATTTTATTAATCGAATTTCAAATGTTGTATACTGTGTATAGTGTGCATCACTGTGAAATACAAATGCCATAATTCATAACTCAGTTAAGAGCAATCTCAGGTAAAAGGGAAAAGAAATCAGGCCTTTCAAGGTAACAGAATGGGCGTAAATTGGTAAAGTTATTAATTTACAATCAATAAAACAGGTGATATGAAATGCTGCTGCCACAGCTAAAACACACAAGTATGTGAGTAAAAAACCCATTATATGAATAGCTTCATCAAAGCCAATTCCGTAACATAATGAACAGGGTAATTTAAAAGTAATCAGGTTCCAGTAGTGGATAATAACGAATGACTTTAAATCTCCATTTTCTACAGGAAATAAAAGCCTCATAAAACTCATAATTCACTACCAACATGTGACCATATTATGCTTGTATGTAAAAACACCCCGTAACCTACAACAAGATGGATTTAGCACAGCTGTCTACTCTACATCTTAAATGTACAATAAAGGATCTAATTTGAAATATGTTTTCCATGTTCCTTTGTACCATTTTAAGACCAAATTCAGGCACAACGGAACTCAATCAAAACAATACCCACTTAGTGTAATCGAGTCGACCATCCTGTATGAAAAACCCTGCACGCCCAATTAGCTACAGAGAACTGCAATATTAGGTCCAATTCCAGCCTTTTCATACAAACAGACTGGCTGCGGCGTTACTTCTTTAAATGACAAACCTTAGTAACACTTTGATACGAATAGGACCGCAGAGGCAGAAAACATGAGTCATTCAAGCAGCCAGGATGTGGGTGTTCTCATTATAACGGAGTCATCTCCCAATTGGACTGAAAGGACTTGATCAGAGAGGGAGAGAGAAGCTAATGATACAGCGAGGGCGGAATGTCACTCAATGCACATTAAACATTTGTTGAGAGTTGTCTTACTATGACGTCCATGTCGTGCTTAAAGCCACCAGCAACTACGCAGTATATAAGGCCAGAGAGTGACAAGCAGACCGATGGTGCAGACAATTACAGACTCTGTTAAATAGCAATGTCAATTAAAGCTTCTTGGATTCACTTGTCCTCACTTCCATTTCAATCTGTTCTAGAACAAATTATAACTTCTCTCCACCCACAGTGTCACTGAGGGCAAAGGGGAAAAAAAGGCAAAAGAAAATGTGCTGGCAACTATGGATGGTGATTACCTTAACAGCTTTCATATTGAATATATTTCAAGTCCACCTTGAACTTGAGCTCAGTTTTCGTAAGTTTCTCATCTTGGAACGGATCAAACATGCACAGGTGTGAATTCAAGCCAATTCTACAAACTTGGAGGGTTTCAAAGCCTTTGGCGGAGCCTTGGTTCTTGCCGCCTTTTCCATACCTTGTTTGTATTTCAACAGCAGTTCCCAGATACCCCGGCGGGCGTAAGGGTCCACTCCTGCTGTGGGCTCGTCTAAGATGACGATTTTTGAGCCCCCGACAAACGCTATAGCCACAGACAGCTTCCTCTGCATCCCACCTAAAACCACAGTACAATCTCCATCAGTATCCTAGTATGTAGGTACTTTATGAAAAAAAGGTAAAAACTGCAATTGACATGACATTTTGTCCTGTGGTATTCTGCCTGTTATCAGTACAAGGTCCTCGACAAACATCCCTCAACATTAGGTTTCAGATGTGGAATGGACTCAATATTGAGAACTGTTTGTCGAATAAATGTGTCAAGGGGTCCCTCTCCAGGTTTTTATTGTCACGATAGAGTAAAATGATTGATAGCAGAGGGGTAGATACACCTTCCTTGGGTTATTCTGGTCTCCATTCTCCTAGCTCGCTCTTCAAAATGCATCCAATGCAGTACTAATGTAGTGGAAATGTCAGCATAGATCGAGCTTGAAAGTCATATTTCAGTGATTTTGCACACAAGCAATCCGTGACTGGGAACAATTTATCATGCAGGACTTGCTCATGCCCCCAAGACAATGAATTACAACCTGTGACACAAAGGTACTGTGCATGTGCACCATGAGACAGCTGCTTGCACATGCACATTTAACTGGGCAGCATTATCCTGAATAGAAGGCATAATCTACAGGCAGAATTCCTTCCCCGAGGAAATGAATGCACCGAGCACAGAATTTGATGAACACATCAATAACTAAATTTACATTTTTACATGAATTCAATCAGACACTCCGACACACACATCCCAAAAATGTCATACATACACACATCCAGACACACCTGACAAGTTCTTAGCAAGCTCCTTCCGTTTGTGTGGTAAGCCGACATCCTTAAGCATCTGGTCCATCTCAATTTTCACCTCGTCTCGGCTGCGTCCTTTCAACCTGGCGTAGAAGTAGATGTGCTCCTCCACCGTGAGGCTGTAAAGGTGAAAATAATATCGCAACGCCCATTTGATTGACATGTGAGGCGGCACGGGTGACAAAAGAGGCCATCACCTGCCACTCATTCATATGTAAGTGTTTGAAATATCTAAATGTTAGACGGACGCATTCTGTAAAATTATCTGGCTCAATTTTAAAGGCATTTTTGCGAAATAATGTAAAGAAAAGTACAGAGTTTCATCATAACCTCATTAATGGCCTCAGAAGTAGGACACTAATATGTCTAACTGTATGATTGCATGAATATTTTAACCTGTACTTAGTGTTAGATGCTTTGACTGCCTGGGATTAATATTAATGAAAGTAATTTTCAGGTCCTCAGACATAATTATGATCTAGGACTAGCGTTGGGATGCAGGTACCCAGCTCGTGGGAGAAAGAAATAGAGGGGACTCTAAAGGTGGAATACAAAGGGAAAAAAAACTGAATAGCGATAGTGAATAAGTCAAATCTGGGGGGGAAAAAAGATAATGGTGTGTTGATATGAAACATAAGCAGAGACAGAGCCCCAATTATGCATATTACCACAAAGCACTATAATGATCTCTTTTTTCCCCATGTCCTTCTTTTTAAAATTCACCGGAAGCAAAACATGATTAGACTAATAATCAGAGAGGGAACAGGAATGATTCGAAATTCACTCACTCATTGAATAAGACATTGTGCTGCGGGCACATTCCCAAGTACTTTCGGATGCTGTCCATGTCAGTGAGGATGTCATATCCGTTGATAAGAGCTGTCCCCGATGTGGGTGGGAACAGTCCTGTCAGAATTGACCTACAGAGAGAATAAAAGACACAAACAAGACACAAAAAAACAGATTCGGAAAGCTAGATTTAACGATATATGAAAAAGGGTTTCACTTAAAAAGAAGCAGCTGCAGGGACAGGAGATTTGGAGCAATGATTATCCTTATCGTCTCCATTAACTTGTCAATGTCATCTCATTAGTTACACTATAATTAGTTACCAACATCAGCAAAACATTTCCAAACAACAAACAAAATATCATAATATTAACACTTCAACAGCATTTTTTGATATTGTGTCATGGTTATAGATAGTGGGATGCTATGTGGAATGTGACGAAACCTCTGCATATTCTCAAAAAAAGCAACCAAATGCTTGCTGTTTTCTCATGCCTTAACTGTGACGCTGCCTCTCTGCGGTGGAAATGCATCCACAGCGAGCGCCGGTGTGTGACAGAGTCCTTCCTCTGTCCTCTCTGTTATTGTTCTCTGTTACGTTTCGTTACAGCAGCTCAGAGCCGATGTCTTCCCCTCGGCCCTTAGTCTTGCATCACTTGCTCACTCTCTCACTCATTCTGTTTCTGGGCCACTGGCTTCTAACCCCCCCCCCCACCCCTCCACCCCGCAGAAAAAATGTAAACAGCGATTAGATGAATTACGCAATCAAAACAACGGCCGAGGCGGTTTGCTTTGAAAGCAGGGGGGGGCGGTACAACAACGTTGCTCCAGTACAGTCGGCATTGTTGGATTAGTTGCACCCGGAAAATGAAAACACATGATCGCAGAGCCAAGAGCCCAAGTGTGGGAGAAATAGATAATGAAACTCACATTGTGGTCGTTTTTCCAGCTCCGTTGTGGCCGAGAAAAGATGTGATTTGATTCTCGTAAAAGTCCATACTCAGTCCGTCCACAGCGAGCTTCTTTCCAGTCTTGTAGATTTTAACGAGATTGCGGACCGAGACCCCTGCTTTCATATTGGGAGATGGTTTCTCCAGATACTCTTCAGAAACACAAGGCATACATTCAGACACACACACACACACACACACACACACACATTGTTTCTTTTCTCAAAGCGGTTTGGTGTAAATTTTTATCTTGTTATTATTCTGTTTTCCATTTTAATCTTGTTTTTTTAAATTGTCAATCATTTGTACCACATTTCATTAGTTTGACGGTCGATTTAAAAATAAAAAATGATTATATCATTAACAATTAAAACAAGAAACAAGCTTAAACAGATACAATTAAATAAATAAAGCTGAACATTAAAAAGGTAGCTCTTCTATCAGATACTCAAGGACAACAAGATAAATACTGCACTACTAAATTTGTAATATGTATTGATGCTACCGAAGGTTTATTAATATATGCTTTTTTTTTAATTAAGAATTATTCTGTTGATACTTCAAAGATATTGATTGGGCCTTCAGCAATGTAAAAAGAAACTAAATTAAAACTAGAACACAAAAATACCCCACTCCTCTGAAAGTTAATTGGAAACATTTTTTTTAACAAATTCCAGACTTGAAAACTCACCTACGCTCTTCACCTTCACAAAGTGGCAAACTCCATTAGTACCCAGAGTGAGAAATAAGGTGCTAATGTTTGTTTGCTACCCATTCCCATTCCCTTCCCCGTCTTACTAAGACTGCATTACCTCTAGTAGATGGATGAGCGGTTGGGAATGTGATGCATACATAGCAACTCACCAGAGGTGTGAACTGAAAATGTATATGGCAATTTACCGTCATGTTCGGTCGAGTTCTTCAGCACGCCAGGGTCAATGGCGACCGTTGAGGCTGTCCCACACCAGTAGGATGCAGTGAAAGGGAAGTACCATGGCCTCGGGATTCCATATTGGCCTGGCATCGAGCGTAAAGAACATTACAACAGCTCGGCTTGTGGTTATTTACAGTGCGTGTTTAATCTTGACATTCTAGCACAAATCTTTTTTTAATTGGAGTCAATGAGAAATGCATTACAACTGCTGCATTGGCAATTCCATTAGGTAGGACTCGGGGAAAAGGGTTTCATGCAAGAAAAGTAAAGTAGATAGTTTTGGAAATAACACGAAAACAATGAATCTGCTGAAAAATGAGTACCTGGAAAGACATTCTCGATGTACCAGGTGAGAAGGCAGTAAATTGCAGCATCAACGAGCATCATGATGATGGACACTATGAAGGTGTAGTTATCTCCCTCTTCTGGACTGCTGTTGATGTTGTACCACTGAATGCCGATGCCTTGCACCTCGTACTTGGCAAAGTTCTCACAGCCGTAGCCAAAGGCCACACATGACAGCAAACTCTGGGAAGGAAAATCATACATATTTAAAAGTTCTGTTTGCCGCTTTGCGGATTGATGATAAGATTGACCCCAGTGTCGTGTCGGTTTGATGAATATGACGTTAGAGCCAGAGAATAGTTAGCCACAGCTAGCCTGTCTCAAACAGGCCGGAGTCTCTGCATTCCGGGCAACTGGTCCTGTCCAATCAATAGATAATCACAAGAGCCGCTATGTTACAGTGAAATAGCATTTTTACACTTCACACAGTTTGTGTATGGTTTGAACCAAAAAGGATAAAAAGTGCTATCAGTCGCCTGCTGTTTCCAGTGTTTATGCAAAGCTTTTGAAGCTACTAGCTAGCTACATATTTAACCGATATGAGAATCATTACCACCTGCTCATCAAATTCTCTGTAGGAAAGAAGATCTCTGTTCTCTCAAAGCGTCTTTTGAAGTAATATTTCACTAAATAATTCAGGTAAATTACTTTGTATTACCACCCAAGGTCACACTCAACTGATCAAGAAACTACTGCCGCAGACGGAGGAAGAATACACACACAGGCATCAGCCGGTTTAATTGCCGTGTTGCCTTTGTGGAAATCTCTCAAGACTTCATTTTAGACAAGAACAAAGATGGAGACTGAAATGTGTGTGCTGGAAACCAAGACGTGTTGACGCTTTTCATACAGAAGGAAATTGCAAATGACGCTTTGCCCGCGAGACATCATCTACCATGGCCTATCACTCTGCGTTGCCATGTTGCCTGCCAGCTGTCTTCTCACGCCTCATTTGCTCGCAGCATTCTCACTCCCGTCGAAGTAGCTGAAGCCATATAGGGACGAACAATCGCGGATGCCTCGTCGCCACGTTTATCGGGCAGAGACTCCAGAAAGCCCTGCAGTGACACCGAACCGGTGGCCCGGCATCCGACACTGCTCGACTTCCTGTGTTATCCTCCAACCCCCCCACCACCGCCCCCCATATTCTGACAAGCAATCAACAGTGAGCCAGTAGATGAGGCGTGACAGCAGGGCTAGTGGGCATCCATCCTTGAACTCAGTGTGAACGGCTGACAAAACCACAGGAGCCACTTATTTGGCATCTGAGAAAAGGGCTGGGGCCTGGAGGCAGACAAATAAGGCCCCTTCCATAGAACACACGTCGCTAACGCTGCAAATTCAGCCGGCATTCAGCCGTCTGCAGACATGAGCATTGTTTAGGGGAAGTGGGATCGGCATTTTAGCACTTTCTACGACGTCGCTTTGCAGGACAGTTTTTTTAAAGTAGACGGATATGACGGATATGATCACAATGGAGGGAAATGTCTTGTATTAGATATTAGAAGGCCGACACCAAAGAACTGCAGAGTCCCTTGTGGCTTGTTTCCTGCCTCTATGTCTGTGTCTCTATGTCTGCCTCTATACTGTCTCCTGTTGAGTGTATGTAGTACATTTTTAAAATATACAGTACAGTGTCGACGGTCATAATACTGCAAACAAAAAGTTTCAACAAAAACATACGCTCAACGGAGCTGCCAGATGTTGCAAAAGAATAGATCAATTCAATTAATTCCAGCAAAGGAAAACAGGAGGTGTTTTTTGGAGAATGATGTTGCTGAGAAAATTACCATTTTTTGAGGACTGAAAGATTAATTAAAAATATTTTGAGCTTTCGGGATATCTGGGCTCTCTCTTGTTTCTACCTCATTAAAAACGGGTTGAAAGAGGGAGAAATAATGAAAGTACGCAGACAGGTTGTTGGATATTGACATGGTGGCCCTGTGATAAACTGATACTTACAAAGCTGCAATCTAAACCCGTTATTATAATAATACATTCAAGGGATCTTTTATAATTCTGTTACGATTAAAGACTTCACTATCAAGGACAATGTGTGTGCGAACACACACACACACACGCAGTGTAAGGAAAAACTGGAAGTGGTTTGGTCAGAGGAACATTGCTCATGCTAATTAGGGGGCTAGAGGGCTATTCATCTAGTTGGAGCAGGGGAGAAAACGCTCACTCGCAATGGGGGGCACCTGGCAATGGCACTTTGTGCTTGAGATTAAACAAGGTTTGCCGTGCATTGTATATAACATGCCTACGTAAGGCGGCGTTTTAAAAGGGCTTACAGAAAGACAAGCGATGTCGGCACTGCTGGATGTAAATAGCGAGGTCTACAAAGTGTAAGAAAACCAACGGGACTCCTGCCAGGTGCCAATGGAAGACATTGTTGACCTCCACTATTCAAATTGAATAAATACTAACACAAGACACACAAGACTGTTGGCCATGGCCACCTGCACCCCACACAGCATTGCTGAAATTGACAAATAAGAAAACATGAGCTGATAGAAATTTGTGTCTGTTCTCTGCAGAAAGGAGAGCTGGAGGACAAATGATACCGGCACCGTCATAAAGGTCAGGCCGAAAGGCTACACTGAAAGTTGAGCAATGGTGTACTATTTATCTTTATCTCTTTGAGGATAAGAGAATATCACAAACTTCCTCACTCTGTCTCTTCTATTATTGAAATGTTTCATGGTACTGTCTAGTTTTTGACAAATCTCTTCAGTTTTCCGCCCAAATAAGTCATAACAAACTGGAAAAAGAATGAAAAATGACACATATTACAATACGTCTTAAGCTTTTTTTGGGTTTATACCGTACGGAACTATTCAATTCATCTTGCACACACAGTTGATGTCTTATCATTAACAGAATTGGTAAGGCAGGATAACGACAAATCCCTCACACATATTATCGATAGTGGGACAGAAGTCACTTCCATATATAAAGAACCAGCACCAATCAAATCAGTCCTGTGCCTTTTTGGATGTCACAGTAAAATAGAATTATTAACCCGGATTGAAAAAGTTGTTGTAGTTAGAAAACACAGGGCGTAAGAAAATAACTCAAAAGACAGTCATGTATGATAACAGCTGGCGAAGATATTAAAAACCATGTCGGAGCCAAAGACGGACTTACCACAGCAACCTTGGCCTGTAAACCCATGACGTCCCTCCAGGCGTAGCAGAGGACGTGCGGCAGGTAGAGGACGAAGTAGATGAGGCCACCGCACGCCGCTGCTAAATTGGCCTTAGAGAAGAAGACGCTAATGAAGAAGCACTGAGTGATGGTGGCCAGGCAGAACACCAGCAGGAAGACAAAGATCACCGAGGGGTCGCTGTACTGCAGCACATTGCCATACTGTGTGACGAGACGGGAGGAAAAAAAACAAACTATATTATATTTATCAAGGTGACAAAAGAACCAGCAAATGTGATGATTATAGTTCATTTATTTATACGTAGTGGGGAGAGTAAAAGAGTGTTTTGAAAGGGTTAAAGGTGGTCAATATGGAATTGAGGCTGCAGCGTCTAGCGCCTCCACTCGGTTCTCAACATGGAGAAAGCAGAGTCGGAAGGTAGCAGCTTATGTACGTTCTCCGTTTCAGATAGGTAATTATTCCACAATATCTTTACATTGCAAAATTGTTGCTCGGCGCTGTATTATTGCTCTAAATCCATGACATAAAATGTATAACACATCTCGTGTGTTCATATTTCTGATAGACCTGAACTTATTTCAAAGTAGACTGATACTCTTTTACATGATAAACCTCTCTTTTACTCTGCCACTTTTGAAGGAGGACCCAACGTTGATTTTAGTGAGCAACTCGTTCATCCATCCATTCGAAAACAATGGCGTTATTATAATGGATGCTATTGGGACGAAATCCTTACAGGACACTGTTACGTGGAGCTGTACGGACAAACACTACAGATACTCTTCTAATGAGCGAGTTACAAGTACAATTATCTGATGTTAGGGCTTTGGTTTCTCCTTGGATGAACATCTTCTGCATTTTAAACACAAGTTGCATCACTCCATTAGACCTCAAAGATATAACTCTCCAAAATGAGTGTTGGATCCTCCTTGAATCATTGTTGAATCATTTTGAAATCACCTTCAGTACAAGGGAAAGGAGGAGAGCGCTGAAGGCCAGCGGCAGCAGGCTGGACGCTGCCCAGCTCAGCCAATAGACGGAACCTCTGAGGCCCATGATTCTCACGGTCTCCTTAAGCCTCGCCTCTTTCTCAGCGACGATGCCCTTAATGATCATGGCCACTGAGTATATCCAGGCTAAGGTCATGTATAAGGGGAGGGACCTTGCCAGAGACCGGAGGAACCTAAGGGTAGGAGGAGCCCGGACCAGAGAAGATGATCACACATTTTAAATCTGGTATTAACAAGTAATTTGTATGTAAAAACATTATCCCGAAAATTAACTTCTCTGATCATAATTCCTGTTATTGTGATACTGCCAGCGATATGATTGGATTTGAATAAACTAAGGAGACGAATTGGCCTCTCCAACATACCAGATGATAGAAAGCTTTTTTGCTATAAGAATACCTTATTTCTGAGGACAGTCTGGGTGACTTATCAACATTTTGTGCTGCTTATGATGTGAAGCACTTTGAGTCTGCCTTGTGTATGAAAAGCGCTATACAAATAAAATTGCCTTGCCTTGCCTTGCCTTGCTTTTGTTTCCTCGTCAGTGGCTACTCTCTCTGGGGTTTGTTGCTTAGCAGCTGGTGGGTTTTAAGAGACCTCAAAGAGACTTTGTGGGACCCCAAAAGAGGAGGTCTATTCCTTGCCGGTTCCTCACTGTAAGCATCACCTTTCACACGGACGCAGCCATTTCATCCATTGCTGATATATAAAAATATTGATTACAACTGCTTTAAGAATGTGGCCACGCTGAGCAGACTGCACTTGCTGAGATGTTATCACACAGCAATCCATGAAGGTTCTGATTGCTATGTGCTCTGCATACACGTACAACCTGATTACCGTGCTCTCCAGGGGAGATACCCGTAATATGGATTAACGGTTAGTACTTGGCGTAAATGCGGACAGGTCTGTCATCATGGTAATGATTTGAAAAAGCCCTTGCACGTGACAGTACTGTTGAACGTGGTGACAGTGGAATACAGGTGTGACCCATCATCAGTGTTCAAGAAGCACAATATATAAGAATGATATACCAGTAGAATGCTTCATCTCCCAAAGTAAAGCATTATCATGTATAAAAAGTACGAATCACTTCATTTGTATCTGTAACTATCATTTTAAAGTTGTAGCAGTTTTAATTACAAAAGGTAGTTTACTACATAATGATGTATCATATTTTGAAATTCAATTTTCAAATGAATGAATTGACAGGAAATGCAGAAAGATACAGAGATCAGGGACCTCGAATTCAGACAATATAACAACTATACCTGTTATGTTAAGCTGCTATCCATTTATGCATCAATAAGGTCTAAACGTGAGCAAGCGTTTGAATAGTGGTCTCACATCCAACACGAGGTTCATCACTGATCAGTGCGAGCATTCATGAAAAACGACACCCTAATTCAGCCTCTTTGGAGACTGCAGCCAAATGTGAAAACATCCCAAATACATCAGTTTGGATGCCAAATAATAATTGCATCACCTCCTCTCTGATGAAAGAGAAAACAATTGTAAAAGGACTCAGGTGGAGGTGACAGAACGGGTTGTTGTCAACCTGTATCCACATAATAATAATTACCATTTAATTTGCTATTATTATTAATGTCCTGGAAATGGCTGTGAAATTATCATTTAGAATGGGCCTGTGATCTGAATACACATCATGTTTGCGGTTGCTTCTCCAAGGCATTCCACTAACTCAATTTATTGTTATTAATGCTTACAAATTGTTGATAGCTTGCAAACACATTAGGCTGATGGGAAATTACATTTCAGCCAGCTGTTCAAATATAAGTTTTTATTTACCAGCCACATTTCCCAATTAAACTGCAGAAGAATTAATTAGTTCGTCCTATAATATCAATAACTTTTGATTTCACGACCCGCGACTACAAAAGTCGCTTGGCGACGGCCTCCAACTAAAAGGGAGGGAAATAATAATGCTGCAGCCTCGTGTGTCACCCCGGGGCTCGAAGCGGCTCCTTTTTGTGATGACCGGGCTCCGTGCATCTGCTGCCATCGATCGCTGAGCGTGATCGCTCCAACAGATAAGCAAGTTCATTACATCCCACATAATCATTGGTTCAGCAGACTGGAAACACATACTTCCAGTAGGTAGACAACTGCTGAATAAAAAAAAACATTCTGCACATAACTAACGTCACGTTGTGTTTCGCCTCTTTTCCGGGAATAACACCAACTCCATTTTGCATTGCAAAAAAGTGTCCCCTGTGAGTGATGATGTTAGACCCATTAGATGATTGTACTTGCAGAGCATTATGCATCAAGAGTGCGATGATGAGGAGATAGGTTGCGGAGTCCAGTAGCAATGCATTTGAAATCCTGAAAATGCATAGCGCTAAACGATCAGTACTAAAATTACAAAACAGAAGCCGTCCTTATATTTAAGCACAAAGGTAGAAGAGAAGCAATTACAAGAAATAATAATTTGCTGCCGTGATTTTCTTTTGACAAAATTACATTTTTGGTGTCGAGCTCAATTAATTACAACAAGAAAGCTGATTGTAAGAATCACAGATAATGGTTTGATTTAGTTCTCACTAGTCGGGTTATGATTACTAAAATTAAAAATATAACAAAACACAAAGCATGACAAATTCTCCGTGTCACGTTGGACGCATTTGGTTGGAGGCTCATTTTTCTTGGTCCTGCTGCACTTGACGAGCGGCACCGTGATCTTTTGGCACGTTTCTAATTAGTAACAACAGTACACGAGTGTGCGTTATATTCCTTTTGTATGCTTTGTGTTTTGATATGTCGATCCTCTCAATGCCTCCTTTTCCACTGACCTTAACCATGACACTTATGAGCGCACAGGGAACCGTGAGCAGAACAATGTTCTCTGTGAACGTCACAGACCACAGGGCGCCGTTCTGAATGCCAACGACGCGCAGCACTTCCTTGAGCCGGAGTTCCTTGTCCAGCACGAGGTCTTTGATGGTCATGCACACGGTGTACATGAAGGCCAGCACCAGGAACATGGGGAGGATGCCTCCAATATTCTGGATGAAGCTGGTTGCGAAGGGAATCAAAAAAGGTCAGGATTGCACATTGACAAAAAGGAGTGGGTGAGGCTGTGTTAAATACTTGGTTATCACTGCCAGATGAGTGTTGGCGTGCTTTTAATCCGCTGCATGCTGATCATGTTGGTTTATTTAGATGTTAACTACTAGTTTTTGGAGACTGAAATGAACCTTGTGAAGTTTTTTGACAAGTCAGCGAGGAAAATTTGCTGTGTTGTATACAAATTAATGTTATTATATATATGGGTGGTGACATCAGGAACTGTAATTGTGAATATATTACATCAAAAAATTATTTAACTGCAACTATTTTGGTTAACTGGTTATTAAAGTCCCTTTTCAAGTCACATCCAAAGTGAGGGACGACTTTTTTCTACATCTAATGTGATAGTAAATTGTTTTTATTAGTAGCCGACACCACTTTTGGCTTTAACGGAGATCTGTGAGTATTTCTGGTATGGCTAAAAAAAATGTCAATAAATAAAAAGGCCTGAATGGTATTAATAAAATGGTCAGCTTTTACCATGCACACCCATATTTCATCTTAAAGGTTGCCTTTTGCAATCAGGTAGACAATCATAACAATGGGGGTTGTGTTCATGGAGTCAGTGTTTTATTTTCGCACTAAACTAACCTTCATAAACCTGGTGCATCAGCTCAATCAAGCCATTTAGTGTTGCACCTCGTCCCAGATGGGATGTGTGATTTAATCCTATTACAATATAATAAGGCATTATTAAACTGGCTTTATAATGCCACGCAAATACCGTGTAAATATCATCTCCCCTGACAATATAACAGTTTAAAGTTACGTTTATTTTGCTCTATTAGACACTGAAGGACATATATCAGATGGATTTTGACAAAGTAAAGATTTCCCAAATTGCTGATGATCTTGTGTAAATACTGACGTTATATGCAAGCAAGGCACAGTTCAGCATGGCGAATGAAGCCTGATGTGAATAAAGGAGTAATTGGCGTAACGATGGTCCTATTTAAAGGCAATATTTTTTCACTACATTCATTTTAAGTTTCAGTCCTGCAAAATATGGTTTCGCACGGAGAGTTTGAATACAAAAACTTAAATGAGAGAGAGAGCGAGGTTAACATTTTTCTTTTGGAGGACACTGCCTGCCCTTGTGGGAATGATCACTTTCAAACACGGCCTAAATAATACAAAACAAGAAACGCTAAGTTCCTGTTTCATTAAGTTAATACCCATAGCGACTAAAACTGAAATTCGCATGAGTAGAATTGCCTTTGCAAGCCCGTAATTCACAACCTCAAGAGCTTGAAATCCATGCACTTCAACAAATAAAGCTAACTCGTACATTGACACCTTTTCTGGGGAGGTGAGGAGTCTCAAGTCGCAGAGGCATCAGGTGGAATACTAATTCTGGTATTATCTGCTCCCGATTCCTCCCTAACATCTCCGTAACAGCTGACAGCTTGTGTGAGTTTACTCCTTCTCTGACTTGTAGCACGGAAGGGGGAAGAGATCAGTCATGCACACCGCGTCTGACACAGACAACCTTGCCACCAGATGCTCTTGAATTATACATTCTCTGATCGATCAAGGGTGCTTAAGTAATAGAACTCCCGGCAGGTCCGTGTTACGGGGCTCCAGTTACATCGGCATCCTGACCTAAATTTAGGTAAGCTGGAAGAATGATTTCTCAGTAAATCCAGAGATAGTAGAGCATTGTCTCCCCAGAGGTTGGCGTTCTATGCTGTAAAAAAAAGAAAAAGCTTCCTGTCTCATTATGAGCAAATATACCGTTGAGTTCCTTGGCTGGGTGGAAATGAGCAATTCATTGAAGGGAGCAGGCTTTATTGTTTAATGTGGATTATCTCGCCGCTGGTACAAATTATTGCTTTATGGAAACTCTGCATGCAGTTATTGCACAAAAAGCACTCAGGGACCTATATGTCGTGTTCTTTTGGGGGTTTTGTGACATAAATATCTCGTGTATAAAACTAAGTAAAATTCTGTGAGACAATAGCGATGCAACATATTTTAGAAACTATGAATATAAAGATCATTTTATAGATTCAAATGTCATCTATACACACAGTCATATCCAAATAGCACGACATACACTTTGTGTGTATATATATACAATATATATATATATATATATATATATATATCTATTATATTGATGATTTAACAATAAGAAAATATTGGATGTGGGCACCCAGATTGTAAAATAATTCAATACACAGCGCATTCTGTACATTCCTCTGTTCCCCACTATTTTTATACAAGCAAGAATGAATACTATTTTTAAGGCTTCCACACAGTACTACTAGTGAGTCTTATCTTAAACTGCTGGCTAAGGATAAACGTAAATACAGTAAGATTGTAATACATGTCGGCGGTAATGACTCCCGATTACGTTGCTCGGAGGTCACTAAAGTTAATGTGGAATCGGTGTGTACATACGCTAAAACAATGTCGGACACCGTAGTTTTCTCTGGCCCCCTCCCAAACTTGACAAGTGACGACATGTATAGCCGCATGTCGTCATTCCGCCGCTGGTTGTCGAGGTGGTGCCCAGTAAATAATGTGGGCTTCGTTGATCACTGGAAGACGTTTTGGGGAGAGCCTGGTCTGATTAGGAGGGACGGCATCCATCCCACTTTGGACGGAGCTGAACTTCTTTCTAAGAACCTGACCCAGTTTCTTAGTGGACTTAATCCATGACCCAGAGTTCAGACCAGGGAGCAGAGTCGCAGTCTTACACACTTCTCTGCGCTTCAATCTGAGCAGTCACTCAGCATAATGAACCCTATAGAGACCTTGTCTGCCCCACGGACACACTTATCTAAGTTAAAGGTAAACAACCGAGGAGTTGTAGTAAATAACTTAATTAAAGTTAAAACTAATAATGCAACAGTGCAACAAAATAGGAGAATTAAAGGGGGTCTTTTGAATATCAGATCTCTGTCATCTAAAGCTGTTTTGGTAAATGAACTAATATCAGATCACCATGTTGATGTATTTTGTCTTACTGAAACGTGGTTGTTGAATGGGGAATATTTCTGTTTAAATGAAGCGACTCCTCCGAGTCATGTTAATACTCATATTCCCCGAGGCACAGGCCGAGGGGGGGGAGTGGCAGCTATTTATGACTCCTGCCTTTTAATAAACTTTAAACCTAAGGTGGATTGTAACTCATTTGAAAGCCTGGTTTTCAGTCTTTCGCAACCGACCTGGAAAATAATCCAGCCGGTTCTCTTTGTAATAGTGTACAGGGCCCCAGGTCCTTATTCAGAATTTCTTTCTGAATTTTCACAGTTCTTAACGAGTTTGGTCCTTAAAACGGACAAGGTAATTATTGTGGGTGACTTTAACATTCATGTGGATGTCGACAACGACAGCCTTAGTACTGCATTTCTTTCATTGTTAGATTCAATTGGTTTCTGTCAGTGTGTAAATAAACCAACTCACTGTTTTAACCACACTCTCGACTTGGTTCTTGTGTATGGGATTGAGATTGAACATTTAACAATTTTTCCACAGAACCCTCTCCTGTCGGACCATTGTCTGATAACCTTTGAATTTCTACTATCAGAACCACCTCCTCCTGCCAAAGGTTTCTACAGTCGACGCTTATCGGATACCGCTGTAGCCTTATTTAAAGAAGCCATTCCTTCTGCTCTAAGTTCAGTGCCCTGCCTCAAGATACAAGAAGACTCCTGTGAAAACCTCAGTCCGTCTCAGATCGATAATTTTGTCGATACTGCTACAGGCTCTTTGAGAGTGGCGCTGGATGCTATTGCTCCTCTGGAAAGAAGAATAGCAACAAGAAGGAAGTCTGCTCCGTGGTATAACCCTCAAACACGGAACCTAAAGCAAACTGTGCGGAAGCTTGAACGATTATGGCGTTCCACCAAATCAGAAGGATCTAGACTAGTTTGGCAAGACAGCCTTAAAACGTATAAGAAGGCTCTCCGTAACGCAAGAGCATCTTATTACTCATCATTAATAGAGAAAAATAAAAACAACTCCAGGTTTCTCTTCAGCACTGTAGCCCGACTGACAGAGAGTCACAGCTCTGTCGAGCCGTGTATTCCTTTGGACCTCACTAGTAACGACTTCATGAACTTCTTCAATGATAAGATTCTGACTATCAAAGAGAAAATTGATGGTCTCCTGCCTTCAACCAGTGCCGACCTGTCCTCCTTGGATGCAGCAGTGGGCCCTGATGCCTGTTTGGATGCCTTCTCTTCCATCAACCTTGATCAACTGACTTCTTTATTTTCAAAGTCTAAATCTTCTACTTGTCTCTTGGATCCGATTCCGACCAAACTGCTTAAGGAAGTTTTTCCTTTAGTTAGCACATCCTTATTAGATATTATGAATCTGTCTTTGTTAACAGGACATGTACCACAGTCCTTCAAGGTAGCTGTAATTAAACCTCTTCTTAAGAAACCTACTCTTGCTCCAGAGGTGTTGGCTAACTACAGACCTATCTCTAATCTTCCCTTCCTCTCTAAGATCCTTGAGAAATCCGTCGCAAATCAATTATGTGACTTTCTACAAAACAATGCTTTGTTCGAGGATTTCCAGTCAGGATTCCGAGTGCATCACAGTACAGAAACCGCACTGGTGAAAATTACGAATGATCTTCTACTTGCATCGGACCAAGGACTCATCTCTTTTCTTGTCTTGCTGGACCTTAGTGCCGCATTTGATACCATAGACCATTGTATCCTGTTGCAGAGACTAGAACATTTAATTGGTATCAAAGGAACTGCACTCAGCTGGTTTAAATCCTACCTATCGGACCGATCCCAGTTTGTGCTTGTAAACGGTGAATCCTCAAAGACCACCAATGTTGGTCACGGAGTCCCACAAGGTTCTGTACTTGGACCGATTTTATTTACCCTCTATATGCTTCCTTTGGGCGATCTTATCAGGAAACACCGCATAAACTTCCATTGTTATGCAGACGATACTCAACTGTATCTGTCGATCAAGCCAGAAGAGACGGACCAGTTAGTTAGACTCCAAGAATGTCTTGGAGACATCAAAACTTGGATGACCGGCAACTTCCTGATGCTAAACTCAGAAAAAACGGAAGTTATCCTGATAGGCCCAGAGCGCCTTCGAAGCCAGCTGTCGCGTGATACAGTTTTTATGGATGGAATTGCTCTGGTACCCAGCAGCACCGTCAGGAATCTGGGAGTTCTCTTCGACCAGGATATGACCTTCAACTCGCATATAAAGAAGACTTCAAGGACTGCCTATTTCCATCTACGTAACATATCAAAAATCAGGAACTTCCTGTCTCAAAGTGATGCAGAAAAATTAGTTCATGCGTTTGTCACTTCCAGACTGGACTACTGTAATTCTTTGTTATCAGGCTGCTCTTATAAATCTCTTAAGCCTCTCCAGCTGATTCAGAATGCTGCAGCACGTGTATTAACAAGAACTAAGAAAAGGGATCATATCACTCCTGTATTAACTTCTCTGCACTGGCTTCCTGTTAAATCAAGAATAGATTTTAAGGTACTTCTCCTCACCTACAAGGCACTTGCTGGTGAGGCACCGTTGTATCTTCAAGAGCTTGTAACACCGTATTGCCCTACAAGGCAACTGCGCTCCATAGATGCTGGGTTACTTGTTGTTCCTATGGTTTTAAAAAGTAGGCTGGGGGCCAGAGCCTTCAGTTATCAAGCTCCTCTTTTGTGGAACCAGGTTCCACTTTCAGTCCGGGGGGCAGATTCGGTCAGCTCTTTTAAAGTAAAACTTAAAACGTTCCTCTTTGATTCTGCCTATAGTTAGGGCTGGCTCAGGTTAGTCCGGACCAGCCCCTAGTTAAGCTGCTATAGGCTTAGAATGCCGGGGGACTTCTTAGGACACACCGAGCTCCTCTCTCACGCTCTCTTTCTACCATAATTCAAGTTTTATTAATGCACATGACTAATTCAGCTTCTTTCCGGGAGTTTTTTTTGTGCTTTCGCCCCTACCAGGTCTCCATAGATCGTGGTTCCTTCGGGACCCTGGTCCTGACACCTACCGTGGCCATGCTGACGCCTGCTGCTGCCATCATCATCATCATCATCATCATCATCATTATTTTAGATATTGATCATATTACTTTACTCATAAACCGCCATTACCCTCTCCTAAAATCTCTGTGCTCTCCCTCCCCACAGGATTCTGTGGATGGTGGTTCTATCTGATGGTGGTTGCCTCTGCAGTGGTCCTGCTGTGCGCCTGGCTTACTACTCACAATTACTTGAATCATTTCTGTCATAGGAATTGCATGTATTATACATTGTTCATTCTGTACACATGGCATCCATTGTAGTCTGTCCATCCCGGGAGTGGGATCCCTCCTCTGACGTTCTCCCTAAGGTTTCTTCCCTTTTTTCCCTCTTGTAAGGGTTTTTTCATTTTTTGGGGAGTTTTTCCTGTGCCGATGGTGGGTTTCGGGGCAGAGGATGTCGTATGTGTACAGACTGTAAAGCCCTCTGAGGCAAATTTGTAATTTGCGATTCTGGGCTATACAAAATAAAATGACTTGACTTGACTTGACTAGTGCTCACATATGGTTAATTAGCTCCTTGAGATGGACGAAAGCATATTCCTCTAAAATCCTCCAGTTGAATAGCCTTCCCACCCACTGTGGCCCAAAGCAGTCTTAGATCTCGCGTCAAGACCAGAGCACAGCCTCGGTACCCAAACGCGCATTGGAGCAGATGTGGCTGATAAGAGGGTTTGTGTGCCGCCCGGCCCTGCAAGGGTCAACCTTTCTCCCACACGTTAGCGCGGGCCTGTGTACAATGTGAATAGGAAGACAGTGGAAGCTAATGCAGGTTAGCTATCCCAAGTTTTGAGATGCCAACTGGTTCAGCTGTGGTGGGAGCGGCCCGGATTGCTGGTAGAGGATCAGCTGTGTTACAGCCAGCAAGGCAAGAAATAGGGAGTGCAAAAAGCATTGTATTCCAAAGGCGGGTCTAATAATAACAGTGTCGAGGTCAGTGCAGGTAATTCTTCCTTGCTAGTTGAAGTGCAAAAGTACAAATATAACTATTTTGAGGCGACAGTTCTAACAGGAACTATATGTGCAGTTGGCAACGGTTTTCTGAGCTGTTGAAATATTTTCTGTGGCTTGAATTGTAAAATTGTCAAACCTATAATCTAACAACAAGAAATAAAATGACTGCAAGTTACGTCCAAATTTCTACAATGTCTAAAATTGCTGTACGTTTGTTCAAATTCATATGTGTATGATTTATCTCACATTTCCTTCCTGGAGAAAATAATTGTCTTCTGTGTGGCACATCGGAATGTAACTAAATGCTGAGAGAGAAAGAGAAAAAACTTTCCAGCAGACGGCAAACGTGTTTGTCTGAATGCAAAATGTTCTTTCCTTCGTTCTGGCTGACGACACTAAAAAATTCAAGATGAAAATAATTACCGCTGAGGTTCTTCCCCATCATGCTTCCCTGTGTTTGAGCACATCGTTCCTTTGTGTGATTTCACTCTCAATTATTTATGAATGAAATAGCAGTTTTCAAGTGTTAATAATTTATAGAAATGCCCAAATGGTTATTCAGGCAAAGAGTAAATGGTGAGGGGATTTGGGATATTGCAGCACTTTATGGATCACATTTATCTTATTTAATTATTACTCCATTGTGTAAGGAAGATGAAATTGAGGCTACGGGACCTTCATTAGCAAGTAAGCTGTATCGTGTCTAATTTCAGATCATTATCACAATAATAAGCTGCAAATGACAATGATCAGCAATGCTCTATATTCAGAATGCAGCGCCTGAAAGTGCTGAGCATTTCTAGAACATTGAGAATTCTGGTGTTATGGTTGTAATTGACAGTAATACAACATCTTGTTCTAACTGCAGCGTGTCTACTCCTTAATGTCAAGAGGAGAATATTTTACAATACAGGTCGTTCAATATGCCGAAATGGAGAAGGAGCATCACCACTCAATCTAATCTAAAAGGTACATATATATATATATATATATATATATATATATATATATATATATATATATATATACATACAAGAAGGAAAGCTTTTGACGAAGAACCAATAGAGAACCCTGATAATTACATTCATTACACAGATTTGTTTGTTTTAACAAAGGGGTTGTCATCCTGTCTCAAGGACAAACAGGTGGTACAGAATAGAAAATAAATATTTAAAACAGGTTTATGATAGCTGGCTAAAACCTTCAGCGCATTTTTTTTTGCTTCTTTTATGCTCCCTTCAGCTTTAAAGCTCTCATTGTCATTGGCTTTATTGTAAATTCGGTGCTATCTAAGCATTTCAAATTTTTAAATTAGATCCCTAATCTCTGGAACTGCGTTTTCCCACAGGAAGCAAAGATTCGTCTCCACTGGAAAGGGGCATATTGTGTTGTTGGACTTAAATCTCCCTGGTAATCATCTCCGCTCTTGATGGCATCATTGGGCTCTTCCTTTATTAATGAAGATCATAATGTTTTGTGGATGGGAGTAATTTCCCAGACTCTGAGGAAATCTTTGCTGTGGGAGATTAAGAGTGATAACGCATAATTCCGCACCCTAGGTGAATGATCTAACATGATGGAAGCCAGTGCTATTGATTGATACATACACAACGCAGTTGGAGCCCTGCTATCAATCTTTGAACATGATGGAGCGAGATACAAGAGGTGGGGTACGGTCCTCTCACAGAAAGAAATGCCTCAGAAATACAAGAAACAAACCCCCGTGTGGTAGTTGGTTAAATATTTTACCATCCATCAACTATTCACGAATTTCTTGTGGTTTTAGTAAAATCAATAGTTGGCCCACTCATTCTCTTGCTGCCTTATTTATTTATTTCCCCTTGTTGAGTCTCAATTTATTATTAATCGATGATCCTCAAAGATGCCTCATTGTTATTGCGGAATTTTAAATGTGACTTTGTCCCTTCTTGGTTCATCAGCGACAGCGTGAGACACTCACGGACGAGCAACGCGGATATTAAAGAAAGGTTAAGTTAGACAAATATGACAGCGCATCATGAAGTTTCCACGGGGAAATATGGAAGCCCTGAGTGATTGGTAACACAATAGCTCAACTGCGTGTTGCCACTGTGGCAACTCTCCAGAGTGAGCAGAATTGCGTTATATATTGCCGCCTTCCCATATGCAGTAATCACGAGGCTGAAAGAAATAAAAACCTTTGTACTCACCCATCATCCACGTAGCAGGGGTACGGCATTTGCTGTGCAAAAACACCAAGGGGCTGGGTCTTTGACGTTTGCACTCGTATTATACCATGGTCCATCATATCCTGCAGGTAGGCGAAGCCTCCCCAAATATAGCGCAGGTCCTTAAAGGGGTTGTCCCGAGCCCCGGGAGACCAAGACCTTATTAAAATCAGACACACCACGATCTGTCTTAGCAAAGGGCAAGTGAACCACAACCAAAATGATGAGAAGTACAGGCAAAGTTTCATGACTGCTTATGGAGATCATATTTTTACACTGTAAACTTTGAAAGACAAGAGGAGTCGTCATCTCTGGGCTTACAGAAAAACATTGACCTTGAGTAAAATATGCTTTTCAACCCTTTAGCAGAGAGTTAGAAGCAAAGATTGATACATCTAAAGGGTTAATAAATAAATAAATAAAATCAGCAAAAGTGTCTTGTTTCCCAAAGTGTCAAATTATTCCTTTAAAAAATGGCAATTTCAGTAAGTCATTGTTGTATTTTAGAAGGAATGATAGCAATCCCTTATTAGTGTTGAACGGGGAGGCTGAGCGGTGTCAGGTACCTTTCTTTGAGTTTGTTGGTGGGCTCCACGTCCTCAATGTCCATGCGGATTTTGTATTTGATGTACGCAGGGAGGCCGCTGGAGTTCGGCTGGAGGTTTTCAAAGACAATGGCAGCCCAGAAGGTACCATTCTCCAGAAGCTCCAGGGCTCTGCTCACCAGACGGCTTTCCGTGGGGGCCGCCTCAAACTTATTCAGGTTTAAACACTGTCAACAAATTACAAAACTTATTTAATACAATCGTGTTCTATCATATGATTCCGGTTTTATTTACATTTTTAGTACCCACAAAACAAGCAACAAAAAAAAGAGGCAGGCATGGACTCACTGACAGAATGGCAGATGGATATTTTTTCGAAAAGTATCGCTATTGACTCCAGTTTCAAATTATCTGGAGCTGCCAGGGGGTGGGAAATGTTTTGGGCTTCGGCAGAGACAAGCAAATGAGATACAGCTTCGCTAGCACGCCCCGTTCTGTAGCCTTGTCCCCCCGTCTCATGAAACGATAATGAGCTAGCCGTCCTGGGAGGCAGTCACACCTGACAGCTGTCCACACATCCCCGCGCTGCAATAGTTGTATCATCTCTCCCCCCAGGATCGTGGAGTCTGGATTCTATCTATCAGCCACGCTGGTAAACAAAATATCACAGCAATGGCTTTTGCTGAGGAGATGCGAGTGAGGGTATCACAGCTGAGGAGTGGCTACGCGAGAGTTTGAAAGTGCACAGGAAATATTTGGCGTAAAGCGTGATAGGAGCTACAGTGTTAACCGCCAAGTCCGATGACTGATGCAAATCATAATGCATCAGAACAATTGTATTTCTTGGACTGCTCTTTTAATTAACTAAATGTATGAACCGCCTACACTGGAGGAATAGTATTCTGAGACTTTCTCTTCTCCATTTAATCGTTAAATAAGGTCACTATTTGCTGTCAAGTTTTCCCAACTATGATGTTTTGAAAGAGATGGATTGTTTGTGCATTTTGGTTTCCCTCTGGTCTTTCACCACTGGAGCAGACGTTAAGGCTCAACAATCTGATTGAGCCCCGGACGGAGAACTATTAGCTCACCAATCCCATCTTGGCCTCACTCAGAAAAACACCCAGGGAAACACGTTGAGTTCTCGAGGTTGCTTCATGCTTGTTGACTAATAGGAGTTATAGTAGCTCATGATTCCTACTTACATAAATTACTTAAGTGCCCTAAATCTTTATGCAATGCATCATTAAGTATACTGTAATGCATCATTACCTTTTAGCAACGGTGTCATCTGAAGCACCTCATGAAGTGCTATTCCAAGGATAACGAAGATGACTCAATGCAACTGTTCACTGCCTTTAGTGCTGCTGGATACAGAATTACCCGCTATGTTGTTTGCACGCCAATTGTAGTTCTTATTCTTTCTCTATTATCATTTAACATTGATATTTCTCTCCTTTAACCTTTTGATCCTATTTAATTCTGGGGTGGTTCATGAATGCAGCAGGGGAGTGGTTTGAATGACAACATTTACTAGTAAACATCCAAAATCAAAGTTAGATTATAGACGGTGTCGTGCTGATTTGCCCTGGATATCAAGGCGATCTATCCCCAACATATGTATTTCCCCCAGACACGAGGGCACCACAGTAAAAGGTTGCCTACTAACTGTCTCTATCCCCATATCCATTTTGAGCAATGTCATTTCCATTAGGGCAGAAAACATATTGCATTATGTTAGAATTTCATTGGCCGTGTATGGCTAAGCCCAAGGACCCAACCTGCCATCTCCCTTGTAGCTTGATGTAATGTGTGTGTGTTTTAGCACAGATAGCTGTGCCAGAGATCAATATGTCACTGTCAAAGTGTGTGCGTGTTTGCCTACTTAGGGACACTTTGTTTGATACAGACTCACTATAGTCTTTTTTTTTGTCATTTTCAGCATTATCATGGAAGCAATGTTGCGACAGATCTTCCTGTGTGTTTAACATTTAAACTGAGCACCAGCTCATTGCTAAAAAAAGAAATGAACATAACGTTTAGATATAGTTTAGAAAGGTTTGCCACTATTGGGTAATGATCATCCAAGCTGCAAAATAAAGTCATCGTGATAAATGTCTGAGACGCTGCAGCACTAACTTGGCATGTCTTTAATTAGCTAACCTGGATAATGTTTACAAATCTAAAAATACAACCACAGAAATCACATGTAAGTTGAACTGAACAAATAAAATAGAAGTGAGAGGGTAAAAGAAAATAAGAGAATTATTACATCTATATATAAAATAATCTTTAATGCCAGCGTACAGAATATCATTCTAATTCAAATCCCCCACTTAGCTGAAGTAGTAAGCGTTTCATATCAAGCATAAACCAGAGAATTACGTACACCGAGGAACTTTGAGAGAAGCTTCAGGAAGTCGGAGGTGGCGTTGAAGGTGTCCCGCCAGTTGTAAGGGGGCATGCCGGCCGGCCGGTCCTCTAGAGGCCCGTTGTACAGGAAGTTGGCCAGCATCTCGCCCGTCCATCCCGTGCCGTCGAGGCGCTGGTTGAGGGCAGCAGCAAACAGCGGATTTGCCAGCAAAGTCTGATTTCAAAAAGCACAGAGACGGGTTTCATTAGTTTCCCTGGTTACCGGTGAGAGGTTTAGAATGAATGCTATGGAATCTGAGGACCAAAACGCAGCTAATTAGTTCAGCGCAGAAAGCACGGGAGGTGGGAGCTGTGCTTTGGTGGCAGTGGTATTGGTTCTTCTGGAGCATTAATCAGAAGCATCCAGAGAGATGGACCTGTTACACTTCACGCTCTGGAATACAACTATTCGCATGGCTAGGAAGTGCTCGTGCATTCCGCACGACATAAATGCAGTACATACGCAGTGCAAATGTGTATTAAACAGCAGGGAGTGGATATGAACACAAATTGAGACAGAACACAAATTCAAAAAAGTGCTAAACAGAAAGCTCCTTACACGGTAGTTCTCGCATGATTAGATATTTTTACTCCCGCGTGTTTGTTTTAATCGGTTGCCCTCTATTTAGTATCCAACAACCATTTATTCCCATCACTCCCACCGCGTATGTTCACAGTTCAAGCCTTCCGAGAGATAAATGCCCAATTAGTTCTATGACACTTTTGCTTTAATGACAGTGATACTATACAAAACCAAAATTAAACACAACAGTGGTAATTTACCTGCCATGTACACAGGGGAACACCGAAAAGGAACCTCACCCGCGGAGACAACAGGTTACTTAAAATTACACACAGCCATTAACTATTCCGGGGGCGAAACAAAAGGAAATCCCTTCTCCCTCGAGAAACAAAGGTTCTAGTCGTTGATTGCGTATGGCTCACAGCACCATGTGGACTCTGACTTTTGGGGAGGAAAGGGCGCAGGCTGTCAGCAGAGAATTAGGCCTCTAAAGTGTGAAATTTCTGAGTTTAGATTCAGATATATTCCGGCCAGTGTGCTCAATGGCATTTCAGTGTCAACACCTCTGATGATATTCTGCTTAACCTTAAGACAAAGTGTCAAATTAAGTAATCTCAATGCTGCATGTGACCTTTAAAAAAAAGAAAAGATACTCAACACGTCCGGCTCAGAGGGTGAAACTTTAAGGACACGTCCCATTAAATATAGAAGCGGCAGAATCCCTTTGGCCTATTGATTGCGACTGTTAGACAGGCTCCGGATTTTGACATCTTCATCGGCTCCATTTGGCACAAATTTCTGGGGCGTTTGGGTCAGTGAGCTTCAGATATGCAATTTAACCTTGTTGGTCATGTGTCAAATGTTTATGAGGAAGTGACATGTGTTTGCTTGCCTTAAGAAATAGTCCGATCTCTGTAGAAATTGTCAAAATAGCTGACAGGTTACACGATTGAGCATGTGTCAATACTTTTGCACTACCAGTTCACGGTAAATCAGACCCACGTAAGTTTATACATGAACCAAATCATCTCTGTCATCATCATTAACAGCCTGGTTGTCTACTGTTGGCTTTCTTCACACTGCGTCGGAGCTGTATTGAGTCACTGCTACCAAAGAACAGAATCTCAGCTGCTGCCTCACATCACAAGTATTAAAGCAAGCTATTTGTCACTGCGATTAGTCAAACAGCAATCACCAAAAACACCCTTTGAATATTATAGGACAAGAAGGAGCCGCCGCAGTGAGCTGTCGGACACAGAGTCGTCTTCGTAAACTTCTCAGAAAAGTAACACACTTTACTGTCTCATGCTGTTGTGTGGAAAACAACTTAGGTCCTGAGCAGCATGGAATCATATTTCAGTTGCTCATGGCGAAATGGAAAAAAGGCAGATTATTGACATCTTAATTAAAACAAAGTCAGTCTGTTTGGCTGCACTGTAACTCGGAGACCTACAGTGATAAACTGCGCTCGCTGTTACCATAGTAACCACAGGCGCCAGCAAATCAACAAGGAGTGAAATCTTAAGGATTCCAGCTTTGACCTGTAAACACAATGCAATGTCACATCTAGTTATGTCAAACATGTTCCCAGACAATTATACTTTGTACGTGGTCTCTATACTGTTTGTCCTACACCCTGGTTCTTCCATCTCATACTTGCTGGAGGTGTATGGGGGTGGGATGGCAATTGTTCCATCAAACGTGAGGTGCGTCTGCGACCTTGACGGACCTCTGTGGATGACAGCAGCCAACAGCTTCCCATGTGCGGGGAGAGAGAGAGAGAGAGAGAGAGAGAAAGGGGGCCAGGAGAAAATGAAGACAAAGGAGGATTGCCGGCCCATTTGTGTAAAGGTTAGGGCTAGGGTAATGAATACCGTGGCTATATGGAGCTCCCGATGTCTGCTTCCCTCCAGCTGCCTATAAGCTCATTTGGAGTGACACTGGAGTAATGTCAGTGTCAAAGAAATACGGAGAGAGGAGGAGAGAGAAGAGGAGGCGAAGAGTCCATGTCCTTTTACTTCTATAGATAATCCTTTCCGCCAGGATGAAAATGATCCTGCACTTATCCATAATTAGCTTCCTCCTTCGGTTTTCCTTCCTAACAGAAGGTGCAACAAATTGGTATAAACATCAGTTATACCCCCACCTGCAGTATATATAAGTCTCATCACGTCTTTGTGATTTTTACCTGAAAATGTTGTTTTTTAAAGAGGCTGGTGGATTTTCTCCACTTACATATTTCATTTTTTTTTTAAATTCTGCTTTTATAGTCGCTGCATCCTCAGCTGAACACGGCTCAGGATGTCTGTGATCAGTTAGAGACACACATTGACAACAGCAGCAGACAGACAATTGATTTTACACGCATGAGTACAACTCACTTGTGACTCTGCTGCAGTTAATCAGTGAGCTTTAGAAGTGCTGGTTGGTTACCAGCTGGTTGTGTCTTGTGGTAAGCTAATGCTCTCCTCGCTGTAGATTCATTGAGGTGTCAATGTTACTCTGGGCAAAAACAAGCGTACTTTTCAAAAAGTCGCATTAATCCTCTAAGTTTGTACCGTTCAGGTTAAAAGGTGAAACTGCATCGTGACAAAGCTATTGTCCAGCTGAAGCCCAATTTACTGCAAGTGTAATTTGACTGATTTAACTTTTGGGATATTCTCTTAAAACTGTCACCTGTAGAGATCCTAGAAACAAAACATTTTGAACTAAAAAAAAAAACGTGTTTCAGGTCATACTAAATGCGACCTTACCCGTAATGCGTTGACTTGCCGGCCATTTTGCAGGGTGTCCCAGACGCGTGGCCCGAGTTCCTCCCACAAATCAGCCAGCTCCTTTAGCATAGCCAGGGCATTGAATGTGCTATTTGCCTAAAAGAAAAAAAAGAAAATTTACATACACACACACACACACACACACACGTTTTATAATAGATCCATGTTCGCAACAATAGCGATGCCGACTTTGTCTGACTGGGAGCGTACCCGCTGAGCGTCTCCTAGTCGCTGTGAGCCAATCCAAACATGAAAGTACATCTACATGTTTCAGCCAACCCCGAGAGGAACTCATCATATTGTTACACCGCCACCCCCCACGGTGAAGAAATGTAAATAGGGTTATTTACCCCTGAACATTGACTTGTAAACAATCCGCCTGTATCTTGTGTGAAAAGGGCCCCCTGCGCCAGCACCGGACCACTTGCTGTGAAGTCGGCGGATTTTCCTTGTGCTCATTATGTATTCTCAATAAAAAATCCTCACGGCTTGCCTGCTGTTTGTTTTGCTCATGCGGTTATCGAAATGACACTAATATGTTGGAGAAATGTCACGTCCCGAAAATGCATTACATCCACCGCGTTCTATGAACAGGCCTCCTGACAAACTATCGTGATATATTTATTTTTCATCCCCAGGTGGTAACTTTGTGTGACTGCCAGTGTTTTTCATTTCACTACTGGAGGCTCCTTCAAAGTTTTTACGCACACTCAAAAATGGACTCGGCCCTGTACATGGAAGATAAGCAACTGCACAGAGAAAAATACTGTTTCACCTTCACAAAATACTGATACGAGCAACGAATTCATCTACTTTGCTATGAAAAGTTTCATTGTTCTTACCTCCTTCACCACGAGGCGAACAGCAGGTGTATCAGGTGTGTAGAGGACCTTCCCCTGCAATAACTGCTTGAAGGTGCTCCAAATGTAGCGCAGACCAGGTGTTCCCTCCAGGGTTTCGACAAGATTCTGACAAAAAGCATCTACAGCAGAGAAGAACAGAGGACATAAGACTGCGAGACACGACCTAACCCCCCCTCCCTCCCCTTCACCTCTGTCAGAGTGCTGTTTGCAAACTGTTTGCGTGTTCTCAGAACAGGACGGATGAGAAGAAACGAGCGGTCTGATGCGGAAGAAGTCATAACATTCGCAGCACCCAGTGCTGGTAAAATGCCAAATGACATGAATGCAAAGAGTGGAAGGTACACAGCTGGTTCACACCAGATATATAGTAGTGATCCAATCACGGCACTTCAGAGCAGACAGCCCACAGAGACTTTTGTACCTCCAGATAGATCCATTTTTTAGTATTAGTAGCAACCCTGCTAGTGTAGCTGGGAAAATAAATCTATACAGCATAGTATTGCAATATTTTGCATGGCAATCTTGTATCGATACACGGAGGCCAAGTATCGATCTTTTATATTTCATTATATATAAAAAAAATAAATGCCTTTTACATTCACTAAGAGGTGCTGTGTGGTTTTCTGATGAGGTCAGCCGAGGTCAAAGGTCAGCGTGATTGGTAAGGAGTCAGTCATTTTAGAAATGCGCTGTACGCATTTATATCAAACGCCTGGACCTATTCTGGATTTTATAACAAGGAAAGGAAGATAGGTGCCATTTGACAATAGGAAACTCTGGAATACTACAAACATGAGAAATAACGTTAACCAAGAAATTGCAATAAATCAAAAATATTCAGGAGATTTTGTAGAATCTGGGGCTCTGGGTTCACTGAAACGTTCTCAGTGACGGCATTTATACATCCAATCAACACATACAAAAAGAAAAATCAACAGTTACCCAATCAACAACATTTCGTCATGTCAACTGCAGTCACCGGGATCCAATCATATCTGTTAAAACACACCTTACTCCTTGCATACATTTGCAAGATTCTTCCAGAGAATGTTCCCCCCTGCGTTTATATATTGAAAAGCTCTGCTACTCAATTACAACTTCAGCAAATGTATTTACAGAAAGTTTAGGCAGACTATTTAAAACACACACACACACACACACACACACACACAGGGAGGGAACACAAGCAGAGAGTTAAGACCCAAGTACATCAGAAAAGGCTTCTATGGAGAGGAGTGAAAACGTCGATATGTTCAGCGGCAGCGCGATCATTACTCATTTAACGTGAACATTGCGCGTTTGTGAGAGCGTCGAATAGGTTACACGAGGACCTGCGCTGCATGTGCCCTAGCTGGGAGTAGCTCGTGCCCGTATCGTCCTTGCCCCTGGGCTGTGATTCTCACAGTGCTGTAGCTCATCAGACATCTGATCAATCAGTGCGTGTCGCCTGCCAGTCAATATGACCGTCTGTCTGCTTTTCTTTTGATCTGTTGCTAACTGTCCCTTTCTTTCAGACACTTGTCATCACATCAGTGCTTTTCCCTGTCTCTTTTCACGCCCCCCTCCCCCTGCCAAGACTGTAACCTCAAACCCTCGACTTCTTCTCATCTCACCAGTGTGACCCATTTCCGCCATCAGAGAGATTTTAGCGGCCATTTCTGGTGCAATTAAATGCTATCCTGTCTGTCTCCTGGCCATCTCTACCTGGTGCTCCCGGGAGGTCTGTGCGCGGGCAGCTAATGGCCACCCCTTAGACAGAGTAGGACCAGCTGTTCCCTCTACAGGCTGCACAGATGCTACTTCTCACAATCATAACACTTGGGAGGAAAAATGGGTTTGACACAGCTCTCTCTTGATAGGCGTCTCGTGTCAGTCCAAATTGTGGGACTGTCACTGTTTCAGGAAAGAGTAGACTTTAATGCATGTTAATAACACTAACACAAAAGGGGCAGTCCTGATGGACTGATGCTGAACAAAGGAGACCAATCATTGCAAAGCAGTGGTTGCTACTCTGGATGGGGATGCAATAAGCATGTAACTATTCATGTTACAAAATGATGCTTCCCTGAAGTTATTGCTTTTTTGCTCGTGAAAAACAAGATGCATCTACATCTTTAAGCCTTTAAACATCCTGTTGAATTGCTGTTCCACTGATTGACTGTTGGTGGTGGACTCAGGCAGAGAGGGGAAGCGATTAAAGCTACTAAGGCATCGACGGAGAAGGGAGCAGGCCAGGAAACCTAAATGTGAATGAAGCAGGATTCATATGGAAACTGTTCTGCAGGACCTCAACGCAATGTGTAAGAAATGCTCAATGCCAATTTCACTGGATGTTTACAGGGTAAACAATGCTTCATGTGTGCTAGAAATAATAGGAAAAGCTACTAACAAGTGGAGAAATCCATGTTACAGTAATGGGGCATCAGGCAGGAAAATGTGCTTTTAATTAATATTTGAATGTGTGGTTTCCTGCAACATGGAGTCTTCGATCATAACCATTAAAGCTGGTCTCAGTTTATGTTGCACTCTATATATTATAGTGTTGGAACAGAATTGTGTGATGCTGTGGTGTGTGGGACTCATTTTAAAGTTATACCTGGTGCAATTTGAGAACAATATTAGGAGGCAAAAATTGAAAATAACTTTGCCGTGTACAGCATAAAGTCCAGTTAAAAATGTAATCCTAAACACATTAGGTGAATAGATATGGAAGGTCAAAACATTGCAAAAAAAAGCTGCACCCATAAAGCAGACAGACTTGCTATGGGAGACTGGAGCCCCTCGGCCCCCCGACGGGAGCACAGCTGGCTTCATGAAGACACGAGTTGTGCCGGGATCGGGGTCTTCATGGCTTGAAGCCGGGAACAGCACACTGCCACAGAGGAAATGGCGCCACTCAGCCCCGGATAGCTTGCAGTCGGAAAACGCTGGGGATTTTTTCTCCCACGTTTCAAACAGCCAGATATACTCGGAATCCAAACCAGGTAAAACATTTGAACCTTTCCCAAATTTTGCGGCCAATGTACCAATGACAAAAATAAAAGTAAACTATATTCCACCCAAAAACAACAACAACTCTAAAGCTGAATATGGTAAAATACTGCAATCACTTCAGTTGTTCTTTCATCATCATGTCTAAAACAACGTCCTGGGCGTTATTGTTCAACAAGGACACATACATCTTAGTCCCTAGTCTGCGGCGCACAAGTCTGTTCAATTTCCTCACATTTTTTAGCACATCTACTTCAATATGCATGTCTGCAACACACCTCTTCTGTGTATACAGTCTACTTCTTTGTTCTATAAATACCTTATGAGATTATGAGAAGAGAAAACAATGCAAATGGACCTGGACAACAGACTCTGACCGCGACACAAAAGCTAAAGCATTATAGACAATGCTGGAGCATGAATGTAGATACCGGTGACAAAGCTCTACTCTCAAACATTCGTATCTTGGGAAAGATGTATCACTTTTTGAAAATGTGTGTGCCAAAGGGACTGCCACATTACAGGCGTTAGCCGGAGCTGTGGGGTTCTTTTGACAACACTTCTTTGCTTTCTTTCTCTTTTTCCTCATCTTTTAAACACAAGTAGGAACAGAACAAGAGGCTGGGTTCTTTACGCCGGGTCTTGCCACAGTCTAATAATTGCTTGGAGCCTCAAGTCGGCCCCTCAACTTACCTGGCAAATTTAATCAATTTGAGTCGCCCCCTGGAGAAGGGCTCTGTTGGCCGCACACACACGCTTTGTCTCACGTGCGCACTCGTGAGAGCACGGGGACCTGCCGGCGCACACAAACGCACACAAAGTGTGTGTCAGAGGCACACAGACCGGCAGACTCACGCGCCAAATGTGACACGTCAGTCCAGAGCGATATACTTGCTTGCTTTAATCGAGGAGCACTTATTTCTTACAAGCGGTACAAATCAACTACTATCTTACAGCCTTCCGACAGAAAGTCAAATAAGCCTGAATAAATGTCATCCAAGTTCCTTTCTCACACGAGACAGAAGCCACATTGACATTCATTCGTACGCAAGTCAAGAATTCCGCCTTCACCGGCTCCAGCGTATTCAAAGGGGCGCACTTAGAACGGGAAATAAAAGGGTTCCACTTACTAGTCATTCAAAGTGACACCGATGGGAAATGCTTGGAGGATGACAGCACGAGTCTCAAGATAATTAGGGAACGTTATGAACAGTGGGGGATGGGGGGGGGGGGGGGGGGGGGGGGGGGTGACAATAGGACGATTGTGACAATCAAAAGTGCAAAATAAAAGACTATTTTGACAGATCAGCAAGGAGATTTCACTTGAAAGGCTGATGTTTGGTGCGGGTACAACTCACAACTTAAAGTTCCACTTTGGAAACAGTGCCAGACCAGAAGACAACCCAGGTTTTACAGGGATTTCCATAAAGCCGTATTTCTCTGTATGTTACCAAATAATGTTCAGCCAGGAAAGCAACCACTAAAAATATAAGTGTAGAGTCTCTGACCACGTTAACAAGTAATCTTTCACTAATTTCTACGACAATTCCAATGTGTACCATTGCAGAGCCATGTAACAGCATCTTATTTGTTATCTGTTCAGCAAATTGCAAAATTGTAATAAGTTGTTGGAGAGCAACAACAGAGTATAATGACTCGGACGTTTTCCTTTGCCGTCAACAATTAATTGGGAAGGGAACAGTGCGCTGAGGCATTAACAAAACCTCTGTGTTGGCCTTCTCTGTTGCTACTCTGCTATTCCTTTGAGTGTACTTTTACATGTATAAAATAGTTGTAATTGGCTATTATGCCGACGCGCTGCATATTCCAGATTAATTTAACCGTACATAGACCAACAGAAAGAAGCCGCAGAGCAAGTCCCAAACAGCCATTAGCATGCTAACAGAGATGTTAGTGCTTATTTTGTATGGACGATACTGTGTTTTGCCTAATTTACACTGGCACAAGCATGCAATTCCACTTTGCAGTGTAACTTTATTCCCAGGAAATTAGGGTTCTTATTAAAATCAAATTCCTTGCGGTTTTCTCCACAGAAGAGGCATTTAATGAAACAGAAATGCTTCGTCTCTAATGAGCATGTGACTCTAGAAAGTTACGCTGAAGACCTAATTTTTTTGGGAACAAACACTGTGATGATCTTCAAGGCCGTCTCCACCAACACGGAAAGCGATTGTGCTACTTACTTACTCGTCTCAATTTTTATGTGTGTGACAAACCTGTACCGCACCAGTAGGAGAGTATTTCATTTTTAAATATATGTAAAATATTTTGATTAAAAACTGTATCCATGACAATACATATATGTATTTAGAAGTATGTTTAATTATTTTTACACTATACATAATTGTATTTGTTACTGAAGAATTTTTACATTAGATGAATAACAATACAAAATATTAACGCACTTGTAACAAAAAGAACATTTTGAAAAAGGTCTGTTGTTAAAGTCCTTTTACTAACCCCTAGCCTTATTCTACTAACCCATTGCATTAGCATTGCATTTCATTTTATTTTATTTTACTACTTGTGCACTGCTGTCTTGTTGTCTATTGTCTGTTTTGTGTCTACTGTCACGCACCAACCGCCAAGACAAATCCCTTGTATGTTTGATATATTTTGGCGATAAATGTTTCCTGATTCCTGATTCTTGATTAATCAATACATTTTTAAGTCTTAAAATGTCCAATCATGAATCAAAATCAGGCAGGTCTTGTTTTAAATTTCCAGTAGTGTGATAATCCTATGGGCTCTTCAAGTCCCAAAGATGAAAAAACCTGTTACCATTGGTTTACACTGCAGGCAACATAGCTGTAGTATGTTACAGATTGTAATTGTCCGTGTAAAATGTGGCTTTTCACTTTCATATCGAGTCCTGTACAAATGTGTGGATCAGGAAAACACTTTGATGCAGTAATGCCGTCAAAGTGTGTTCTGGGTTAGATCAAAGTGTGATTCACATCAGTACTTGACTTTATCTGCCATCCACAAATGCTGGTGGAGTATATCTTCCCTCTTTCATTAATTGATTCCTTGCAGGCATGAGCGCGTTTGTTCACAAGCATACTGAAAGTGGGTGGCGCGGCCTGCACTTTCAAAGCAGTGTGAACGTACCAAAGAGTCTTCAAAATGTAGCTACCTGATACACACCATTCATTAAAAGTGCTGTTGCAAAAGGCACACAACTGTGGCTGTTAAAGCTACGGAGAGCACTCATGTTGTACCATGTTACCGTGTTTATACACTGCCACAATCACAAGAATAGTGATACAACAGACAACAACATCGTGGACATCAATGCACTTGCCCTCATTATACCACAAGGACCACAAAGGTGACCACATAAATGACACTAGAAATAAACAGTCCATCTATATAGGAAAAACAACATACAATGTTTGTACACCTGATAACCATATGCCAGCCATGGTTGTGTAAACCACTCTTGCTGACAAGTGCAAAATACCAGTTTTAAACTTAAAGTGTTTTAGTGACACCATCTGTCCTCCACACAAAGTTTGTGTCGCCATGTGTTCTTATTTAGGATGTCATATATTCTCGCCTTGGGACTGCTGCACTACGCAGACAACAACATCAATTTCCACTTGGGATTCGTTGCTGGGGACTTCTCTCTCCATTTAGAAAACATCACTGTGTCAAAGCGGGGAGTGAGTGCACAGCTTTTAGATGGAAGGAGGAGCTGATTTGATCGGCTACGATTGATGCCGGCCCCCGACGCGCCCGCGAGTAACCTAGTCCCCATAAAACACAGGTACCTTTTGTGCCGTGCACCCACTATTCATGGAAATAGGAACCATTGTTGTAACATGGACCACTCTGGTTTGCACTGAATATGTCTGTGCAGAGTACAGAGGAACCTCCAACACTGCCTGAGAACTTTGATTTGATTATTCATGATTCACTCAATCCTCTGCCACCTACCAATTAGGCATAACTCCCACTCTACCCAACCTAGTTATGCTTTTTCGCCTGTGGTTGGCAAATCACCAAAGGACTGCAGATACATCATTGGTTTTTAATGTAAAAATGTTTTCCATTTGCTGGCTACAATAACTGTACACAGCACTTTGCAGCCAAAATGTAGATTGACGATAAAGGCAATGTGATGACTTTGCTTTGTAAAGGAGTTTACTGCAGCACTTACCGGAACTGTTGCTGGTAATGGAGACAGACGTCTTGTTATCCATCTGTCTAGGTGAGCTTAAGCTGATGTCAGGCGGCTTTCCACAAAGCAGCATACTGATACTGCCAATCATGTCCTTTTGGAAATCCAAAGAACTAGCAGCCTCGAAGACCATGGAGTTCTGCAACCTGGTCATCTGAAAAAAAAGGTCCGTAATCTCTATGAATTCTTCAAATGCAGAGAAATAGCCATGTGATCATAGAGTAAAAGCATGTATTTCAGTGCGTGTACGTGACCGAGTAGCAACACTAACCTCCTCAATCACTGGTAATGCATCTTGAGTGGTTTTCCCAATCAGTGTGACTGTTACATTCAGATCCAAAGCTGAAGATACCTTAAGGAGGGAAAAGCAGATGTTTTATAGAACAATACTGTAGCTACCACATGAAAAGCAAAAAAACGTGACAGTGATGAAATCCAATGAAATCAATTAAACTTGCCGTTAAAAAACAACATTGTTTCAAATTCTCTTCTTTTTAAAGCTATTTTCAAAATACTATGTTTATGTTATTGTAGTGCATAACGATTAGCTCCAGTTGAAAAATTCACAATAATTTCTGTTCATAAATGTTGTGTGTGTTCACATCTTGGCTAAAAACACCAGCTCTATTTCTGCCTTTCTGCTGAAGCTATTTTATTTTGGCAATACACACACGCATTTATGCATCTGGACCGGGAAATTGTGTCCTGACATCATCCTCCATAGCGCTGGTTAATAAAAACTACATTAAAATGAAAAGTGGCACTGTGTGTTACAGTGACATCCTGAACGTACACGGGTCCAATTACTAGAACTAAATGGCATGCCCTTTTAACCATTGTCGTTTTCATGCATCAAGTGTCAAGTAAAGCCTGCACTAGGAGGGTCTGCATTGTCTTTCAGCAAATAAAATTACAGAGATTTGAAACATTGGTCCAGAACAGACATTTTCAATCAAGAGGGTGAGCGAGGTTTAAAGAAGGGCAACACTGCTTTCGTGTTATTAAAATAAATCTTTCTCAAATAGAATCCCACTCAAGCACCACTGCACTATGGAGCCCTTCGTGAAGCACACACATAGAAGGAGAATCGTGCGGGAGTGACTCTCACTCTATTTAGAGTTCTACGACGGAAAATCACTGATCAATGGACGGATTTTGTGTGTTGTTGCATTAGGAGATGTGAAATTGAACCTAGTAGTTTTCTCAAGCTCATTTGTTGAACTTGAACTTCTAATGCACTTTGTAACAGCTCAAGACGTCAATGTTTTCTTTGCCAACCTGCTACCAGATTAGAGAAGGTAATAAAACAGAAATTAAACAGCCACAAGTGTTTTGAAGGGTAAAATGCAAAGGAGCGTGACATTTGAATGACACGAGAGCCTCATACATTCAAATGTTTTTTTTTCTTGTTTCCATCTGCATTGTGTTATGAAATGATTGCCAGTAAACCGAGTTGTGGAACCAGTGTCTAAATCCCCTTCTGCCACTCGCGAGCGACCCCGCTGATAAACCCGGACTTCTTCCCTTGTCCTATCCTTTATGTTGCAGTTGTTGCTATCACAATCACTCAGCGACGTCCAGCTTTAAGTGTGAGGGCTTGATGTTCTTTTCCGTCCATTTGCTCGCGGCACTGAAGAGCCCGTCCGCCATATCTTGTATGGGCTTTCCTTTCTCCTGCATCTGAAAATGCCTGTGGGCTTAAATTGTTCAAATGCTGTCTCCTACAAACTTTCTTCCTTATCACTTATTTATTGGATTTTCTGTCCCATATATATTTTCTCCATGAGATAAGCTCAGAGAAAAGTGCAGTCTCTTATCATCCCAAAAGGGAACTCAGAGATTTAAAAGAATTCAACAAAACATTGGTTCTAAGAAATAACTCCCAGCTGATTGTATGCATTCTAGTAAAATCCCTGGAAGACACATTTGGCGATGAGCATTTTAAATGTGTTGACCCTATGGGCCTAAAAGTGATTTATTCCATGAAATAAATGAATAAAAAAAGAAATGCATTAACATAATGGTACAGTAGCAACGTGCTGCCTGTAGGTTATCCCTTTGAATTGGATGCACAGGCAAATTTTACCTTTAAAAGCTATTTTCTTTTCTATGTAAGTCACAGAGCAAGAAAAGAATAACATTTGACTTTTAAATTGGTGACTCAATTGTCCGTCACAGAAAATCATTGCCTTTCAATTTACTGCCAGCCCTGCGACAATTCCAGTTAGAGCAGACTCAATGATATCAAAACACTTTTAAAAAAGGTATCAAGGTGTGGAGTTTAATCTTACTATTGATAGAATATCCATGCTGAAAAGGACCTTGTGCAGTGACGTGTATTCCTTATTACAAAAAACGTGACTCTAGCGTTTCATTTTTTCAAGTTCAAGGTTCAAGGCTCAAGGTTGCTGAATTTAAGCAAGAAATGGCAGAATGAAGAGCCGAGCCTCGTGGCTCAAGATGGTTAGCAGCAACCCCGACGTTAAGGGCTAAAATCAAATTGTGTCTGCAAATATGAAATAATAAGGTATTCAGCACAACATTGAGAAAACAAACAATGTTTCTCAATCACTGATAGATTTGGAAAAAGCAGTGGCTAATGTTTCCAGCTAATCAATCCAGCCTGCTAGCTTCTAATCCTACCAGTGGAACAGACTAGTAAATACCTTATATGTACATTCTCAATTCCTCAACTGCTACTGTGGGTTGAGACACACAAAAGCTTCAGATTTACAGCGCAGACAGTGCAATTCATAAGCATGTCAAATGTAGGTGACCTTACAGAGCAGGAAATACGGCTTTTCATACGTAGAGATTATGATCTGTATTACTACAGTCAGGCCAATTAATGTAAGGCTCCCGAATGCATTCACTCCCTAAGTTTGTCAAACTGAGACTAATTGTGTGCGAGTCGCTACGCAAGACTCCAAGTCTCATCAACTTCAAAAGTTGTGAGGTCCCTTCTTGGTATGGAAGACAGCTCACCTCAGAAAGCACTTTCCCCCCATCCAGGTTCCGCTGGAACACTTGCTGGGCATTAATCAGCTGCTGTGGATCGCGGGAGCAGCTGACATTTGTAAAAGCCTCCTTTTCAGCTTGGCTGCTAAATTGGATATACTCATCCAGATCCGTCCCCTCGCACAGGACGCTCCTCAGGTCGCCTGGCCTCGGGGTGCCTGTCGTCTGAAAAAAGAAATACAAAAAATCGGTGGAAGTTGACTAACAAGGGGACTTTGCATTGGAGCATATTGGGTTCATTGTGTGTACACGTTTCACAGATCAAAAGGATCAATGTCCTTGGAACCTTGTGCCAGCAGAGAGCATGCTGCATCACACTTGAAAAGCAGATAGAAATTATTGTTTTGACTTGTACTCATCCACGAGTAAAGACACAGTGAAACCAAGAAAGACAGGATACAGAGAGAAGATAGACAATGACTTTGAACTAAATAGTACATTTTGCCATCATAATGCCTTTATACTTTCTTTTAATCACTGCGCACTGTAGCTAAGCATCCTCGTCAATATGAGTGAAGCAAGATTTGCAGCTCAATTAATATCACTTGATACATATCATGGTATCAATTGGGGAACGTTTAGAGACATTTTTATTGCTGTTGCGACTTCATTTAATTCCAAATTACCTTCTCTAGCCAGCCTCAAACAACTTGTTTTAATCAAGTAAATGTTAGAGTTTGCTTTGATTATGACTTGCATAGCTGTCTCAGAAGCAGTTCTTGCCAATATTATTTTACTTTTAAAATACGCAAGAGAAACATTCTTGGCACATTTGGTCCTTTGAATATTTTGGTCAACAACAACATTTAATTTTATTTACAGGAGGAGGTAGAAAATGCTGTTTCAAAGCAGCTGGCATTTCTATTGAAGAATGTTTGTCGTTTCATCATGCGACCGGTGTGGCGAAAGGATACTCACTGGATTGAGTTTAATCTCAGCATTCATGAGGCTTTGGACCACCGTCGGTGGCAGCGACAAATTCTCTTTTAGATGTGTGGAGAAAGTTTCATCGTCTCTGAGAATACTCCTTAGGATCACCGGTTGAGCTTAAACATAGAGAAGCAAAAGTGTTACCTTGGCAGATTGATGCACAACAATACAAAATATAGTGTACAGCAGTGCAGTTGATGTACTGGTAAGCGAAAAATTGGAAGGGGAATGCGAGTGCTTCCATTTCATAAGATTTGTATTTTCATAGCCGTAAATTCTCCCTACTCGCCATCTGCACTGCAGATATTTTGCAGCCAACTCTCTTTCTGTCTCTGCCTCCCTTGCCATCCTCCTGCATTTTATTTCCACGTCACTGTTCGCAAATACGGGTGCATGTAAAAGCATGAGTGAGCGCTTGAGTTCTCTGCCGGACACCTGTGCCGACTACGGAGGAGTGTCAGCCTCGTAACAAAAGCGACATCAGCCATTCCGGTGCAACAGAAGGCTGGTTCAACATGTGCACTGGAGGGTGTTTTCCATCGTTGAAAGGAAAAGGTTCAAACTAGCCCACGACTACATGATCACTGCATTGCAGTTGCCGAGAACATAGTATTGTAATGACATGAACAATGTCCCTACAAGACCTCTATGAAAAAGTTCTTGGTAGCCTTGTGATTTGGTTTTGTTTTACAAGTTGCCAGAAGTGGCTTTAAAGTCGGATTTATACGCGTTTAAAGGACGCTTTCAAGATGACTGTTGCAATTAAACTGCTCATTGGTGCAAGTAGAGGTTGAGCACTTGAGTTGAATGAGTGGTTAAGAGGGGACAATTTGTTGCTTAACACGTACCGGAGAGTTCACCAGTCATTTTCGTCTGAATAGGTGCCCACGGAGAGGCAGGGTTTAAATTATATAGGTTAAGAAACGGACGGTCATTTGTTACGGCCCCTCACAATGGCATAACATCGCAGGGATGCCACTAAAATATCTTCACAGACAACTGAAACTGCATCTATTCAACATGTGTTTTCTTCTCTCTGGGTCTCCTGCTCGTGCTGTCGAGATAACGAAGGAGGTTACGCAATTTAATTAAATTAGCCCTTTTGCAAGTGTAATGCATTCAGCTTAGTCGATTGTCAAGGTGAGGGGAGGAAGTGACTTATGCAGGGTTATTCAAGGTTCAATTAGGATAAACGTCTTATAAAAATAACAATCATTCTGATTTGTTTTGAGTTAATTATGCTGTTTGATGCAACCAGCTGAATGGATATTATTATGCCCCTCATGCCTGCCGGAGCATCAGGGCGGTCCGGTGGGCCGGGTTAGATCATGGGGAAGAAAAACATGCTCTGAGCTCCTCCTGAACACGCATTGCCGTTCTGATTTAAATGACCACCTGAGTCTTTTAATCAACCCAGGGAAAAAAAAAAAAAAAGGACAACACAATCCCCTTTGCCATCCCAGTCTTTTGATAGTACTCCATTCCCCATTCTTGTCCATGACCTTTTGTGCTCTTGCCTCCCGACAGTGAATCCCATTAATTATGCCCAGGCTTAGATCTGTGATGGATTTAATCTCGTATATTACAAGCCAGCGACCCCAACCAAAATGCAAATGGCCCTCAAGCCGCTTGCTGAACAGCGGCCTCGCCCCCCCCCCACACCCCCTTGTCTCTTTGCAAATTAGGTGCTGTATGAAAATCTGAATATCATCAGGGTAAATGAGCCTAATGCAAAGCAGCAACTTATCAAGACAAACGATCTGTCAGTCTGCACAGCAAATTGCATCATAAATAATCATGCGCTATTGTTTTTGAGGGATAAAGGGGAATAACAAATCCTCCAACTTGTCATCGACATGAAGGGGATACTTTCCTTGATGGAGAGTACTTAACAAAGACGTAGCGGAGTGATTGTTGCTGAGACGTGATTTTTGCACTTTGTACGCGCACATCGAAACACACCAATGTCTATGTTGACCTTGTTGCTTTCACGATTACTTTGACGGTTGTGTTTGAACCTTAAAACTAGGTCCTTTCATGAATTGTGCCATTGTTTTAAGGTCCGTGGATCCAGGGAATTATCTTTTACCAGGGTTTGCCTTTGCCAGGACTGAATCCCACTGGTCGAGGTCCTCTGCCAGCAACTGCGCCTTGCTGAGAATGGATCCGTTCGCTAGGAGGCTTTGCAGCTCTATCAACATCCTTGAAACTCTTGTTAAGCAGAAAGACAAAAAAAAAATATCACAAACTGCAAATGCCACGTCTTCGATCAAATCGGAAATCATTGACGAGACATTAATCTCCATCCTAATGTGCGCCATGTTGGGAGACGAGAAGATTACAGGGCACATCGCAGTACGTACATGGAGTCGTTGAAGTTGTTGACTTGGCCCGGCGTCTCCCCCGGCGTCGGCTCGTTCAAACAGGGATTGTTGATGTTGCACACCATACCTTGAAGCCAGGGAAGCACGCCAGCCGACGGCATGGCTTTATTCGGGAAGTGGCCTACAGGAATATAGGTGAATACTTTCAGGATTCCTCAAGTCAGATGCCTTGTTAACAAATGTTTTGATGTATGGATTCAGTGATGTCACAACTGAGTTGTTACGGGAATACACGTTAAGATCTGAGGGCTAGTTCTGAAGCTTTGTGTGACCTGTGAAATACATTTCACCATTGCATCTAGGCGTGGTCTTACATTGGCCTTTAAAAATAGGGTTGTTGGTGGACCGCACCCACACCAGGATGATGAAGAGGAACAGAGGCCACACCACTTCAACGACCAGCCGCACCTGCACAAAGGAGAAAGTGGTCTCATTTTCATAACCTTCATGGGATATATCACTAGAACATGTTTTGGCTTAAAGCATTTGCATTGTATTTTCGTAAGTGAAGCTTGACAACACACATAAACTCAAAGCAAATATAAAAGCTCAGGCGACAAGACAAACGGAAAATGTCGAGTCACAGCCGTTGAGGCATTGTTAATGATCGACTAAGATGATCTCACCAGCTTGTGTCTATGTATGTGTGTCTACAATGTAGCTACCCAAGCCATAGTCCACATGTTATGCTGTTGTTCTTGCTTTTACTCCGAGCACTTACGGGATTTAGGGAGAAACCTCGACGTGTGACTCCACAAGTCAAAGCTATCACACACACTCCCTGCCGTCTCCTCCACACATTTAATCCTCTTCTGGATGAAGAACACCAACCACGTCCTTGCTTTAATAAAAACCATTCAATACCTGCCAGCAAATAGAGGCCCATGTGACAAGCCAGGCATTTTATTCCAACCTCGGGGGATGGGTAAAGAGAGAAATTGATGACCTCGAGGCTTTACTCCTTCACGGAGTTGTTTCTCATTTTTTCTCTGCTCAGTTGGCCTTAAGGCGCCTTCTAAAGGCAAAGTACGAGGACCTTAGAGTTATGAGGTATACACACGCGCACACACTCAAGTCAATGCTTCCTCATTTACCACACCTACATGATTATCTTTACTATTGTTTTTACTGTGGAAACTCTGAAGTAGTGGAGTTCCTTTTTACATAAGTCACGGTAATGTGCACCTTTGAAAGAAGAGGGGCCAGGTGACAAGGGTTCATAATTCAGCAAGAAGCAATTTCAGACAGCGGACAACTTCCAGTGAGAGATTACAACGCTGCGGCTCATCCTTCCTTCCTTGTCTTCAACCAGACGCCGTCTGCCACTGCGGCTTTTCTACGCATCCGCAGACACACCATCGCTCCACGTCCCCTTTCATTTCACTGAGCCTCCTCCCGCCACCCAGAGCTGACCCGGTCTGCCTGCACGCTCATTCTTTTCAGCGTCGCTGGCGGAGCGACTTGCTTTGAGGAATCAACTAGAAAGCTCCAGTTATCCCACAGCCTCGCTATGGTAACGGATATCGTATATGATGACGCACATTAGCACATAATAAGAGAAGCCATGAACGCTGCCGTTGGTGCCTAGATAATTAAACTGGAGGGCAGGCAGAGGTGAGGAAATACAAAAACACATATTGCATGTAATGTCACAGCGCCATGGCAACCTCATAAATTAAAGTGGGTTTCCTGCAGAGGAATGGGAATAAGGGATGGCGGTTGGAGACATGTATATATTGTTTAAGCAAAAGTCTATGATGTTGTCAATGAATTACAGAACAGAAACTAAAAAGATTTTTTGAATTATGCCCTTCCCTCCCGTCTGTGTGTCAAGAGAGGGTGTAGTTCTGCTGAGAGGGTAAATTATCATAATGTATTTCAAAGAACAGAAATGGTAACGGAACACAGAGATCATGGGGACTTTCTCAATGCTCCCCAGGCATTTACCATTGGACACTTGTGTCTTTGTGAGTAGATAATCTCCTCCTATGAAATTATGTGAAATAGTGGACCATAAAATCAGTTTCATGCCTGTTATAAAATCTTAAAATGCTTGGTGAAGCATTCATATAATTGGTCATTAACCTCCACAAGCCCTCCAGAAGCACCATTGTCCTTGCTAACTCCCTCTGGTTTTGTGTAATGCCAATATTTCACGTTGACATTGGCCAAATATCCTACATTCCATGCACAAAACCACTAGTGTCCCCTTCCATGTTCGAGGGGGAACGCAGCTGCTCATTTCTCCATTATATAAAAAGGAAAGTTCTTTCTGCCGGTTGACAAAATTGACGAGGGGAATGTTTCACAAAATCAAAGTTGTAAAATTGCAAATGACTTTGCCTTGAGTTATTTCCAAGAAAGTATAAACTTTGATGAAAGCAAATCTTTTTGTCACAATGTCCTTTGTTCTACTTTGGCAACAGGCACAGTGCTGTGCTAGAACCCCTTCCAAAACAGGTGGGTGGATGTAACTCCCATCATCACTGCAACAACGCAAATCAAAGGGTAACAAAGAGTTACATCAGCCCCATGACACGTAAGACGAAAAAAGACAATGACAACTTGTTTTGACCTTGACATGCAGTTGCGACACATTGTGCAACTGTTATCTTCCCCCGGCATGTGACCATTGTGGAGGACATCAGAGGCAATGAAATCCACCACATATCACTGGGTCATCGTGTGTAGGCCAGTGCTTGTTATGTGATCAGGAAGTAATGACTTCGGCTACGGGAACCAGCCGGGGCAAAGGGACGATGCCTCATAGGATTAAGCATCGGCAGCAGTCGCGGTAAGGCCGCTAAATATTCGGGATCTGTGTAAAAGTAGTCATGACAAAAGCCCTAGTTCAGAACAAAATATCGACACGCGTATTAATCGCACAAACAATTTGGATAACAACGCTGAGGACGGGCCTTGGCAGTGAGTTTTTTGAATAGAGCCAGAAGGAGCGTTTGCCCTTCAACTGAAGCCTCCAACAATTGCCACTCCGTGTCCCATTTCTTTTGACCAAAGAGTGGCTCCGTTAGGACTAAAACACAAGCGACGTGACATAACGTGCACAAGAGACACATCTCCCAAAATTGAAAGTGGCACTCCGAATTGGTTGGCATTACGGTAAGATTGTTCTTTTTCTCTAGTGGGAGAGCTAAAAGGCGGCTTACTTCTATAGGAGACCATTTTCGTAGTAAATCCCTCCTATTACTTCTCCTCTCATGAATAACTTAGTTGCCCTTGATAACACAATTCTGGGACCGTATACTCACTTTCCCTCCGTTGCTGACCAATCTTAGCAGATATACGTGGATTTGCAAAGGGGGGGTTGGTGTGCGAAAGCGTACCTTTTGTCTCTTCCGCAGAGTGAAGTTCTTCCACAGGAGCAGCGTGAACTGCGTCAGGAGACCCATTACGGCTTATCCTGGCAATATCCTGCCAAAGCGTCGCTATGGAAACTGGCCCACTTAATAAACCCTGCAGGGAATAAAAGGCAGAGTTTGGTTTTAGTACAGAGGAGCAATGCATCTTCGGGGAGTGCCACTAATCATCCACTTCCCCGGGCCATGGGGCTTACGGTTCAGCACCTGTTCTAAGAATTATTATCACCTAAACTCAGAATATCTCAGGACGGGGCCATGGCTCACCTGGAGGTTGCGCAGTTCCAAGGATCAAGGAGTATTTCATTTTAAAACCGTATGTTTGTTTTTCTTAATATATACTGTACATACAAAATATTAGGCAGAACCTAAAACCGCTGTTCATCTGAAAAGGTGGGTAAGGCTTTGAAAACTGTGCTCCTTAACGACTACAAATTCTCAGAAAGTATTTTTTTTGTGAACATATCAAACGAAAAGAAACAACTTCATGAGCAACTGCCAAAGATTCCCGTAAAACTTTTATCACAGGTTTTATTACACACTGAACAATGATTACAGAGACAATAAACAAATGGATCTACTGTGGCATTTTTACACCGTTACATCAAGTTTGACCTTTATAAAAGAAACTCTACTGGTGACAATGTCTCTTTTGACTGCAGCTCAGTCATTAGTCTGCCAAAAAGGTCCCAGGCATTATTACAGGAATGTTACGTGTCTTTAAATATACCTATACAAAAGGCAGTTTTAACAGTTCAAAATGTGTTGCAGTAAAGTATCATCCTCTGTAAATCAACGTTTGGGTTGTTCGCATCATGCGAGTATATTTTAGGTTAAATCCATGCAAAACTTCCATTTTGAAACTAGTTCTATGGGCAGTAGTAGTTTTGTATCATATAACTTTGTGTGATTGGTACGAAAGGCCAGGTCTTGAAAAATAGTTTTCACCTCAATGGAACGGTGGAATGGAATGGAATCGAGGTTGTCTCAGAGAATGTTTACAAGTTAAACTACAAGCAAATGCGAGCACGGCTTGAAACACTGAGAAGCCTTTAATAATAATACATGTTTAATTGTATTTACTAGGTCAAAGTATGTTACCTGGCTGTGTTAAAAGCACTTCAACGGATGCTCTGTGGAGACTTGAGTACGTGTGCAGGGGGAGGGGGGTGGAGGGGGTCAGTTAGGGATGGGCTTTTTTGCCGCAGGGTGGTCCTGACAAAGTGCCACCTTTTAACGCTCCATTTCCTCTTTCTGTACAGCTTCCATCTTCCCTCTGTGTGTTTACATTATTTACTGCTACTTCAGGGATGTTTTATTTACCGTCATGGGAAAGTTGAGGATCCCTCACTTTCAAATGTTACACTCATGTAGGTTTAATAATCTAATGTAGAATATTGGTGAGGGGTAACACATTTGTAAGGCTGTGCTGAATCAGGCTGTCAAACCTGTCAATCAGCTGTGAGACTACATTCGCCAGGGATTCTTTAGGTTTAATTTACGTCAATTCCTAGCTTTTCTTAGGAGGACTTACTACTCACTATTTGGTTTCACCTTCATTTTATCTTTGGAATAAGAAAACTGGCCTGGGTCTTCACAAAGAGGCCATATGCGCAGGAACTCTCGACTCCATCAAATGATTGGATAATCGAGTGTGCTGCTGCATTGGTCTGCCCTGCTTTTCAAGCCTTATCTTTTGAAACGTGAAGTGCGTAAGAGGAGGACAGCCTGGTACCTCCTCCACTCTGAAATCATGTCAAGCATGAAGGGTAAACAACATTTCTAAGAATACCCTCAAACTAAACTATAGTCTAAAATATGTGCATCCAGGCTGTGTTGGTTTCCGAGGAAAGAGATGCATAAAGTAAAGGACGGGGTGTGTGATTTTGAATGTGGGTGGGGGGGGGGGGGGGGGCAGCTCAAGAGCTCCTTTTTCAATTCCACATCTAAAAGAACAGAAAAGAAGTAACAAAAGAAGATGTGATTGTGATTTGCATTGCAGACGCAGAGTTAAAGAAAAAGAAGCAAACACAGTGAACACAGTTCTCCAGAGAACAAAAAACATAGACTGTGAAGCGTGTTTCCCAGATCATGATTTTAATCTCCAACTAGGAGCAAAGGCAATAATGGAAGTCCTTTTTGGACTTGTTTTTACACAGGAGTATGGCCAGCAGGCACCGGCATCAGTTTGTTTCACCGGATCATTAGTTCCACTACATTAGACAATGTAGCGATAACGCAAGTGCTGATGCACTTTTGTGGAGCAGGGACAGCAAAGCGCGTCATTTCAGCCCCTAAGATGATTGAAAAGAGGAAGCAGATACTCGCCACGCAGCGCGAGAGCAGAGGACGGCAGAGCATGCCTTTGAAATCTTTTACAAAGGGAGGGGGGGGCAGCTACGGCCCTCTGAAGGGCGTAATGGTCCCTGTGCTCCTTCGCTCAGTCTTTTTTTGTCTTTCCAACTCGTCTCTATCATACGCCTCACCACAGCAGGACGTCACATTACTGCGAGAAAGTCGAGCCAAGGACGTATTTGTGTTGTTTTTATAATTCCAGGTCATACGCTATATTGAAACCGTATTCAACCGTTTTCCCTTTGGACGTTATATCCAGCTTGTTTCACAAGAGCGCAGTTGGTTTTTTGCTTAACATCAGCATGATCATGCTGATTATTTAATTGATGTACAATTTAATCACCAGCGTGAACCCTCATCATCCTGCTGCTTTAGTTCATTGTACAAAGATAATGTGAACTGACTAAATGTTGTGGAGAGGGACATGTTATGCAGATAATGTGGTGTAAATGATCCTTCAAACGGATACCTGCAGTTTTTGGATGAAAATAGAAGAGAACCACAACATTGTTCACCAGTAACAAACGTCTCCAAAAACAGCTCTCTGCGGTCATTTAAACATTAAAAACAAATGGAGAGCATCTCACTGTCGTTCACTACTGATGCTATAGTATAATGGGAGGAATGACCAACGCATATGATATAAAATAGTTAGAAAAACACACTCCTGACCACGTTTTGTGCGTCCCTACTTGTCTGTCTGTAATTCAATCGTTTTATTGCCAAACTATCTTCAATTACGAAGACGTGAAGCGGTGATATTAGTCTGTCAAAATGATACCACTGATACTAGTCTATACTAGTCTGTCATTACACGTAATTAGTTCAAGAGACGAAACAGCTCCCGGCTCTGCTAACTGCGTTTCCCCGAGCGACCTGTCAATCACTTTTAGCAGCTAATTACTCATTCATTATAAACAAATGAAAATGATAAATAAAAAAATGATACGATCCACGTTAGCACTTAGGGAATCATGAAGACATGTCATTCAAAACTAAATAATTTAGCACAGTCAAAAGGTACGCTATATATGGCACTACCTCTTCACTACTTGTTACATGTGTCCAGGCTCCCTGTTAATCATTAGTATTGGAGTAAGCTCAGCGCTTTACCCTTTCGACTGAGCAGCCGTTGGAATAAGAGCATGTCTGAAGTCCTTCAAATGCTGTCAACTACAACAGAAGTAACAATTAAAAACTGGATTTATTTGCATTCTAAGCCTGGAGACCAGTTTATTGAAGACATTCGAATAAGACAAGCAGATCTCAAGGCAAACGTTTTGATCCACTTCGGAGACGAATGGAGTAAAACACAGACAAGTGTACGGACTCCCGGGCCGGAGCCCTGGGAGAAGAGAGCAAGCTACAACAAAACCAACCCGCAGATGAGAGGCAGCAGCACGGGAGGACGGGCTACAAAACATGTGTCGTAACAGAGGAAACTAAATGTCAAAATCAACCTACCTCCGAGCTGTTTACTTTCCACCCATCAGCACGTCTCAGGGCCTGAAGATGGATTTGACCGCTTTTAACTGCCGGCCCTTATGAGTCACGCTCTTTACCATCTCTCCCTCTCTCTGTCTCTCTCACGCAAACACACACACACGCCCACACGCCCACACGCCTCTTCTACCTATCATGTTTCTGTACCCTTTTACCTGGAGTCATAAAGTATGCAAATGACCTCGGCTGGGCCCGTTCGTAGCAACAGTAGCCACACTAACGGGGCCGGGCAGCACTCGGGTGGTGTATATGTGGCGCAGCGCGTTCCCTTAAGCGGCGCCCCCGTGGCGGAGCATCGTGTAGTCTCGTCTGAGTCACCTGGCGAGGAGCGGCGGGGGTGAACATTTATGCCCTACATTTGCCATTTTTTTGCATTTGTCTGGCGGGGGTCTCTCGTAGGAAACGTTCAAATGTAGTCACCTGTTGACTTGGCACAAAAAACATTAAGTTAGTTAGTCCTAAAACAGTTTTTTCAAATGAGTGAAACTTTAGTTAGAGGTCAGAGACTAGTTTGTATAATGTGTTGTATAAGTGTTGTTAATCTGGCGGGGTTAGCTAAGTGAAGTAACAGGAGTGTTTTATAGCAACTATATAGTTTGGTAACAGAGGGGCTATGGTTTTATTACGCTGAGTGATAAAGAATAACATCAAAGCTGCACAGGGAGGACATAAATGTGTTGATGAGAGGGGTGTTCAGACATGAAATAAACAAGGATGCTTCACGCTCGGAGTTATATTCATGTGTTCATTATTATGTCATTAATGAATGGGTCACTGAAAAATGTTTTTTTCACACCAAAGATAAAGCAGGGATATTAAATCATTTTCTGCAATTTAATCCCATTGAAATTCCATTTCATTAGCATTATTGTAAAAGTGATTATTTAGGTTTTTACTGAGTGAGATTTGACAGATTTACAGCCAGATTGCTGTCAAACTCTCTTCAAGCTCTCAAACTTTGTGAGTAAACTTTTTTTTCCCCGTCCTTCACAATCAACGACGGCTCCTGTGATTCTTGAGCTGTCGCTCCACACTCTCAATTAGCTCCACACGCTCACAGTCACAGAACCCGGGTGAAACCTCAACTGCCCAAAAGTAATTGCTTTGAATAATGAAGTGCTGCCGCTGGAAGGAGCCGGTGTAGTGGAGTACACCTGCTGTTCCCAGGTCAGTAAACCCCGCGTTAGTCTAGCCATGCTAATGAAAAATAAGGTGTGCATTTGCAACAACAACCACCTTGTAATTTGTTTCTTGCATACTTAGGGAACAAGTGATAACGGGAACACAACCTGAACCCGACGAGAAGAAATGAGCAAAGGGGCGTGAAGTGAAGAGCTGGATGAGCCTACAGTAAAAGTAAAGAAAGTACAGAGGAGGCTATGATGAAAGCAAATATTCAGCGAGGCAAAAACACTTCATTTAATAGCTTCCATGTCTGACTGGCTCAACATTGCTACATTATTTCCAGTCTTTGGGATGCCTGGGTGGAATGATGGGCAAATTATTTATTATTCTAAAAAGAATAAACTTTGTTCCAACTTTAACACCCTCACCACCCAAATCTTTATACAGTGTGAATAAAAGATAAAAGACATCATGTGATCCGCGGAAGTCAAAATATTCCTTACATCACAAACTAGAGAAAGGAGTTAGCCCGCTCATTGCAACTCAAGTGCATGCGATAAGTTCACTGACTGGCGATAAGTCAGTAAGACCAGTGAGCGCTCGCATTTACATTGTGAACATCTGAAAAAAAATGATCATCAAACAAATACCCAAGCGAGGAGAGCCAAAATCCCAGGCTGCTTAACCCACGGCATCGCACAGCGCACAGATTCATTGCTTGCGAGCCAGCGAGCTGGCCAGTGTTCTTCTGCCCACTCTTTGTACGATTTCACCCTGTCTGTTGATGAGGTGGGAAGTAAACCGCCAAGTGCTTGTTAACCATGTTCACGCGGACAGCTGATGGAGGGATAACTTTCAGCAGGCCTATCGGGCCACAGTTGGCATTTTTTGTTTTCCTTCCTGTAACGTCTACCTCTGGAGTTTTCCGGGGGAAAAGGAAAAGCAGCAAATAACAGCCTTCCTCGACGGATGCCGTTGCTGCTTCCTGACTGCCGGCCACGGGTGCCATTGTGTTTGTTTTGACTTCAGCCCACACAGACTGTGCAGAGGAAGAACAATTTCTAAATGTATGACGTCTGTTCTGACATGGCCGCCGTACGCACTGCAGTGACAACATGAGACAAACAATACCTAGAAATCTGGACTCACAAGGCCGGTATATGTTCAAGCAGATGCACTGCTTTTTCACTTTGAAACCAATTACAGATATTAGATATGAGAAGATAAAATAAAAGACTATTAATCAACTTACACGGTTGATCAAGAAGGAAAAAAAGGACATGGCCTCTAGATTTACTCGCTGTTTTATGTCTTTGCTATCCAGGCAAGTTACAGTTTACATCCATGCCACAGATGAAATCATTTCAATGGATCATTTCATTCCATTAAAAAAAAGTGTAAATGTTAACATTAGAACATTAAAAACACTGACAGAATCCTAATCGCCTCATCCATAAGTATAAATTTTCTTCAGGATCACAGGAGAATCGGTGCAGAGGAGGGAAGCTCAACTTCAAAGCACACTGGTTCCGTTAGGAAGGGAGTACTTTTTCAAGTCTCTCTCACACGTGCTCGTCCGCGGGAGAGAAGGAGGCGGTTTCCGTGGTTGCATCTCACATGAAAACCACACCGTGACGACATGGAGCGGTCCCAAAAGTCTGCAATGGTCAGGGTCAGGCCCCTGACCATTGAAACAGTTCATGGATTGACTCCTCGATTGATGTCTTTCTGTTACTCTGCTGATATCTCATTTTTTGTGCAACATTACTCAAACAAAGTTTGCATTGAGCTGAACCGCTTACACGTTTGTCAGTCGGTGTCATGATAATCAGTTGCTCGCAGCTAATTGGTTTACTTCTTTTTGCATTAATGTGGGTAGCAGGACGTGCATTTATAATTGCATGTATTAAACTGAAACCGGCCGTTGCATTTTTGACGTTTCAAATAATCAGATCAAATAAATTCTAGCCAAGGTAAAAAAAAAAAAAAAAAATGTACTCCTTTTTGCACGTCGCAACCTGTGTCAGAAGGGCCACAGGCAGCTGGGGCAGCTGCTGCCACTTCCTTGTATTGGTACAAATACATATTTTCCCTTTGTTTTTCTCACAAGTTTAACTCAATATGGAAACACAAAGATACCATGATGTGCATTACTGCTCGCACTGCTAACTTTCTGTAAGTCATTTTACTTCAGTGCACTCATCCCTGCACCTTTACGCTAATCTTGAAGCTTATCTCAATAGTCCAGTATCCAGAATCTCCCCTTCAATAAACGTATCCTTCCAGCAGGTAAAATATCAGGCTCCTCTTTCCATTCATAGGCCCGGCTTAAGAGATTCACTACTCATTATCTGGGAGAGTCACACAGACTTATCATCTGAACTGATGGATGGCCCTAGAATCTCTCTATATATGTTTAAATATACTATGAATAAAAGACTCAATCTGTTGGAGAGCAGCTGTGGGCTGGTCAATGTTATTTTTTTCAATCATGCAGAAAAATAAGCAAACATGCTTGTGTTTAAATGCTTGTTAAACACAAGCATGACGTTACCGATACTCACAACTTCTAGTTGGTATTCCATTCATCAGCATCTGAAAGCGCTCCATTTGTTCCACAACTTTAAAGACGGTGTATGCTAATTGCTTTATTGTAATGATCATCATCATCACATGCTACTTAAGGTATATATATATATATATATATATATTACTATAGGCCAAAGCACAAGGTGCAGAAACAACAAGTGAACGAGGGGGTGACACAACATCGACACTGGTCTCGCGACATCGTTCCGATATTGCGACTGCAATAGAACCTTTGGTTGTCAGTGTTAAATCTATGCAATGTTGAGCTTTAACTTCAAGGTTTTTATTCCGATCAATTCAGATCAGCTATCGTCGATTCCCTGTAAACAAGATAAGGCCACCGGAAAGACACACACAGGCATGATTCAACACTTCTCTGATACTGTTCTATATTACCAGCTTCACAAGGTTAGCATTTATTGCATGGCTGTTGTATTGGATTGCAATATTTCTTCGCAGAATGTGCCAGTTATGTTCAAACCCCCATACGTCTACCTCCGGGGACAGTGCCAATAATGTGAACGTGCTTGCAAATAATTTCTTTACAAGGTAAAATGAAAATGACCAAACTGATTGCGTATTGATTACTGCCAAGTGCCAACTAGAACAATTAGAGTAAAGGCAGGTTGTCCCTGATCTCTCTGAGATGTGCTTGGAACTCATTGAGTCTTGCAGAGATAAAAGCAGTATTCTGAAACGCATATCCATTGAAGAGGAGGAAGAGGTCAGAGCAACTTTTGCTATCCAAACCCTTATCAAAAGTATGAATCGTAGTGTTATGCTCGAGAGGAAACTGAAAGAGAATATCCCACTTCACAGCAGCATGTAGAGGCTGTTTGGGTAAGTCATAATGTGCACTGGCAGGCCACATATTGGAGGGCTTGACCAAGAGGCTTGAGTAATGCTTATGTGTTGCTCAAATAAATCTCACCATCTTTTCTTTCTGCGCCAGCATAGAACCTCCCTCAGGAGCTGCTGGTCCTACTCCACCATCACCCAGTCTGTTCTCTGTTCTCACTGCATGGTTTGGACAGGCCACTAAACAGACTACAACGGATCATCAGGTCTGCGGAGAGAATCAAAGGCTCCAGCCTTCCATCCTTCCATCCTGGACTTGTACACCTCCAGAGTCAGGAAGCGCCAGGGAAGATCACTGCAGACCCGTCACACAACCTGTTCAGACTCCTCCCCTCTGATAGGCGCTACTGAGCCCTGTATGTTAAGACCCCCAGACACAGGAACAGCATCTTCCCTCAGACCGTCTCTCTGATGAACAACTTATCTGTCCCCTTCTCCCCATTTGCACGTCACTCTGCACTATAACCTGTTATATACATACACATATACACACTTTGGGTATATTCATTTAGATCTCGTTAAACGTTAAATCCAATCTTTATCTTTTTAGGGAGTAAACCCAAGTCAAACATATATCCATAAAAGCATACGTGGCCAAAATTGCCGATTCAGATTCTGAATCATCAGTATTTACCATCCGTCTCATTCTTCCAGTATAAAGTACTAAGTTTGGCAGATGGGACGATAGTTAGAGGGGAAAAAATGAATAGTCTGTTATATACACAATAGCACATTTAGGTTTTCCCATTATTCAGCATGAAAAAAACCTCAAATCTGAATAATGAATGTTTTTTTTTAATGATATTGAATCTAAATGATTTTTAAGGGGATTATTTTTCTACACAGTACACAACTTTGAAATTGACATTATTTATCATACTGTAAAACTTTCAAAGTGAATTAGTGTTTTTAATTTGGTGAGTAGTGCGCTATGACCACTGTTTATGGTTCCATGTCAGAGTGAATTCAGACTGCTAATGGCAGGCCACGTACAAAGTGTAAGCACTCCACCGACTCAGACACAAATAGACTTGTATTAATGTCAATTAGTACAACGCTCATATCAGCCGTTAACCTGCTCCCTATTACTTTTCAGAAGTGAAGTAGAGAAGAAGGTGCGCTTCATTAATCAAGTCCATTTAACCTTCCAGTAGGCATTCCGTATTCTAATGCAGTCAAAGAAAAAAAATGGTGACAAAGAAAATACAGAAAACAGTTAACAGAGAAGGTGAAAGAAGTAGCTGCAATCAGGTTTAAGACACAGACTTTGAATTAGTCATTAGTTCTAATTAGTTCACACAAAGTACAGGAAAGTTGTGTCTCAACATAACATTTTATTTTTATAGCTTTAACCAACGCATACAATGTTTGCCAATGTCAGCCTAAAAAAAAAAGGCGGGCCGGGCCCTCTGGGCTGGGAGTACAAGGCACTGCCCAGAGGTCAAGGATGTTGCTTTCATGCTCATGAGAAAAGGCGGAGAAAAAAAGGAGCGGCGATGCATTATAGGCAACATCTGTCATATTCACAAGACAGCGCTGTAAAGAACTGTAGCATTTAATTATACTTTCTTGTGCATGAGGGAATGAAAAGTTGAGAAGTGTAAATACTGAGCTATTTCTAAATTGCAGCAAATAAGTGAATATATTGGAAAATTAAATGGTGTTCCCCACAAGTTCTTGTGGTAGTTTGATAATTAATGAGAAAGCTTGAGCTATTAAGTTTAGCCTTGATAAAGGCAACATATTAAAGACTATCGAATAGATAGTGATCAGCATGATTTAATTTAATTTTTCTTACTTTTTACTCTTAATTTCATTCATTACCCCGGCATAGACGATGGCAAACAATGATACACAACAAAGGTGTTAGAATGTAATTCCTCTTCAGAGTCAAGCAATTAAAGAAATCATTAATTATTTTTATTATTATTTATATTATTTTTGGCTGTTAAGACCATATCATTCTTATTTTACGAGACATTCATTCCTCCATAAATCCCTGAAAAGTAATAATCCCCAAAGTCTCCCTTGGAAAATCATTCTTAGTGCATTTTTCTTTTCTTTTTTTGTGAACACACATAAAAGTTTTCCATGCAGGACCCCTATGTTTTAATGTTTCAGATTCCACGTAAAAAATAAAAAAAAAAGACCTCACCATGCAGCACAATAGAGCTGGACTTTAAATAAGAGGTTAATCCATTACAAATTAGAACCATCCAATAGCTTTCCCCAACCGATCCTTTACGTAATGCGGCTGGGGTAACACTAACACAGATTTTCGAATCGTTCTCAGTGTGATGTTACAGCCTTGAGCTCTGGCTGGGAATACAGGAAATTGTCTTGTATCTTTTCATGCTGTATTTGAGAACAAGAGGTTGCTCTGATTCACCTCACCGCATGAGGGAAAAGAGTCGATAAAAGGCGGATAAACTGGCTGGAGGACATGTGAACGAGCAGCATCCATCTCTTAATGAAGACCCACACTGGAACTAGTTTGGAGCAGCATCTGTATGCACGGCATTTTTCCCTCCGTTTCACAGTACAGTGCTTTCCTAGCAGTGTACTGTTGACTTCAAAAGGTAACGTAGTTTGCTGACCTGTAAATATATTATAGATCTGCAATGCACCACATCTCTTTACTGCACCAGTAAAAGAAGAAATGAAGCACAACATAATCTAAAATAGGGGCTTTTTACAAATGTACTTAAGGGGGAAAAAAGCATCAATCTTCATGTAGCCACCTGTATTGCCTAATTTGAAGCTAAAGAAATATCTGCTACTAGTTAATGATAAATTATCACTAAGTATAGCAAAAGGTCATCAAATCTTCCATTAGAGCCTCTTACAAGACTTTCTTGACATGTTTTTATCTAGTCTTTTTAACTGTAAAGCTCTGGGTAACAATGGGTTTCTAAAAGGTTTGACCTTAAGAGTCATACCTTTGAGTGCAGACAGCTCCGGCGGACCCAAATTGCTCTCAGTTCAAAGTCTGATTGGCATTTCAAAAAATAGTGCATCGATTTGTTCAGGTTATTTCCCCCTCTGTGACACTCTCCCCGGGCTGTTATCGCAGCAGGATGTGGACTTGCGCCTCGGTGGAGGAGCAGGCGGCACCAGCTGGCTCGAGGTAACTGGTTACGACCCACGGGTGAACTGCAGCAGCAGCAGTGGACGGAGGCTGACCAAGGCGTAAAGCTGCTCACTCTTCATACGTGAGTCCAAGAGGCCTTTCAAAAGACAAGAATGTGCCAGGAGGCTAAACTAAGCATATAATCCGCACATGCCGTGTGTCGAAACTTTCAGGGCACCAATGACGCCAAGCCTACGTATCTTCACAAGTGCCTGACCGATGAGACATCTGCTCTGGCATTAAGGCCTGGGTATGTACAAGGGGTCGCAGCAATGAGCAATATGGATAACACGTCCAATAAGTCTGGTTACTGTGTTCTAGCCTCCGATTTTAGCTGATCATCTCTGTCTGCTAGCGGACTTCAAAAAATGGTTGAGGCTTGGGATTTCTTTTTCTTCATTAGTGCTACAGAATACACGTCAAGGCAGACTGAGCAAAGTCATCTGCTAGTCTCACATAACAGATATCTGACACAGACACTTATATCTGCTTGTATTTTTACGCAAGCAAGCGATTGAGTATCGAACATTTTTCACTTCGATGGATTGCAGCACTCTGATAGAAGGCAAAGGCTGGAAATAAAATAAATGGAAAGACATTTACACACAAAAAAAAATGCAGCACCTCTAAATGGATACCGCTTTGAGACGGAGCTCTAAAGCTCATGACGTTGAAAGCAAATTTAACCACAACTGACGTCCATAAGTGCAAAGGACATTTCATTTAATTGAGTCATGATGGATTTTAACCGATGGTAAAAATACATACAATATGTTTTCTATGTGTCTAGTCAATATAATGTTTTCAAATGGGCTCATCTAAAGTGATTGACAATTCCCATTGCCGTTGCCTGCCTGTCTGTTTAGCGTATTTTTAGAAAAAAAGAGCCATAAGAGTCAGAGTTTACAGAATACGGTGTTCAAATCCAGACCAAAATAAACCCCACATCTCTTAACAGTAAAGCCGCTGGCCTGACAAAAATATTTAGCCCTGCCACTCTCTCGATATTGGCTATGTCACCTTTTATTGCATGTACAATGGACCAATGTCAAACTCATTTTGCCCGAGGTGATTTTCTGTACCATGAACAGCACAATAGCTTTGATGATGGCGTCCACGAGAGGAATCTAAAAACAAAAAAGGTAGATACATGTTTGGCTCAAAATGGTACAATGTCGGATACTCAAATGACATATAGATGTTAAGTGGCTTGTTAACTGAATACAATCAAAATGTATGAACTGTTTTAAATACAACCAGACAGTGCTCGATGCTCGCTGTATCGTGAAGGCATTAAAGGAAATGACCTACACAGACCTGCAGGTATATGGGTTATTTCTTCCTGATTCGACCTCTCCACAGGACAGGCTTGATTGACATCGTCCTCACTTACTGGTTAGACTGAAATCAGGGCTACTTATACAATTACAATTATTATTGGAATATTGAGTTGGGTGACCTCAAGCAATTCCCAGCAGAGCGTACATGACCCACTTGCCACCTGAGCAGTGTGGTAATCAGCAAGAATCACTGAGAACACCTTTATGGGTGTGCATGGCTTGTCACAAAGCAATTTACCATGCACTAAAACATCTTTATACCAATTATCAGGCTTTTAGCCAAAAGTGTCTCCCAATTTACAATTGTCTGTTTGTGTTATTGTTATCCTTTCAGCATTAACCAGGGAAAATAACAACCAAGATCTCTGGAGCCAAGCTGGCCAGATACAAGGAGCGACCGACAGAAGAAGAAAAAGGAAATTTTACTACCAAGATAGTGACAACCAATTTGGCCAAACAGCCGCCACGTGGCTGCTGCAATATGATATGTCAGCAGGGGAAGGGACCTCTACATTAAATGTCAGGACAAACATTGCCCGTGATGGGCTGACCATTGAGGTAATCCATTACTGGGCTCTGATAATGGCGCCTCCACAATCTCTCTGAGAGGCTCCCTCAACACCCGTGGGGGTTTGCCGGTGGTGGGATGACTGGGAATGATTTGAGTGGCGACTGTGAACGTGAAGGACTGTTAGCGGACCTAACGGGGAAAACGGGGAGACTTAATACACCATCTTCAAATACATCTGGCGAGTCCAAGAGCCGAGATCAATCCATCAGGTGCTTGTTGAAAAACGGACATGCAGAGGGATATGAAAATTGTGCGTTATTTTCTTGTATTAATAGCTAGTTAAATAAGAGTAAATAAGGATACAGCCTGATAACACTATCATACGAAATTCATACAACACGTGAATTGGAGCTTTTATTAAAGTTAAGCCAGTGTATTTTAATACAATGAAATAGACAGACAGTGGATTTAAAAGAGATCATCATCTGGAGACAGATGCACCAGATGTATGTCGCTTCTCTCATCATAATGCATTCATGAAGAGGCTTTCGGTCTTTTCAACAGATGAAACGAATCAAGAACAAATTAAGAACAAGGCTGTTAAGCCACGAGTTACTTCGCTCCGAGAACAGCAGCTTTAGACGTGACCAAGCAATCTATTAAATAGTAAATCTATTGAAATTCTTACAACCAAATGTATGACATTGCGATGCCAGCAGTCCACAACTGAACAAGACTTCATCGCACAGAAAACATATTTGTATGGTGATTAACAAATAAATATTTCAAACTGAGAATAATGTGTTTCAAGTATGTATTGAAGAATTGGATCAGCCCAACTTCCCCACTAAATTAGAGAGGTACTTAAGCGTTTGTAGGTTGGGCCCGGCAGTCGAGCCAAAAAGAGTGTGAGGTCAGGTTCACACTAAAGTGAAGAGATAAAACCTTATTTCTCAAATCAAAAATGCAAATAAACTCAGATAAATGGAATAATTGCAGATAATTGGTCATAAATGACACTAGCTGGTTGATTGGTTGTGGCAGTGATCGAGGGGCCTTAACAATGCATCACCTAAAAGCATCCACAGCTTATTATTACCCTTCAGCTCTCCTGCATTGTTGGAGCTAATTAGCATTATTAAAAAGTATCTACATTGAGAAAATACACACACACACACATAAATGATTAAATACACATCTACGGCAATTATTTCTTCACCACATATTTGCGGCGAGATTAGATTATTGGAGTGGACACAATCACAGCTTCCTTCCTGCCCACGGGGCACCTACAATTGTTGCTAGCCACCGATAAAATTGCGTGTATGAGGTTTATGTAGACAATGGCTTTGTCTACAAAGCATGTGGAGCTGACAAGATGCGCCTCAAACGGCGAGCTACACGGCTGAATTATGGTTGGGCACACACATGCAGGTGCTCCAATAAAGCCTGATTCCTTCCTTTCTCTCGGGCAGTGGATAATATCTTTGAATCTTTTCAAATTCCAGTGAGCCTTGACTGACGACCTATGTTTACAACAAAGAGGAGCAGAGCAGAGAAGAGACACTCACAGAAAGAGGAGAACGTGTTCAAGTTGAAATGCAAAGCTGCCCACCATTGTAGTTCCTATCATCAGTAGTCCGGGTCACGCTGAAATACCAATTTATTGATCTTATTCTGTCTCTCACTTCCCATTCACAAGGTCTGGGGGAGTTTCACATTACTGAGTGATGGAATTCAGCCATTGCTCTCCGCGGACAATAAACGCCATGAAATGTCAATTTGAAATAAACTTTGAAAAAAAGCAATTCAAAATCCAACCCAATCACTTGGGAGGATAGGTGACATGGTGGTGGCTGAGTAAAAGAGAAGGGGACAGGAAGAGAGCACGCATCAGCAAAAACCTCAGGAAAAACCTCAGGAGTGTTTGGAGGGGGGCGTCTTGTGCAAAGAAAGGCATTCATTTATTTTATTTTAGTAAAGGTCAGCTGTGGATGTTGGTTTTTACAGGGTTTTTCATGTCATTTAAGTGCACTGATCAGGAGAAGCATTGTATTCTATACAATTACAACAGAGGACTTCTTTCCTGTTCCATCGAAAGCCTGAAAAAAATTGGGACCATGGCACCAAGCAATTCATTTTTATTCCGTAAAACAGCCACCTTGGAGGAAAAAGTGGTCTTGCACATTTCCTGCTACGGAAGATTGGACAAACCAGCAACCAATACGTTGTAAAAGTGCCACAGGAAGCTTGGGTGGGGAAGGTTAATGAACCCGCCTTTTCCATCATCCTGCTGGGTGTTTTTATGGGACAAAAAATTAATTACTTGTGACAAATATACTAATGCTTGGACTGCCATTTCTGCCAGGCAACCTGTGAACAAAAACATTTTGCCAATGCTTCCATTAGCATTGGACTTGCCGAATCAGTGCCTTGTGTCAACACACACAAAAGAGAATAACCAAAGGTCCATCCATTGACTCACTGACAAAACATGGCAGCCCATGAAAAATGCACAGTTCACAAGGTTCGACACTGATGGCACGGCGCTTTCAGAATAAAAACATGGTATGCTCTCTGCCAGACCGCCTGTAATCTCTGGGGGAACAGCCATGCGAAATGACAGACATCGGCCCTCTGGAGCTCGCAGCTCCACTGTCCTCCGTCCCTGGCACCGTTACAAAGGCCAAACTGCGGGGCTTTACGGTTTCTCTCTTTACAAAGTGCAGCAAGATGCTCTAAAATTGTAATGAAATCATTTGTTCTATAGTTTCACTGCCATGGAAATAAAATAAAATATTTGAGTATCTCGCAGCATATTAACCCCATAAGTCGTAATGCTAAACGGCGTTGCCCTTTTCTCTATTGGTCAGTTTGAGGAACTGTGCATCAGGCTTAATGTGTCTGAGTATCATTGTATGGACCATAATTATTAAGCTATTAAAGAGTGTAACGTTTTAATAATTAAGATGCTGGCTCATGATTCCAGTGACATTATATAGCTGTATGAATAAATAAATATAGAACGAAATGTTTTAAGATCACCTTACCTTTAAATGTGTGACTGCTGCCTGCGAAATGGGGGGAAGTGACACTGCTGTACTTCATGATCAGCCCACTAGGCAAAAAGGCAAATAATTTAATGTGGATGGCGGATGAAAATAAGGTAATTAGACAAGGCTTTAGACACTACTGCCATTGAGCAGCTGAAGTATAGCCACAGGAAGACAATCAAATAGCTATCAATTTCCTCTAATGGTCGCATTTGGTCGAGGAATGACAAATTAGAATCCAATGAAGTTGTACTTATTATAGCTGAATGCTTGGCTTTTAATATCTGTGCGGTGTTACACTGAGCTCACACGCAGATTACCCAGAACACACCACGGCAAAGCGTGAATTATTTATTATGTTATACTGAATAGCGGAAACTTTAAGTTGAAAGATCCCCGAGAAAAAATGAGTGTAGACATTACAAATAGAGCTTCAGATCATATGTTTTGTTTGGTTAAGGAAAAACAGCACACCCACTCTGACATCAATAGCCAAGATAAAGCGAGCAGAACCTATTCCTCTATTGTCATAATATTGCTTGTCTATAGTAAAGAACTGTCGGCCTACACAGTAATCAGTGAAGGGGAAACTGCCAATGATGAAAACATTCGCAGGTTACTCAGAGTAATTTCATTTTGAACAGAATTGGAGCTTCCACACTTAATAAAGCCCGGAAAAATTGTTCACAAGGCAATTTAGTGGAGCAAAATATACTCCAATAGTGTTTATTGCTGTTTGCTCCAAATATCAAGGTGACGATACCATAAGAAGACCCTTATAACATTAAAAAAACCTGAAATTCTTACGTAAAGGCATCCATCTGCCGACTCAGATATGTCAAAAAAGCCAACTAAATTAGCCAATAATTTCATTGCCAAAGAATGAAAAGAAGTATTTGAGTGTACGATTTAATCAATCCACTCACTGTCTAGGTGGCCAGGTGGGAGTCACACCTAATCGACAGTATTTGTGCAGGACTACTCCATAAGCACTGGCATAGATGGCCTTTAAAGCTCTCTTAGTGAGACATGCATAATTACGGAAACACAGACACAGATGCTCCGGGTGATATGATGCCATCAGAAAGCTCACGTAATATAATGCTGGCACATCATTTGTCCTATGGGAGATTTAACCTAACACAGGAGTTCATTGCAGATTTAGCTGGATACTAATTTCAGTCATCAGTCTTTTATAGGACACTGGTTGAATCTGATTGTATATTCAATTGATCCCCAAAATAATGGAGGCCATTAGCTGTATAAGCTGGAATATGTGGATATCTTTTTTAAGGAAAAAAAGCTACATGTTGGACAGTTCTAAAAAGACCAGAAGGATAGCAGGGTTTTCCTCGAAGATATGATAATAACAGCAAAGGCTGCAGTCAACTCTCTCTCCATCTGGTAGGTCATTTGTTGCCTCAAATTGCTCCCAGGACAAGGCCATTCGGTTCACTCAGGAATGATCTACTTGAAACGGTGCAATGTCAAAGGCTTGGGAGACTTGTCTTGGTTAGCCTTCCAGGGGAAGAGAGTACCACAACTTCTCCATGGAAATAGCTCTCGATAAGCAATGGGGCCATTACTTTAAGTTAGATGGAGGAAAAGGGATGGTGACTGAAACTCATATCTCAAGAGGCAATGTAAGGTCATGGCAGTAACATGGGAAGAGAATGGATCATGTGCTGGAGGAGAAACATTTGAAACGGACTGATTTACAACACAATTCGGTTTTGATGACAAATTTAGGCAGAGGTCCTGCTCCCAACTCGACGAAACGAATTAAAAGCAGCATGTTTGGCAATGAGCAATACAACAAACAATAGAAAGTAAAAAAAAGATGTA